ACAGGAATGGTTATTATAATTGAGGAAGTCGGATGTGTCTTGCAGTGTCTGCCGCAACTCAAACATCCTATGGCCAGGCGTTGATCTAATTTTGCCACACTCTACCTAGGTGTAGTAACTGGGTACCTTAAGCCCATCTGTACGAGTTTACAGGAGGGATTTAACCAACCTGCAAGGTCACTGGCAGGTGGTTATCTCATCAAATCATCTCTCACTTAACATAAAAAATAAGTTCATGGAGACCAATGGTCACCGATTAGGCTTTGTTTGCTATATAGAGGGCGCATGTAGCTTTAAGTAGTACAGTGGGGCTAATAAAGGATTTATTCCTTGAACTCACTGAGCGCTCCGGTAACTGGAGCTGAAGTAGGGGTCATAATATTCCAAATCCTTAGAAAGCGCATAGAAGATATTAATATCATAATGTATGCGCTATACAAGAACGCTTAATTAGTATATAGTTATCCTGATGTGGATGCATTTGATGACAGGGAGGTAAAGTGGATGTTTGTGAAGAATTCTGTAGGGGTGAGTGTCCCTCCTGCACTGTTGTGAACTCTAAAATCGAAATATCATGAGGTCTTTAGCAAGCAGACTTGTCCAGCTGTGGCTTAGCTAAATTGAAATGGGGGACATATACCCCTCCCCTAATCGAATGTCGAAGTAAAAAAAGAACAGGGGGCCGAAGATTGTTTTTATTTTGTATTGAAATGGGTAAATGACGAGAAAGAAAAGAACACGCTGGGATCCCTCTTATATCCACCACTTACCACAGAACTTTTAAACATTAAAATGAGCGAATAATTGTTCGAGTTACCCCTCCCCTAATAGAATGACGTAAGTAAAAAAGGAAGAGGAGCCCGAAGATTGTTTTTATTTTGTATTGAAATGGGGAAATGACGAGAAAGAAAAGAACACGCTGGGATCCCTCTTATATCCAACCCCTTACCACAGAACTTTTAAACATTAAAATGAGCTAATAATTGTTCGAGTTACCCCTCCCCTAATAGAATGACGTAAAAAAGGAAGAGGAGCCCGAAGATTGTTTTTATTTTGTATTGAAATGGGGGAATGACGAGAAAGAAAAGAACACGCTGGGATCCCTCTAATATCCACCCCATTAATATCACATAACTTGTTAACATTAAAATGAGCATATGTTTATTCATTTAGTGCAATCGTCCCCCCCCCCCTAGTTGGATTTACGCTACACCGCTGTCGTAATTGTCCAATTTAGAAGTAACATATGTATACAATATGGTGGGGATTCTGTTCATATCTTGAACACGAATTCTTCCGAACTTCTTGATGGTCAACACAACCATGGAAAACATTTACAATCCAGGGAAAAACATATACGACACATGGAAAAACATTTATGACGCTTGGATATAATTTGCGACATAGCGATATCATTTACGACACAAGAAGAACATTATACAACACATGGAGATAATTTGCGACACATGGAGATGTTTTACAACACATTTATATCATTTACAACCAATGGAAAAACATGTATGGCGCTTGGAAATAACTAACGATTCATGGATATCATTTACGACACAAGAAGAACATATACAACACATGGAGATAATTTGCGACACTTGGAGATCTTTTACAACACATGGATAACATTTACGACACAAGAAGAATATTATACAACACATGGAGATAATTTGCGACACATAAAGATCTTTTACAACACAAGAAGAACATATACAACACATGGAGATAATTTGCGACACATGGAGATCTTTAACAACACATGCATATCATTTACAACCAATGGAAAAACATGTATGGCGCTTGGAAATAACTTGTGACACATGGAGATCATATACGACAAATGGAGAAAATTTACGACCCATGGAAAACATATACAGTACGACGCTTGAAGATAATTTGCGCACATAGATATCATTTACGACACATGAAGAACATGTACGACCACTGGCGTACTGGTGGGGGGGGGGGGCTTGGGGGCGCCAGCCCCCCCCCCCCCCCCCCCCAAATGAAATTGAACCATGACTTATTTGCACAAGTAATGTATAAATGTTCGTGATATCACATGATTTTCAACAAAATCCTATAGTTTCTCCATTATTTCTTGCAAACTGACCCATTCCCAAATAGCCAGGAAGAGCATATGTTTTTTTTATAGTCACTAAGGGCCTTATAGTGGCCACTAACAGTAACACTAATTCCTTTCCAGAAGCTACTGTGCAAAGCACTGTCGGGAGATAACATGCTACCCACCACTCGGGCTGAGCATGCACAGATTTGCGAACGAGCGTTTCATACTTACATCATGTAACACTGCACATATACCGTTAAGGGGCCCAGTGGGGGGAATTGAATTCAGACAAGATTAAGAGTAGAGAACGGCACAACGAATCGTCTTCTTTCTCTAATAATTTAATGAAATAGCAAAGCTTCCGCGCTTCGCGCCGGAGAGGGGGCGGGGGAATTATTTCATACTAGGATTAAGAGTCGAGAACGGTACAACGAATCGTCTTAATCTTTCTCTAATAATAACGAAACGCGAAAATTGCGACAAGGATTAAGAGTAATAATTAAATGAAAACGACAAAGCTTCCGCGCTTCGCGTGGGAGGGGGAACTGAATTCAGAAAAAGACACAATAAAATTATTCGTCTTCTTTCTCTAATAATTTAATCAAACTTGAAGGCTTCCGCGTTTCGCGCGGGATGGGCGAAAAAGAATTCCGACAAGGATTAACAGAATTAATTTATTGAAACGTCAAAGCTTCCGCGCTTTGCGCGAAAGGGGGGGGGGGAAACGGAATTCAGACAAGGATTAAGAGTCGAGAACGGTTCAACAGGACAATGAAAATGAATGAATCGTCTTCTTTCTCTATAAATTTAATGAAACGTGAAAGCTTCCGCGCTTCGCGTGGGAGGATGGAACTGAATTCAGACAAAGACAAAAGATTCGTCTTCTGTCTCTAATGATTTAATGAAACTTGAAAGGTTCCGCGTTTCGCGCGGGATGGGCGAAAATGAATTCAGACAAGGATTAATAGTATTAATTTATTGAAACGTCAAATCAAGTCGAGAACGGTTCAACGGTAGAATGAAAATGAATGATTCGTCTTCTTTAATTCTCTAATAATTTAATGAAACTTGAAAACTTCCGCGTTTCGCGCGGGATGGTCGAAAGTGAATTCAGACAAGGGTTAAGAGTCGAGACCGGTACAATGAATCGTCTTCTTTCTCTAATAATTAAATTAAACGTCATAGCTTCCGCGCTTTGCGCGGGAGGGGCGAAACAAGCTTTAAGAGTCGAGAACAGTACAACGGATCGTCTTCTTTCTCTAATAATTTAATAAAGTGTCTAAGCTTCCGCGCTTTGCGCGGGAGGGGAAAACTGAAAAATAACCTAGTTCCTGGCCCCGGGTTTAAAGGGTTAAATTTGCAGACATTTGGACATTGGCATTTTTATATTTGTCGGTAATAATTTTGGTGGCTCGTTTTGTCGGTAATCGGCGGCCTCTACACCCCTCCTCCCCCCCCCTCCCCCACTGAAAGATATCTAGCGACGCCCCTAATAACGACAGAGTTTATAACTCTAACTTTCTGACTTATCAGAAGGCCTCTTTTTTCATGAAGTGCCGGTGGACATTAATGCGCCAAATGTGGTTTTCAAATTGATGCTAATGCCCATACCCCTTGAGCTTCGGGGGCTTCGCCCCTTCGCCCCCACCGGGGCTTTGCCCCTAGACCCCACTTTAAGAAACGTAGTTCAGCGGGGCCTGCATGTTAGAGTGGGGTGATTCGGATTTTTTTTTTGTCAGCCCCCCCCCCCCAAACGTTTTGGCCCATTACGCCACTGTGTACGACACACGCCCCTGGGTAGCCACACGATGTTTCCCTATATTAGAGCCCCTGATTACACCCTTGGGCATGTCGTTTTACCCTAATCTGTTCCTCTCTAGCAGGGATTGGGTAAGAAGAATGACACGTCCCTCGAACAGGAAGAATACTGATGACGCACCCCTAAGTAATTGTTGTTGTTGTTGTTTCTTCTTTTCTTCTCCTTCATATTCTCCTTCTTCTTCTACTACTTCTTCTTCTTCTTCTTCTTCTACTACTTCTTTTCTTGCTTCTTCTACTTCTTCTTCTTTTTCTTCTTCTACTTCTTCTTCTTCCTCTTCTTCTTCTTCTTCTTCTTCTTCTTCTTCTTCTTCTTCTTCTTCTTCTTCTTCTTCTTCTTCTTCTTCCGCTTCTTCTGCTTCGCCTTCTTCTTCTTAGCGCTGTAAGACTTCGGTGGTAAGCGCTTTATAAGTAACGTTTTATTATATATATTTTTTTTTTCTTCTTCTTCTTCTTCTTCTTCTTCTCCTTCTTCTTCCTTTTCTTCTTACCCTTATCGTGTTATCAATATTATCATTAATGTAATTATCAACGTCATTATCATGATTATTGTATTATTATAACCATTATTATTATTATCAGTATCATTATGATTATTATTATTCTCATAATCATTTCATTATAATTATTATGCCATTTTAAGACGAAGTAACAGTGATAGTAATGGTAGTATTAGTAGTACTACTAGTGGTGGTATTACTTTTGTTGTTGTTGTTAATGCTGAATAACGTTGTTATTATAATCATTATAGTTATCGTAACAATTACCATTATTTTACTGCAGTAGTATTTTTTCGAAATATTTCAGTTGGTTCCCTCATCAACCAATTTGAAATATGAACGGCTAATTGCCTTGACGATGGCATGAGGCATTAAAATGAGTAGATTAAACAATATCTCGTTTGTTGCGTGAAATGAAAGGGGCGAAGAACTTTTGCTTTCGTGCAATTGATCACGCGATTAACGAATACAAACATTAAAGGCTTTGAAACATGACTAAATGTTACTCATCAGGGATTACCTTCTCTTACCCCCTCCACATCAATGTTCCCCTGTCCCAAACCATTGTTTTCAAACTGGAGACCCAGCCTTGTCCCTACGTTTCCCCCAAGACCTGGCATCAAATGTCAACAGAATTTAAAACAAAAGAGTATTCATTGCGCAATGTCACCTTCAGTCGCAAGGAAAACTGTTAGATCGGCCAAGATAGATTTGTATAAATAGCACTTTAGCAACGATCAGATCAGAGCATTATCATCATTGTTGGTTCGACTTGGTCTCGTAAAGAACGACTGTCTTCCACACTTGAAGCTTCATTCGAATATCTTTACGGAATCTTCTTCAAGGAGTCTTGTCCGTTTGAGGAGAAGATGCAGGGTTTCGTTTGTGTGTTAGTGTGTCTAGCAGCTTTAGCTGCTCAAACTCAAGGGCAGGTTGGACAACCGGGAGGACAACCGGGGAGACAACCGGGGAGACAACCGACTGGACAACCGACTGGACAACCGCGTATGCAACCGACTGGACAACCACGACAACCTGGAAGACAACCGGGACAACCGGGCGGACAACCGGGAGGGCAACCGGGAGGACAACCGGGGCTTCCCGGTGGACAACCCGGACTACCCGGTGGACAACCAGGATTTCCGCGTTGGCAACCAGGACAACCGGGTGGACAGCCCGGTGGTCAACCCGGTGGTCAGCCCGGTGGTCAACCCGGTATCCGCCCAACTGCTATATCATGTCCCGAACTATGGATACAACACAAGGGCAGCTGCTATCGGTAAGTTTTGCCAATTCCAATCATTTTTCTCTCCCCCAAATAGCAACGGGATTTTACTCATGGTCGCAGAACCATTGCACATTTTATAATAATGTTACTGCAATTCCGATGTTATCGCAAAACAAAGCGGTACACTAGGACAATGCCCTACTAAAAATCAACCTGAGACAATTTTAAATAGCCTTTTTGTATCACTGATCGGACTGTGCATTAGGTAAACCCAACAATGAGTCATTATACAAACTGAACATCATATCAATGCGATATCTTCGAAAGTATTTGTGATCGTGTTCATTATCTTTTATTTTCCCTTGTCATGAATTATCATCTAAATGGATGTCTGGCATGTGGATTCTAACTACAAATCATAGATATGGGCCTGCCCTAAATCCCATTGTTTGCGTTCCCCCCCCCCCCAAAAAAAAATAATAATAATAATAATAATAATGATAATAATAATAATAATAATAAACAAATAAATAAATAAATAAATATATAAATAAATAAATACGAAAAAAAAAAAACCTACTCTGACACACGCAAAATTAGATGAGAAACAGTTTTGGTATGGAAAACTGCTTTAGGGATAAACTCGTCAAGGTTCAGGAAGACAGATTTCAAATAATATCAAGCCTTAGAAATCGATCAATAACTGATTCTTTTAAGAAGCAAGAATAAAATCAAAAGTGAAAAACAAAGAAAAATACATAGAAACAAACATGAAAACAAAAGGAATCAAAAACAAATGTTTGCTCTCAACCATTTACTGGCATTTGTCTCTCCAGGTACGTACAAATCATGGTCACAAATCTACATTATTTATTTTTGTTGATGATTCATTATTGAAGGGGAAAATCATATCTAAAGATCAAAATGGTGAGAGCAAACAGAGGCATGAACGGCAAGCCATATTTTAGTCCAACTTAAAGTCGATTTTACTTTGTAAAATACTCCCCCGGTCTACATTTGCAGGGAACTTTTTTCAGGGACAGGGAGTTAATTTCCTGGCATTAATTCAGGTCCCTGGAAGTAGCAGTTACGGTACAGGCTCAAGAAACTGGTTATTGTAACCAAGGCGACAAGAGGAAGAAGAAAAAAAGACAGACAGAGGGAGAGAAAGAGGTTAAATCTTATGTCTGTTTTGTAAACTGCCAGACGAACTTCCAGTACAGAAGCTTTTATGTTGTCACGACTCCAGAAATGCCAATAAAATGACAAACTGGATACAAAAAATAACAGACTGGATACAAAAATAGAAAACGCTAATTTGAAAGTCATATCGAGGCTCCTGTAAGCACAAAGTTTAGCAACGAATCTACGATAAATTGCTGAGAGTTGTGTTACGGAGCCAAGATACCAGTGGAGTGTTTCACAAAGACTAAGATCGATTTAAGTTGAACTTAATTATGACAGGCCGTTCATGCCACCGTTCGCTCTCACCATAATGACCTTTAAATAATATTTGTTTCCTTCAATAAGTGAATTATCAAAAAATGTAAATTCTGTAGATTTGTGACCATGATTTGTACGTCCTTTGAGAGACCAATGTCATTTTTAAATGGTGAGATCAAACAGTGGCATGAATGGCCTGCCATTTTAATTTTTTTTACCAAATATCAGATTCCTTTCGATATGCTTTAACTCATTTTAACAGCTGAATTTACCATGTGTATATTGGTAAATAATTTCCATTCATAGATATGCAAGGAGACTGCTATTAATTATGAAAATTAAGGAAACGTAACGAGCCATAACCAAACGCAAATCAATATATTGTTTGCTTATTCCTTTGTCACCACCAAAATATATCCATATTTTGTATACTGTTTATTTTCTTTGTAATCTATGTATGAGCCCTTATTTTCATGTGAGCGAAACAAATATCTATGTTGAACGTACATTGGACAAATAGATACACTGAATGAATGAATGAATATATTCAAATATTTGATCATAGTGTCCTTTTTTTCCCTCCTGCTGGTAGTATGGAGAGTGGCGCTTCAAGTCAGATGCGGTTTGGCGCTACAGGACCTACCTTCTATGGTTACAACGAAGGGCTGACGCAGGCTAGCGCTAATAGCTACTGTGGAGTGTTACAACCCGGCTCCTCCCTCGTGACCGTCAACACCTTGGAAGAGAACAACTTCCTCTACAAGTGGGTGGTAGGGATGCTGGGTCACAACGCTAGACCCGTCTGGATTGGTCTTCATGTTGGGCCTACTGGACTGATGCAGTGGTACAGCGGGGAAACGTCTGCGTACACCAACTGGGAAGAGATCCCTGAGCCGTTCGATGGAGCTACGATGTTCGATGTTCAACCTAATAACCAAATGAATAACCAGGTTGACCTAACATCCCAGTGGAGCCGAGAGGATCCTTATAACGAGCGGATGTTTATCTGTGAGCACCGACCGAGGGGGCTGGGGGCTCCAGCACCAACGCAGCCAGGAGCTACCATGCGACCTTTCATGCTGAGTAACAATCGTAATAGCCTTATGGGTGTTCTCAGAGGAGGAGCTTTCGGAGGGTCTCGGCTCCAGGAGGTACGACGTGGACGGCCTGCAAGCTTTAGGATGAACCCATATTTCGCTGTGCGACCATAACTTTCAAACCTATTCATTGAACTGTTCAGTCTTATGCCTCAGTCACACCGCCCAACCGATTCCACACCGACCCCAAACCAAACCGACTGATTCTGCGTCGTTCGGTGTAATGTAATTGCTCCGTTTGTTGTTGGTCAGCGCCCTGTTGCACAGAACTTACCATTGATGGTAACTTTGCCATCAATGGAAACTATTATGGTAACAGGGCTCAACAGCCAATCAAAATCAAGGTTTCCATGGTAGTTACCACTGATGGCAAAGTTATCATCAATGGTAAGGTTTGTGCAACAGGGCCCTAATGTCGGTCCCGTCGGTGTGACTGGAGTATTGCAATTTTCATCCCAATGTTAATAGTCGATGGAAGGCGCAAGATCGCCAACCATATGCCACTTGAAAAACCATATACCTTTTGCCTATGTTAGCTATATATGTTTCCTTCCTGCTGTTGCACAGCAGTTCGTTTATTAAAGCTCATAGCCCCAAAATAGTGATAGTTGCATAACCGGAAGTCGTGCATCACCGAAATAGTTTCATCCCATATAGATTGTAAATTGGACGAAACTATAGAATTTTGTACACCTTGAAATAATGACCTTTAAATGAGCCCACACGTGTGCGTCACAAAATTGAGGTCCATGGTCACAACTATATCTCTTAATACCCTATATTTAAGGCCACCTCTGTGAGTTGGTCTAGCAGAAGACGGTCGGCTATCTGTTTCTCCTACAATTTGAATCTGACTGACCCCTATTTGAAACTGAGTCATGTTTTTCGGATGATGACGTTAAAGGTCAGTCCCGAGTTCGCGCCTGTCAAGAAATTTTATATTTTCAACGTTCTTGGATTGTGTACTCGTGTACGCGATTCTGTTGTACGTATTGTTTCGTTGTTGCTTTGTAAATTTTGTTCAAGAAAAGAAAACAAGTATATTACATATATTGTCTAGGCTTTTGTTGATTCTTTTCCTTGTGTGACATGACATGCTTGGTTCCGGATCGTTCGTGTGAGTAAATAGGGGCTTTTAGATTTGCACGTCGACATAGTGGACTGCTACGTGTGACGTCCTAAAAAAAAGGACGTCACACGTAGCAGTCCACTATCAGTCCACTATGTCGACGTGCAAATCTAATAGTTCATAATGGATGTAGGGTGATCAACTATACTAAACATCCCAAACCAAAATCGAAATCGAACAAATAAAACGAGATGAAAGAAAGCGATTGAACTAAACGAAACTTACAACTGGAATTAAAAACTAAGATAGATTTATATGGCCTTGATAAAAGATTGATTCTCGCTGACCCCTCCCTCGAAATTCAATTTAGCATACCCCCCCCCCCCCCCCAGGTCCCCAGGAAATCCATAAATTTGAATATTTGAGAAAGAAACTGGGCGTGTTAATAGGAACGTTGATTGTTATGTAAACTAATGTGCGTGTTATGAAGTTAGTGTTTGATATATTAAGATAATTTATGAGGTCTGGAAAATAGTGAACGTATTATGAGAGACGGTTCTGTGGTATGTAAAACTGGGTATGCTAATGTGGGAATATAGTATGTTGCATAAGACAGCAGACATCAGTGGAATGAAAAGACGAGTTTGTTACATGTGAATTTGGTGTGTGAGTCAGGAGGGCATCAGTGACTTGAGCGACCTTTCAAACGTAATGGCCCGAATTCACAAAGGAGGTTTGTAGACAAACCTAAGCTTATGTATGTCATATGACGCGTTTCAGACCAAGTTTTGTCTGAACCTTGGTCTGAAACGCATCGAAACGCTTCATATGACGCACATAAACCTAGATTTCAGTTGTCAACAAACCTCCTTTGTGAATTCGGGGCAATGAGACAGTGAGATTGTTTCAAGAGAAGATGCACAATAAAAAGCTGAATCAATTCTTATGATTTTCTTTTGAACTAGTAATATCCTTCACACGCTTTATTAGCGCAGGGGGGTGTTTCACAAAGATTCTAAGTCGAACTTAACTCTAAGTTGGACTTAAATATTATGGAGAGCCATTTGTAGCCCTTTAATGAAATATATTCAAATGCAAAACTGCAAGTATTTTAGACTTTTCATAAATTCCACATCAAGAACAAGAAATCTCCCATGATAATAACAAATATGAATGATTTAAAACAACATTTTATGCCTTTTAAAATAACTGTTACAAAATATTTTCAAGGATGCCAACGGCTCTCCATAATGTTTAAGTCCAACTTAGAGATAAGTTCAACTTAGGATCTTCGTGAAACACCCCCCAGGTGATGATGTTATCGCGATGATACCATGCCGCAGCTGGTGTTATACCCGTGGTTGAAGTTCATGGACGGAGCCTCATTTTGTCGCAGACGTGTAACTGGCACTGCGTCAGTGACTGACGCAGTCTCTAAACCGCAACGTGAGAGTGACATATCCAACACCCGCCCCCCCCCCCCCGTCTCCAAGGGGTACAAAAGGGTGCAAAGGGTATGATGGATCAGAGGCACATAAAATGCATTGATAGTCTCAATACGAAGCTAGGTAATGCGTTTGAATGGGCTACATTTAAAGCCCCACTGTACTACTTGTAACTACTTGCTCCCTCTATATAGAAAATAATGCCTAATCGGTGACCTTTGGTCCCCCATGATCCTCTTTTTATTATGTTACTTGAGAGCTGAGTTGATGAGATAGCCACCTGTCAGTGACTACCCTGGGTGGTCTAACACCTCCTAGCCAAACTAGTATAGACGGTCTTTAAATAAAAACAAAGTTTAGTTTCACAACCAAACGTTAGTATGTATTGATGCGTTGGGTAGACTCATTTCGTTTCTTTACACCTATACAGTACATTATGTTCCGTCGAGAAATTTCCGTAGAATCGTGACCACTCACAACGAAGCAACCAGTAGCTTTCATTAATGGTATTTTGGTTAGCATGATAACATTTAATTTTTCACAATATATAAATCATTAAAGGATGTGAGAGCCGTTGCTTTAATTACATATATATATGTACATATTTTTAAAATATGTATTCATATACACCTTACAACGTCATTAGAAGAACATATGTAGTGACACAAAGGAGTCATTAAGTAGACATGGTCATTAGCAGGACATTTTCGTGTCCTGTTAACGATTGTAAAAAGGATTGTCCTCTTACGTACGTTAGGCAGAGTAAATTTGAAATCCTCACAAGAAAACAATAGGTTTATTCATTAGTCTTAGTTTAATTAGTATATTGTTTTGAATTTAGGATTAGGGTCAGGGTTAGGGTAATATACCATTTTTTATGATTTCCTGTTAATGTACCATTTGGGGTTATAATATATAGATGTCCTGTGAATACAACATGTAAGGTTATTTATATATATATATATATATAAACATATACATTTACAATTTATATTTAAATATGCCCATGTGTGTCTGATCAAGAATTTCTTTGAGACCATAGCTACACGTCTCATTTTGATGCCACATTAACCTCGAATAGAATAAGCTGATGGGTTGATTCTTAGACATGCTAATAGACAGGATATGCTCATTAAATTCTCAAGTTAAAGGATAATCTTGTAATCTCTTCAGAAAGAAATTATAATTATATCGAGCACTATAATCCACCATTTGCCCCTCTTCAAAACCCCTTATGGCTTTAAATAGACACCAAACTTACGATGTTTTTGTCGGAGGGGGGCGGGGGATTGACAATTTCTCACCACTTGCTGGGTTAAGAAGACTTTACAAGCTTTCTTGATGAGGTACTTGAGAAATGTCAATGTGTTTAGTTCATTTGTCCAATGTTCGTTCAACATGGATATTTGTTTCGCTCTTATGGAAAATAAAGGCGCAGACATAGTTTACAAAGAATGGAAATAGCATAAAAAGTGGGATACATCTGGCGATGACAAAGTAGTAGTATGCAGTATATTGATTTTCGATTGGTTATGGTCTGTTTCGTTTCTTTGAAATACATAGTTTAATTGTCTTCATGCATATTTATAAGCAAAACCATTTACTATTAAACACAAAGGAGGGTCAGCTTTTGAACTGAATTGAAGTCTATCGGAATAAAACTGATAAGCTTAAACAAAAAAATACTGAATTATATTGCCAAATGATAACAGTGTTAACGATTATGAATGATTCTTATGACTTGAATAGTGTGTTTTTGTAGAAAATTAGATTATGAATCGTATATCATATTCCTTATCACCTGAAAAACGTGCTCGTATTTCGTAGATCCCATCATACACCTATGGTTGTCTTAACCGCGTGAAATAATTTTAGAAACTTGACTGATTATTAATCATCAAGCATTACTAATTGAACACCAGTCTTTTTTGTCTTACTTCCGGGAGAACCGCCCCTTACCCTTTTGTTGCCCCGGCCCAGAACTTGACGTTTGATAATGACGGATGAGGAACACATGAGTGAGCGATCTTCCATGTCATCTAAATGGAGAAGGAGACTTTCTAACAGCGGCAAGACGTTTGTATAAATAGGACCAGTACGACAGTTAAGACAGGATATACCACTATTGTAGTCGTTCGAGTTGGTCACATACAAAACCATTTCCAGTTTCCTCTTTACAGTTTTAGTCGAACCTCTTTCCGGGATTTTTGTCAAGAAGTCTCGCCCGTTTGAGAAGATGCGGGGTTTAGTTTGTGTGTTGGTGTGTCTAGCGGCTCTGGCTGATCAGACTCAAGGGCAGGTTGGACAACCGGTGCCAACTGGTGGCCAGCCCAGTGGACAACCGGTTACTCCTACAGGTGGACAACCAGTTACTCCAACAGGAGGACAAACGGGAACACCCTTTGGAACGACAGGACAACCAGGTACTACTGGAATGCCAGGACAAACGGGAATGCCGGGACAACCAGGACGTCCAGGACAACCAGGAATGCCAGGACAACCCGGTGTGCCAGGAGTACCCGGTGGGCAACCAGGACAACCTTTACAACCTCACGGCCACACGCCCCCAAACCACCCCATCACAGCTGGTCCCAATCTTAATGGCCCCGGAAAATGTCGCCCGAAGTGGACTGAATACAAAGGCCACTGCTATCTGTAAGTTCTACCAATGATTACCATTTATCTTAAATTTACTATCAGGAACCAAATGAAATCTGAAATTTGTATTGGAAAACCACCTAACACATTGCCATTCGGTCACACGAGGACATCAATAACTACGTGTACCTTTTACTTTGCGAAGAGAACCTTAGTATGAAGTTTATTTTTTGATTTGTAAATATATGTGATTTGAAATTGATGCAATTTGGCATTGGCTTACTGTTTTCAAAATAGGACCGTAAACCAGTTCGAAGTGAAGGCATACAACTCGGTATCATAAGCATGTTACAATGACTGTTACAAGTAACTGAAATCGTGGGATCTGATTTAACTATTTATTTTTTATGGAGTTCTATGAAACAGAGTCCTTGTCGTGGATAATAATTGCCAAGATTTCCGCTGAATTAAATTCCCGCACATTCTCTATTGGCATTTATGCTCGTAATAATTATGGATTTTATCATATACTATTAAGGTGAGGTTTGTATATTAGTGAGGAGAATTACTGTGAAATTTGTAAGGATCATCTTATGCAGGAACTGTGTACATCAAAGGGCAGGAATAAATCTCATTTTTCAGAATACCTACACTTATTTTGGGAGATAAGGTTTTCTGTAAGCTTTCGTTCAAAATTGGGTTTTAAAAAAAGAACTTGATCGAGGATTGCCCTTTCCTCTGTTGAACGTGATCTCAAACATGCTGCACCCATGTTCGGAATCGACTGAATAGACAGGTTTGATAACATATTCTTACCTGGGGTCCTAGTGACGAGTGATTCCATTAACCTGGAATCCAGTCTGCATACATTATTAGTTGCTATGTCGAGCAAGCCTCGGGCAATATTCCAAGTTGTCAAGAATAATCGTTGTTTAAAAAGTATGCATAACATTTGAAAATGTTATTTTACCAGTCTAGTGAAAGAATAAGGGACTATATATTTGACTAAAGAAAGTTCGGATTGTATCCGAAGTAAAGAAGAAAAAAAATATCGGTGCAAATGTATGTTTTTTGTACCTAACATGGGCTGATGACAAGCTCGTGAAATTGGTCTATTCTAATGAACGTGTTGAGTTGGAATGCTCGGATATTGAATTTGAAGTAACCTAACCAAGGGCAATATGTATGAGTTTTGGTGTCAAGACAATTGAGAAGAAAGAAATCCAGAACAAGATATACTACTACTACTACTACTACTACTACTACTACTTCTACCCATCCTAATACTACTACAACCTATTATACTACTTACTACTACTACTACTACTACTACTACTACTTCTACTACAACCTATTATACTTCTTACTACTAATACTAATACTACTTCTACTACTAACCACTACTGGTACTACTAATTCTACTACTTCAACAAAAACTCCAACTACTAATACTTTTAATACTACTTCTACTACATGTACTTACCACTACTGGTACTACTAATTCTACTACTTCAACAAAAACTCCAACTACTAATACTTTTAATACTACTTCTACTACTTACCACTTCTGGTACTACTAATTCTACTACTTCAACAAAAACTCCAACTACTAATACTTTTAATACTACTAGTCTACTAGACTTCTACCACTGCTATTCATAATTATTATTATATCTCATATGCAGTAAATGTTCATAAAATCGTAGTCTTTGATTCGTATGCCAAAAATATCGTGTGCGCTCAATTTTATATTCCTAATTGCATTGTTGTGTAATCCATCTATTTCGATTTTTTTTCTTTGACCATAGTTATTCAAGTGGCGCAGTCGAGCAGGTAGGGAATCCTGTGACACATCTTGGTGTCAACGCACAAGAAGGAAAGACCCAGGATGCGGCCAACCTGTTCTGTGCTTCTCAGCAGCTTGGCGCTACACTGGTGACACTCAATGATGTAGAGGAGAACGACTTTCTCTATAGCTGGGCTGTAGACATGATGGTTGAACCAGTCCCGGTGTGGATCGGTCTCCATGCCCACCCTACCCCGACCGGGTATGCGTGGCAGTGGTTCGACGAGAAAGAGCCAGTCCTCTTCACCAACTGGGATCGCCTTCCTGCACCTGTGGTCAGGGCTGGTTTAGGAGCAGTGCTGTTCGATGCTGACTTAACTGTGGTACCACCCAATGCAATCGAAATCAGCGGAAAATGGCTTCCGGTCGAAGGATTAGGACCGCAAGCTGAGCCTCTAGGGTTGATCTGCGAGTATTCCCTGCATGCTGGTCATATCCACACACCAACCGGAACCACCAACGGTTATGGGACAACTAAACTGCCAGCAACACCCTTCCAGCCTGTCTTGCTCAAAAACAATCCTGCTAACCTAAGAGATATTCTGAGAGGAGGACCTTTCGGAGGATCACAGCTCCATGAGGTACCACGAAAACCTGCCAGCTATAGGAAGAACCCCTACTTCGCTGTCCAGCCATAACTGCATCTTAAGCTGAACTATTTTATTTCCAGATTTCTCCATTCATACCGAGGACACCAAACCGGTGATAGCCCGAATTATGAATGACCTGTCCGTGAATGGTCAACATTATGGGTTGGTTTGGAGTCGGTTGAGAATGATTCCCTCTTTAACTTTCTGTTAACACTTCAACGGGAGTCGTAACACTTCCCAGGTACAATCTGTTATTAAGCTATCGTAGAGGGCGTCGTGCAAAGCACTGTAAGAAGGCATGTCTTTGCTTTTAAGGGTACTGTGTATAAAGCCGTTAAAAACAAAAGCAATTGCGACTGTCACACGAGCACCGGAGTCCATTGATGATGTTTGCGATAAATTGTTTTCTTAAAGCTACTACCTTGCTGTATACTGCATTTGACATTTACACCCTTTATCTCAATTGTAAGGCAAAATTGTATAGCTGTGTTCTCTCATAAAAGCAATTTCTGTCCTGTATGCAGAAGATGTCATATGACACTATTCATGTGACAATTTTAATATTTGTGTCAATTAATGCGCTGTAACGTGCGTGATCTATACGTTGTATCATTACTTCTTTGTAAATTGCATTATGAAGTAAAAATTAAAGAATTATTTCAGATATCTAGTGTGCATTGATTCTTTTTTGTTTAAGGTGAACCGGTAAAGCTCATTCGAGAAAATTGGTTCCCGAAGGCATGTGTGGGTGAATACCGCAATCGTTCTAGACAGAATGACAGAATCCAAGTCCATAATATTGACATTGCAAAGTAGTATAGGTGCAACCTCGGCCTGGTTTCTCGAAACGTCATAATAACATGATAGTTCGCTAATATACGCGTTTCAATAGGTTGTTGCCAAACTTGTCGGTTTCATGAAACTCTGCCCTGGCCTAACATTGTCCTATTGGTGACCTGACATTTGCGCCTTACAGAATTTCTATAACCGGAAGTCCTTTTATATATTATTCATAAAGAGGAAAGTGATGGGTCTCGGATTCCTCACTGCAATGAAAGGAGATACAAATACACGCTCAAAGTCCTTGATAATCATTTTAGAAAGAGAACACATTTTCAAAGGCATTTTCATTCTTTAATACGGTGTCCCTCTGACAGTGAAAATGCCCTAAAAATCATAAAGTATTACTGCCATAAATGTTCTCCAAGATTTTCAAACGTTGGCTTCATAGTGTAAAAAGGCCCACCAGAAATTAAACTTCAAAACAACTGTATATATTACAACTTTAAGCGGGTATATTGTGTAATGCCAATATGCACAAACAAATTGACGCACACACGCACACACGCGCACGCGCGCGCGCATACACATTTTAATGCAATTACGCGCTCAAAATACGTGCAATTTAAGAAGAAAAATGATGTTTTAAAAGGCATTTCATTCGGTAATCTGGTGTACCAGTCCACTGACAGAGGAAATATCGGTATAAATCAGCATTTCAAAAACATAAAGTACCAAACCTTTGATCCCTGTCAATCCTACTTGTTGTCATACGATGAAACTCGATTGAATTTTTTTTTTTTTTTTATCATTATGTACATTGTCTGCATAAATTCAGAGATCATTTTATATTTTGAAATTTATAATGCGGTTTAGCCTTTGAAAGTTTGATTGTTTGTTAGTTGATGTTACTTTTTTGTTTGTATTTTAAATTGCCACTCCCTTTTCTCAATCTCCATCTCTCTCCCCTTTCTAAATCTCGCTCTCCTTGAACAATCTGCCTCTCTCTCTCTCTCTCTCTCTCTCTCTCTTTCTCTCAATCTTTCTCTGTCTCTTCCTATCTATCTCTGCCTCTCATCTTAACCACATTTCCCCCTCTGCCCCTACAAGCTCTCGAAATAGCTCGCAATGACAAAACCACCACCTGATGCGGCAAGCAGTGCTAATTTATGATTTCCCACCTTTTTTTTATTTCGCCCTTAAAATAGAAACACGGAGCACCTCTGAGTAACCCTGGCCCAGGTTAAGGTCGGCACCAGAGTATGAATCACTAGTATTTTTCCCCACTTCACCTTGAAATAGGATCAACAGAATATTGCTATATATCAACGATAATGATATTGAGAAGTCATCGCAGCTGGACCTATTCGCTTGACGCATTGGTTCTTGACACCATTCGAAAGATGTAGACATAATAGTAAGAGTAAAGAAGATTGGGAAAATGAGATAAAAGGAGTGGACAGACAATGAACATACCAATATACATTTCAGGTGAAATGAGGAACCGGAAACGGGACACGATCGCAACTGCCTCCGAAAGATTAGGATAATTTCAATGGCCTGGTACGTCATTTTTTCAAAAGTGCAAATATTAAAAATACGTAATATGTATCACCTCCCCCCGGATGTTTTTAAGAAAGTAGTTTTAATCGTGTTATAGAATGAAAGAGAGGGTGAAAGAGAGAGGGGAAGGGGAGGTGACACCGGGAGAGAAATATACGCTTGGCGATATAGTAATAGATAGAAAATGAGAGGGGATAAAGAGAGAGGGGGAAGAGAGAGAGAGAACAAAAAAGGGGGAGGGCCCGTAAAGAGAACTACCGAGATTGATCGACAGATGGAGTTGATTCAGAGAAACGAGAGAAAGAGAGATAGAGACAGACAGACAGGGACAGAGACAGAGATAGGGAGAGAGACAGAGCGAGAGAGAGAGATGGGGAGAGGGGGAGAGGTTGGGGAAAAACGAAACGAGATGAGAGAACAGTAGTAGAAAAACGGCGTAAACAGTACCATGGACCGCAAAAAAGGACATGGAGGAAATACATTTATTAAGGAGAAGAAACCAGACAAAAGAGAGAAAATGTGGGCGTACTTAGAGTGCACTTATACATAACACAGCAACATTCAGGTACACAACAGAAGATTTACCATGCTCTTGGGTCACCTGACTCGTCCGTTCATTAACGTAGGTTTGCCACAGATTCTCCCGACAGATAATCATTCCACTATGTGGTCACAAAGCAATCACAAAAAGGATAGTCAGGAAAAGAAATGTTTAAAATAAAAAACGTGATTTTATTACTGAACAAAATGTACAATAGAAGCGATAAAGCAAACATAGGTAAATTATTTCCCAAAAGCCACTCTGTTTGACGGTGATATTCATATACACAAACGATTTGTCCTATTCTATTATGTACATACATCATACTTTCAGATATATTCTGAGAAAAAGATTGCATTACATAACAATATATTCTATATACTCTGATCAATGTCAAAAAGGTGATTTTTCCCTTTTTATGAGGCACACACAATTTCGAAAGAAAACAGTCAAGAACCATTAAGGACGAAGGTGTAATAATTTCGGTAAACATTATGGAAAGGGTTCAGTATCGGTGTTTCTGGAACAAATTGAGGAACCACTGTCTGCAATTTGACTAAATCACAAACAATTTTAACTAATGTACCCTTATCGGAAATTGTTAAAGTCTCTAGAACATTTGTTCTGCTGACAGTATGTGGAGAGAATCACTTTCAAGACTCTGAAAATACAAAGAAGGTCTTCTTTTCTAAAGAACTATTTCATTATTGCTCATTCGAGGTGGAATTCCTTCTAGCTCGGCACTAAGGACAATTAATTAGGATAGACGAGGATAGACGACGCCCTCACAGATGTCTAAGAGAGTTCCTTTTACTGTTCAATGGTAACTGTATTTGAAGGGCGACCTTGCGCCACCGATTGAGCGTTGTCTAAAGTAAGTTGAAATGAGAGTGTTACTGGATTATGAGTCCAGTGCAACTCTATGTTCATGGCTGGACGGCATAGACTAGGTTGGCATTTAGGTTTCCTGGTCTGCTCCGCGGTACCTCATGTAGCCGAGAACCTCCGAAACCACTCAGAAGACTCATGAGGTTGGAATTGCTGTTCATCATGGCAGGTCGTCGACCGGGTATACGGGGACCAGGCATCCTGGTGACAGGCATCCTAGTGGTTCGAGGGGGGTAATTCCCATGGGGGTAATTCCCAGGCAGAAGATCTTGAGGATGATATTCACAGATCAAAGCATGGGGCTCATTCCTACCCTGCTCTGGAACCCACTGCGGGGTGATCTCCACCTGGTTGTTGAATATCTGATTGATGATATCAGCATCAAAGATCATGGCTCCAAGACCCGGCTCAGCCATGGGGGCCCTGAACCCTTCCCAGTTGGTGTAGTTAACTGGTTCTCCGCTGTACCACTGCCATCGTCCCATTGGGCCAACGTGAAGACCAATCCAAACTGGAACAGGCTCAACCATCATCCTGACAGCCCACTCGTACAAGAGGTTGTTTTCTGCCAGGCTATTGACTGTGACAAGGGAGGCGTTGGGGTGCATCTGCGAGCAGTACGTATTGGCGGCGGCCTGGAAAAGCCCATCTTGGTTGTTGACGACAATGGGGGCGTTGGCGGCAACACGTCTTAAGAAGGCACCACTGTCAAATCTGTAGTCCAGCAAAATAAAGAAGAAGAAAAAAGACAATTGAAAATAATTATATGAACATATGAACATAAAAGCTATATTTAATATTGAGCACGATGTGGATGCTCAAGGCACCCACAAAGTTAAATTACCACCCTGGTTTCAGCCCAGCTGCTCTAATTTGCTATAAAAGCAATATATTCCTACCAGGTGCCCATTTACTACAATATGGGTGGAGAGTGGCAAATGTAAACTAATGTCTTGCTCTAAAAGGCATGGAGCCGTGGATGGAGGGACTCGAACCGCGAACCATGTAATCTACAGTCCGGTGACGTATCCACTAGTCTACGACACCTCTACTTAAATACACTTATCTTCCTCATTCTTTACTTCTGAGACTTTATCATACGCGTGTTTGTAATCTGAAGCGATCTACATCAAATCTTAAAATCACTCAAAACAGAAGGAAAAAGGAGGTCCCTTTTCATCACGGGTTAAAATGGTAATTAAAATGTCGGCATGCATGCCGGTGGTTTCCCGTCTCCGGCATTCGGGGGGCGGATAGGGTAGAAAGTGGTGACTCATTACCCCTGTCTCTCCCAGCGGAAAGTGAGTTTCTATCGCTGTACCTCCTGTGCGCTCCCTTTGCTACCCTATCTGAACCCCTTGCGCTCATTAAGGGGTAAAAAGAGGGTGAAGCGCCGCACCCCTAAAGGAGGTCACGCCCCACGCACCATGCGCACGCTTACGTTATCTTTAAAGGCTATCGAACACCTGCCAACAATTCCCATGTTGGAGGAGCAATTTCTATTTTTGTCTTCAAGCTATAAATGCCATGAACCCTAAATTCCAACTCTCTTTTTTCTGGAAGGTGGGTGGGTAAAATATCCGATTTCTTGAATATCATAATCAGATATATATTCCTTTGTCCACATAATACTGTAATAATGTGCCAGAAACGCTCGTGATATCCGTTACAGAGAAAAGGATAACAACCCACCCCCCCCCCCCCCCCCCATCGCCTTCGTTATGGCGATAAATATACTGCAACAAAAGTAAAGTAATGGACACTTTTCCTCTAAGGTCATAGTCGCTGGGATAAAAATTAATATCCTCAATTATTGGATGTTTTGATAAACACTAATGGGTTTGAAAGAAGAAAAAACATGGGGTAATTGATGATTAGGATTTTATTCTTGCTCACGGGGGCTAGTCGGATTTGTTAAGGGCTTGGGGATATCTAATCTGAAAGCACTATACTATCTTTTGTATCCTATAGGCCTAGTTATCAGGTTTGATTGCGGGATCACGTTATAACTTATTGTAAAGTTCACATATTGCAAAAGGTGAAGGGCAAAACTATTGCCTCATGTTTATTTTTTGAAAGTCTTCGGGCTTGTCCTTATCATTTTACAAGGATATTAATTTCAGCAAATTGGCAGGTAATCAACCCTTTCCGATGCAGGTACTACCGTTTTACTATTAGCCGTCAACTGGTAATTACCAATCCATCCTTTGCCCTTAGGTCGACTTTGTCATGTAGAATAGAAAAAATGAGCCCAAGCGAATATTTGTTCATTACGTGTGATGCAGACCACTACGGATTAGACAAGTATTGAGAGAGCCTGTTTCATCCCTGAGAAAAGTTATTTTCATCTTTATTTAAAAAAATTATTTTGTATAGAACACTTTCAAAATATCAACTTAAGGAGATTTCAAAAGTTTGTGCGTCATCTTCTGAATTGTGCGAACATTGCAATTAAATTTAACATAACCCAAACATGATTTATATGGGCAATACAAAAATTTAGTGAAAGCACCCTAAAAAAAAACTCTGGAAAATTCTTTGCGACCGTATTGCATCATGTTTCTAGTATGATCTGGAAAGGTCCCTATAGTTTCAAAGATAGCTTAGTTTTCATTAATAATGTTACTAGTCTTTTCGTGGTCGAGTGGTTAAAGCACTTCACTTAAATTGCAAAGGTCGTGGGTTCGATCCCCGGCCGACACGGTACTGATGCCCTTTCGCACGGCATTAATCTACATTTGCCACTCCATACCCAGGAGAGAAATGGGGACCTTGTAGAATGACGAAAGCCTTTGAGTTAGTAACTTCTACACGCATTGTTAACAAAATGCTGCAACTAATTTTATTCTAGGCCCCGGTGAAGCAAAATCAACCCATAACACTAACGTCCTTTAGCAAGACACTACGGACTTTTAGATTTGCATGTCGACAGCTTTGACTGCAACGTGTGACGTCATTTTAAGGCACTGCGCATGCGTCACGTCGTCTCAGTCGGCGATCGAGAATGCGTCAATCTTGATTTTCCTAAATCTAGTACGGTACTAGTATGCCGCGTGCGCATAAAATATACAGTTCCTCAGGTAGACGAAGGAACATCCGCCTTCCCTGCTATTATTTAAAAATGTGTAGAACAGGTGTCACATGCATTTTCACCTGTTGACGGTAGAATGAGGAACTGTATATTTTGTCCTCCTTCTTTGTCCATCATGATCATAGTGTTACTTCATGCATGCAAGTATATCGTCGAGTGCAATCTAAAAGATTTCTAATTGTAGTCAACATGGGCAGTTGAGTACGTTGACACGCATAATCAATCGGCGTTCGTCGTGTTCTCGTCCACTCAATCTAAAAGTCCCTACTAATTCACATGAGCCACACTCGACCGAGTCCGTCGCACTGAGCGCTCCAGTTGGAGCTAAAGCAAATATCCAAAGTTTAAACTTTCCTGATGAAACTGAAATCCTAGTTCGCCAATGAGCTATAACACATTCCCGTTTATAAATATAGGTATTTATATTGCAAACTAAGAAGGAATCTTCATGATATCGTATTGTTCATCAAAGATTTTGTTTGTGTGTGGTTAGTTTCCCCCATTTCATCATATTAACTACTCCGTTATGAGTATTTGTATGTAATAGTTGGTTTCTTGGGAAGCCCGAGTTTTACACGATAAAAATAAACCAATGTTAACCTGAAATGGCAGTTTTCTAGATTAGTTAAATAATAATAATAATGATGATGATGAAACATCGTAATAATCATTAACCCAGTAAAATTCAATTTAAGTTTAAATTTAAATTTATTGTCCAATATTGGAAATTTGTTTTGCTCACATTTTACAATTGTACAAAGAATCAAAATAAGTTTACATACACAATTTATCTTATACTTTGACATATACTCAAAAAGTTATCCTTACTTTATTACACATGTATCAAACGTAAGTTTACTTTGTCTTTCATCGATATATATATATATATATATATATATATATATATAGCAAAAGAGTATAAAATTATATTTGAATTCACAAATTGTTGGCTTTGAATGTGGTTTAAAACTTACAGATAGCAGCTGTTTCCTTCCTCCATCCAGAACTTAGCACATCTCTCCTTCCGGTTAGGATCGTGAACTACGGGATCAATACGACCAGGAAAACCAGGTTGTCCTGCACCGGGACCTGCTCCAGGCCATCCACCTCCAGGTTGGCCACCTGCTCCTGGCCATCCACCTCCCGGCTGTCCACCTGCTCCTGGCCATCCGCCTCCAGGCTGTCCAACACCAGGTTGTCCAAAACCAGGTTGTCCGGCACCAGGCTGTCCCCATCCAGGTTGTCCGACGCCAGGTTGTCCAACTCCGGGTTGTCCCCAACCAGGTCTACCGGGCTGTCCTACACCGGGCTGTCCAAAACCAGGTCTATTGGGCTGTCCAACACCGGGTCTATTGGGCTGTCCAACACCGGGTTGTCCAAAACCAGGTCTATTGGGTTGACCAACACCGGGTTGTCCAAAACCAGGTTGACCCCATCCTGGTTGTCCACCACCAGGTTGTCCGGCACCAGGCTGTCCGACACCAGGTTGACCCCATCCAGGTTGTCTACCACCGGGTGTTCCAGGGTTACCAAACCCAGGTTGTCTTCCACCGGGTGTTCCAGGCTGCCCGACACCAGGTTGACCCCATCCAGGTTGTCTTCCACCGGGTGTTCCAGGGTTACCAAAGCCAGGTTGTCTTCCACCGGGTGTTCCAGGGTTACCAAAGCCAGGTTGTCCACCGACACCAGGCTGTCGTCCGCCTACACCGGGTTGTCCACCGACACCAGGCTGTCGTCCGCCTACACCGGGTTGCCCACCAACTCCAGGTTGTCCAGGTTGGCGATTACCAGGTTGATTTGGTCGACCACCGACAGGCGGTTGCGGTCGTCCTGGGAACTGGGCTTGGGAATGTACAGCAAAAGCTGCTAAACACACCAACACACAGAGAAACCCCCTCATCTTTAACCACAACGACGGTGTCTCAACTATAAAAAAATCCTTACAGTGACTCAACTAAAGTTTCAATTGGCTAAAGTGGTTGTCGGGGTGACCAACTCGATCCTGCGATATTGGTACTGAGTGCTCTCCGTCGAGCAGGAACGGGCTTATTTATACAAGCCCCCCATGATGAAAAAAGTAGCGCTCTTCCTTCTACGTAATTCTGGTCGGAGACAGCGCACGCTCATCTGTTTAGCAGCATCCGTCATCATCAATTTCTAAATCCAATGAGGGATACCCTTGAGGAAAGGGGCGGGGCTTCACCGAGATGCCAGATAAGGGGAAAGTATCAAACGGGGATGGGGGGCAACCGCTATGGTGATGTTCAGAACTAAAATACGCCTTCACCTTTTCAAATGTCACTGTGAGTAATGCTTCCTAATTTAGAAACGTTTATAACGATTCGTTTCTACTTCTCGAGTCCCTGTATTTGACTCTCTTTTGTTTTTTAGTGATGAGGTGATTATATACAACAAGTGTTGTTTTAACAGTATTGTATTATTGTCTTTTGTTACGTTTGTTCAGTTTCTTTATTTAGATCATCCCGGATTTCCTGATATGCGAAACAAATGAAATGTTAAATAGATCGAAGTGAACTGTTGTTGAATTACTGATTTAAATAACGTATAATAATTACGACAATCAATCTTTCCCCAAAAGGAATGTACACTATCTTGTTTCTGCTCACTGTGTTTTCCTTTCTTTTGTGTTTCACCTTATTTCCAAGAAGACAGCGAAACATCAACAAAGAATACTCTGTACAACACATAAGAAATAGTGAGCCAATGTTGGCCTTCCAAAATTTCTAGGAGCATCGAGTCCGTGTCAGGGTTTACGTCAACCCTCAAGACTTTCCTGTTCCCAGATGCGACATTAGCCTCAAGAATAATACTAATACCAACAAAGAACGCCTTCTTTTCATTTCGCCCCCCCCCCCTTCCTCTCCCTCTCTTTAATTCTCACTCCTTTTTATCTCTTTCGCTCTGTCTTTCATAATGTCCCTCCTAAGCAAACTCTCTCTCTCTCTTTCTCTTTCTTATTTCACCTAATTGGGTTTCTTTCTTGGTTTCCCCCTTCTGCAATCTCGATTCCTCTCATCTATTTATCTCTTTCTTTCTCGACCTTTATATCTATTGCATTACATGTCCAGAGGCCCCTGTGATTCCTCTCTCTCTCTCTCTCTCTCTCTCTCGCTCTCTCTTCCTGTCTCTCCCTCTCTCTCTCTCTCTCTCTCTCTACCACCCAGCTGTATCTATTGAAAAGCATCCCGCGGCGAGTTTTATTGCTAATATCTCTCACTTCAGACAAGACGGGAAAAACGCAATAATGATTAATTCATATTTCCCGTTTCTGTGGTATTTAGGGTAGGCAAAAAAGGTCACTGTTGTTTTTTTTTATTCCCGCAGTGTCACAATATAGCTCAGAATAATTCCAGTGTAGAAATATATCATATATTACACCGAGTATCAGAGAAAAGGGGAATTCCTTTTTTCCGAGGAGTAATGATAGATTTTGCTCTGTGAAGTGTCTACATTTTGATTAATTCAAGAAGAAAAGTGGCAAGTGTTTGAATATAGGGAAGGGTCCGGAATGAAATCTATTTCTTGCTGTTTCGATCGGACTAATCATTTCTAGAGCCTGGCGATCTCTCTAAAACTCTTGTTCTTGAAAATATGTATCAACGCTCTGTGGTATTTAGGTAAGGCAAGAAAGGTCAGCGTTGTTCTTGGAATATTCAGGCATACATATCCATCTAATTCACATTTTGACAAAACATGTATAGTGCCTCGAGGACACGACGCATTTCCCGTTTCCAGAGGGCGGTGTTTCCTTTTCAACCATAGCGTCCTGGGATAGGTAGTTGTAACATGCGCACGCGACCGCGTTTAATGGTCACCTCACGGAGCGCCAACGCGTCCTTCGCACATGCAATCCCCATGGACATGGTAAGAGGGGACTGTCAAGGTGCTTCACTCACGATTAATTTGACGTACGAACGAGCGTGACTTCCCTTGACCTAACTCTGCTAGCTATACAGTAATTACCCCTTGCATAAGTACTAGTTAATTGATCGTAAATAGCCATAAAGTGAAGCCATCCGCAAGAGATAACTCCCTGTCTTCTCACCAAGGAATTTCCGTGATTTTGATCATCTTGATTTGAACCACGTTCGCTTTCCATATCAATAGATACATGCTCTATAATTATATCGGTCTGATTGGGGGGAAATCGTGAACAATACATACCCCTGCGACAACTGCTCATCTTAAGTTTCGTGTAATAAGCCTAAACCTAACTTGGTCCCGACAACATCCTGAAACCTAGACCCCAATCATAAACTCAATCTTAACCCTCATTCTCGCATTCTGATGTTATAAAGCCTGATGCTACTTTTTTTTCCTTCATTTTTTCATTATGTTAGCATGTGTTATTGATAACATGTTTTGTAGGGGGATATGAGGGCGAACGGTAGTCATTAATTAATCAGTAGTAGAGGGTTGGTTTCAAATACAGACAAAGCGTAATGAAGCCATGGTACCTAATACATTATGTCGTGCATCAGTTAGGGTTATGGTTTCTTACACTACTACTACTACTACTACTACTACTACTACTACTACTACTACTACTAAGTAGTAGTCGTAGTAATGATAATGATAATAATGATAACAATATTAATACAAATAAGCGTCTCAGAGCTTAGCACAACTTTTCTGTTATTGTATATTTATTCCATCCCTTATATTTCCAAAACAGCAGTCGCATTTAAATGGATATCTTTATTTTGCTTATTCCTGTCACCGAAACACTTGTTTCAAATCCTGTTTCCTTCTTATAAGGTTGCCTCTGTGTTCCACAAAGCCCACATCAACACATGGTGTCGATTGCAACAAAGGAGTTGTCACACCGCCAAACAAATCCCACATAGTCTTATCCGATTGATGCAATTGTCAATTCAGGGGAACATTATGGGGAACAGTATATTTTTCTTCTTTAAAGATGAAGTTGAGTTCTGGTCATGCGATTGCATTGTGAAAGAAACGGTGTGGAACCGACCAGAAAAGGTTGATCATCTAGCATATAAGAATTTGTGTGTATTGCAAGGTTCTGGAATCATCAAAATGATAAGAAATTTGGCAAGTCTTGGTAAAGTTACAAACACTTGCACAGAAAGATGTATATGGGACTACACGAACACGTGGCGTAAAAAGCCGGCCCCCGATTTTTACGATATAACATGCATATTTAGAATATGAAGGCATTTGAAGAGCCATGCTTTTCAGGGAACATGTCTTAACTGATGTTCTCCCACACTTGCATAATAAGAATGAGTAACGCTCACAAATTATTTTTCACCTCTTCCCAGAACTCAACCTTCTCTTTAAAGATATAAATGAAATAGTACTCCGAATCGTCCACGCATGAATGTGTCACTAATTCACGATACTTCGACTTTTGTCATTGCCTCTACAAATCCCTATGTTTTCTGTCAAGCTCTTGAATTTCCACGAGATGTTTATTTTTAAAGATAAAACATACGAATTTGAAATGATCGGATTGGATTTTCCTTGAAAGACTTCATGAATGGCTGATCATCAACGAAACGGATTTAAGTCTTTTGTCGATTATGTTTGTTACTACGGCAGGAAGCCAGGGAAAACGAATTCGTTTTAAGCATTACTTTTAACAAACGTTTTTTTTTTTTATTATTATTATTCCTAGCTCATTTTTCCTGATTGAGGTGTCATATGAAAGGGCAGAAAATTAACTTTCTAGAAATGTGATTTTCTCCTTGAAATTCAGACACCGTCCGCCAAATATCTTTTTGGTACCCTTTCTTCAAATTCATTTTAAACACTTATGCGTGAAATATGCATCATATGGTTTGCATCACATGAAATCTAAGCCTTACAAATATGTGTTCTTTATTAATTACAATTGTGTTTAGGTTATGATAAAACATCGATAATTCTCGGTTTTGTTTTTCTTGGACGCACAGTATAGCAATATGCACCTTATTCTGGGTTAACTTTCGACGAAAACAGAAAGGTTTTAGAAATTCTGTAATTTTTGCAGTCCCTCTTTTCGGGGGCTCTCCTCGCTCCCACGCGCTTCCGAAACTGCTGTTTGTATTTATCAGCGCAGCAGATACTGATCTCCAGAAAACTATTTATACCTATGACCTTTTTCCAACTTTGTTATGCTGTATTGATGTGATAGAGCTCCCTCTATAAGAATAGACAGAGACAACCTTTTCTTTTCCTTTAACTCTTGGCACCGAAACGAAAGACCCCGCACTGAAGTAATGTAGTTAAGATTATAATGTCGTTTTGCTCGTGAGATAAGTGAATCTGACGTTATAAAAAAAAGAATTTTGGAAACTTGGGAAGGATTCGATAGTTAGAAATCTCATCTGATTCCATTATGGCACACCTGGAAAATCAGAGGTGCAACATCTTGTAATAGGTATGAAAGGGATTGATATTACTCGGGCTATAACTCCGGGGGGGTGTTTCACAAAGACTAAGAACGACAATAAGTTGGACTTAACTATGGCAGACCATTCATGCCACTGTATCTTTATATCATATTTTTCCTTCAATAATGAATCATCAAAAAATGTAAATTCTGTAGATTCGTGACCATGATTTGTACGTCCCTTGAAAGACCAATGCCAGTAAATGGTGAGAGCTAAGAGTGGCATGAACGGCCTGCCATAGTTAAGTTCAACTTTAAGTCGATCTAGTGTTTGTGAAACACCCCATGCGATATTATCACGATTATCAAGGCATGGTGCACTTCTTGAGTTTATAAGGTGGCGCTGTATTGGGAAACGGGCGACAAAACTGTCATTTAAAACAAAAAAACTGTTTGGTGGCTCTCAGTTTTTTTGTTATTTTCCACCGTTTTTACCTCTGTATCAAGTAAATTCCTGTTTCTTCTGAATTTACTTTATTGTTTTCCTCAGCCTTTCTTTCCTTTCCCTTTCTGTCCTGCTTCATTTTGGTCTTCTTTTTTCTCGCTTTGGTCATGTATCTTCGCTTCCCTTCTTCACCTTTATTTATCTTCTTTTTTTTTCTTCTTTCTTGCTTCCTGAACACTGTCATTTTTGTTAAATCCTGTCTGCACAAGTTTGGCCTGGAGGGATTAGACCTCCCTGCGCAGTCACTGGCAGGTGGTTATCTCATCCAATCAGCTCTCACTTAACATTTTAAATAGGGGATCATGGGGGACCAACGGGTATCGCTTAGGCACTATCTGCTATATAGAGGGCGCAAGTAGCTGTAAGTAGTGTAGGTCAGCTTTAAAGAAAATATGATAATACTGTAAAATGTTAGTTGTTTTTCTTTGAGTATTGACATTTTTAAATCTTACATTGCTTTCCATTACGTAATTATGATAAGCATTTTATGTTGTTTTAGAACTGCAATCAATAATTGTTCAGTACAAATTTCGTTTGTATTTGCAAGCTAGGGACAAATACATGCATTTATCTTGAAATTGAGGGGTAGCTAGACGTGGTTTATGGGGGCTAACCCCTCTGAGTCATTGCAACCCGAAACATATGCAAGACAAATATAGCATAAGACAATGTTTGTAATTGGAGGGAGACGATTTTCAGACGGTGACTATCCCAGCGAGAACCGATAAATCATATTTCCTGTGTCTACAGATGCCCGGGTATTAAAAGATGGCACTTTGAACCTTCAAGAGAAGATTTAGTTCTGGTAGAGATCATATGATTTTTAAACTTTCTCGATCCTTTTTTGTTGTGATACTTTGGTGTGTTGGGGTACCAGACAGGTAAAGCACTTAATGCTATTTTCTGGTCCCATTAATCCTTTCGAAGTTAAACATTCACATTTTATATTGATGTACTTTTTGTTTGGATAATAAGACATTCAAACTCAAACTCATGTCAGTTTATAAGGAAATAATAGAAGTGTTAGGAGGATGGCTGTTAGAAATGTGACGAGAATTGGCTGACTTTAATAAGTTATTAATCTTTGTTACCAAGTCCCTCGGATAGTTGAATTTTGTTACCGAGGGCGCTACACAATTATTTTTGTTTGTGAGATAATGAAAAAATGGGTGTCAAATTTGAAAAAAAACATACAATTCTGATGACAACGTCATCGTTGTTGGATCAAAATCGGTTCAGAGACGGCTGAAATATTCATAAATATAACCCTTTCTAATATTTGTGGGGCACCACACATATTCAATAATTTTGAACCAGCCGTTGAAAAAACGAGATAACGCCTTGTACGTTTTATTTCAGCCAATGCCAATGTTGGCTTTTTGTGGGCTTTTTCGTGTTGGTTATGATACGCACAACCAGCCAGCCCGTGAATTGTTATTATTGATTAATTAATTAACGGTCACCGTATTTTTCTGAAAGCGGAGCTGATTTGGTATAATCGTATTTGATCTAAATTTCACACATTTGGGGTAAAAAAAAAATACCTTCATAGCAATTTTAGGGTCTAAAAGGGCACTAGGAATGTCATATATAAGAATAAGAGCACTAAACGTGCACTTTGAAGACATTTGAAGTCCTAGAAAAGAACTCAACTATCCCTTTAACACTGACGATCCACAGGTTGCTTACTCCGCTTTTCTCTTTAACTGCGAGCAAGCTTCAAAACCGATTTCATGTTTCGGATTATCTTCCGGGATACTCTATTGGAAATGGCAGCATTAAATATCACTTCTTGTATGCTTACCACGAGTTCACTAAAGACGATATAACTTGTGAACAGATTATAAAGCAGACTAGAAGCGGTCTTGACTGGTAAAGGAGGGGCCTAGACTGCGTTTGTGAAAGCTAAGAAGTCTGTTCAACATAATTATTGAACAAAATGGCCATTTTTTTTTTTTTTTAAGCCGACGATTTTTTAAGACAGATTTTCTAGAATCTCCACAAATTATTGTGGAAAAATAAGAGCGTAGAATGTTTTGGAGGCTCAAGCTGTACATTATTTTGATAATGGTGGTTATTTTACCTGACAGCTAAAAAAGCGATAAATGCTTGTTAGTAAGCAACCACAAGACCGACGGGTTTAGGTCCTTTCCGAGGGACCTGGTTATGAGGATTAATGCCTTTATACCAAAGGGCACTAGCGCGTCGTCTAAGTTTCGAACCCGGGTCACCGGATTACGAAACCACTGCTCTCCCGACTGAGCTATCGCGGTGAAAGACGAAATGGAGAAGAAGGAAATCTTGTTGGTGTATCTTCAAACTTGTAATCAAATTAAGATTATTTTTGCATTAACGAACAATAATCTGCATTAAGTATTTATACATACAACAATCTACGTATATAAAGGATGATAATATGTCATCGCAGAAACACAATTTTCACCTCGTTATGGTTATATTTAAAGGTAATACAAAGTTTGGGGAATTTTTGAAAATTGGGTGGATAGTGATTCATTACAATTTTGATATATTTGGATGCCCCTGTGGATGTAATTATAAGCACTAGAAAATTTAGCCCCTAAACCACTTTTGCTTTCGAGAAAAATTGAATATAAAAATTTACCGGTGCTCCCGGTAAATTTTGATAAATTTAAAATAGCGCCTACGGCCGTACAAAGGTAGCTGCGACCATGAAAATCTCAGAATATGTAGTTATGATATATAATTTCCAAAGGGGAATAGCTAAACGGTCGGTTTTAGTCAAGAAACATTGTTTTATTGCTTAATTAATATCTTGACCTTGAGAGGGAGCTATACAACATAAAGAGTTTATTATTTACAATTTCATAACTTTAGAATCGATTTCAACCGCGACAACGAGAACTGAATATTGTAGGATCGCATATGCTTCCAATATGTTCATTTGAACCAAATTGATGACCCAATACCAAAACTTTGTATTACCTTTCAGATGTAAAGAACAACAATCCTTACAAAGTATGCAATTCATTCCTGTATTTCATTGAATCAGCTTAATTCTCTTCCCAAATATGATCACATTCCTTATTTTATTAGTATCAACATGATCAATGCCCATTCCTTTCCTCTGAAAATATCGAATCTTAGAGTTTCAATTCGATAAAATTACTAGGAAACGACTTGAATGCCATTGCATTCGTGGTGAAATTAGCTAAACGTACCCTAGGCTTGGCACAACCATAGGACTTTAAGATACTTCTTATCAAAACAAGACACTCATCTTTCCCTTGTACAGACACATGTCTGATTACCAGGGCTCAATACAAACGTGACTTTTACGTTCCTCTTTTTTTATTTATTGTTCACCTTCTAGCTCGTCTTGCTAAGAGCTGATACATGATCGGAACTGTCATCAGGAGCCTACTGGCATCCCTCATACTTCCGGTTGCAACGAGTTGGCCATGGTGTCATGGTGATAACACGGTGATTAACTGGGAATTAATTTTCTGGAATAATCACAGGTTCCTTTTTTAGGATGGAGGTTAGCGGAAGGGGCAAAGAGACTCGTCGAGTCAGCTGAAATGATTAAAGACGAATCTCAAGGATTTGAACTCGAGGGTATCTTTCTTCAACCACGAGGACATGTCTCATTATGGTTTCATCAAAAACTTCCTCTCGGTGTAATTTGGGAAAAGTAAATCTAAGTTAAGTTAACTTGCTGGAAGTCTGCATTCTGTCTCCCCTCACACGTTAATTGAACAGAAGTTGAGAAGACATCATGTTGTCGTGCTTTATTGAAAGAGCTGTATTGCTTTACAATAGGGGTTGAATAGTGCATAATATATATGCCAAGGACTGCAGTTTCCATTTCATCAGATTTCAGTCTACACCTGGTCCTTGACCCATATGTGGTTCTTGATCCGGAAGCTGTATACGCGTTTGACAAACTGTATGCTGGTCGCTGCAGTTCAAAGTCGCTCGCTGCAAAGGGAAAACTGCTCTTTTTATAACTTTCTGTCCTCTTTTGAAATTAAACATATGTGTTAACATGTTTCTTGGTGGCTCACGGAATTCTTTGGGAATTCGATTTCCGAAAAAGTTGAAAATTGCCATCCTTATCTGCTTTATAACTTTTGTTTTATACGCCCTCGCACATGAACTGATGAGAACATTATGGATAAACCCTGACCAGAACTCCAATGGTATTGTGCGGGAAGCCTACAGCGGAAATATTGTGAACGCTTCAATAGGCCATGAATGTACGGAGGGTAACTGTCTCAATGAGATCGAAGGTAAGATTACTGTTGCAACAACTGTGATCGAAAGCAATGACCCAATGGGGGAAGATTTGAAGGTCAGGTTCAATGGTGGGTGGTGGGTGTCTTCTACAGTATCCCGTGAACATCATCTGCACTATGCTGTCAACTGTAGCGGTATCATCCAAGGTGACCCTGTGGCCTTAGACATGGCAGAGACCACCCTTAACTGGACTAGAGAGGAAAGACGAACGCAGATGCCTTCGGATGAGGTAGTGGCCTCATGGACACGAAACTGTGATTATTACCGGACGAAACGGAAGTACCCAACGCAGGCAATGTCACAGGAAGAGTTAGACTTTCCTTTGGCGTTTATCCTCCTCGTGCATAAGGATTCCGCTCAGGTTGAACGGTTGCTGAGGGCCATCTATTATCCGCAGAACATATACTGCTTCCATGTCGATGCCAAAGCGGATCAGGATTTCTGGACAGCCATCCTTGGACTGACGCGTTGCTTCGACAATGTCTTTATAGCTTCAAGACTTGAGAAAGTCCAATACAGGGGGTTCTCCCGTCTCCAGGCGGACATCAACTGCATGGAGGATCTGGTCTCTCGGAAAGAATTCAACTGGAAGTACGTCATCAACCTATGCGGCCAGGACTTTCCCCTGAAGACGAATCTTGAGATCGTCCGGCAGGTGAAAGCGTACGGAGGCCTTAATGACATCCCGGGTGTGTATCCGAAGCAAGATGAATGGTTCGTCACCCGAACCGAGAATCATCATCGGGTCGTAGATGGAAAATTGCAGAAAACAAAGATAAGGAAACCGCCACCGCCTCATAATGCTAAAATGTACTTTGGAAACGCCTACTACGTCGCAAGAAGACCGTTCGTAGAATACATTCTCAATAATAAAACCGCAAAGGATATCTTGTATTATCTAGAAGATGCGAACAGTCCTGATGAGCATTACTGGGTCACCATGAGTCGCTATCCGGGTGCACCGGGTGGATATCCATACTCGTCATGGAAATCAAGCACTCGGTTTATCCGATGGACTGTAGGAGACGAGTATCCGCCATGTATTGGAAAGTACGTGCGACAAGTTTGTGTTATCGGATTCAGATATCTGCCTTTTGTCACGAGTATACCACATCTGTATGTAAACAAAATACATTACGAATTTGACCCACTTGCGTTACAATGTATTGAAGAAATGTTGGACTACCGGACAGCATATCCGAGTGCAATTGCCGATTTTGTTCCGGATTACCCATTGACCGATTTGTTTCCAGACAATCCGCCGAAAAACACATAAATGAAGTCGAGAGAGGGGGGTTCCTTGGAGCCTTGTAACGTTTATTATGATTGAGAGCAGGTTCTCTTACCAATTCTCGTTTTTTATTGAATTATAGTTGTAAAATGATCATGAACATCGTAGCAAAGACTTTGAAAAGGGGATTATTATTAACAGCCATGCGTCACAGTCTACATGTATTATACTGACCATGGTTCTACATAGGCATCACAAAGGGTTATTGAGATTTCCCATGATATACTTTCTAGAAAGTCTCAGCGTCTTTTAGTCTTTACATAGATATTATAATAAATTTGCTCTCTTGAAAATTGTAACATGTATGTTTCGTTTAAATAATGTATGCTATGCTCTCAGCTTCAGTGCTCTCGCTCTAAGCCAATAATTTATTTTGAAAGTAGGACTATTTGATGTTTTCACCATTGGTATTTTCTCAAGAATTTGTCATGTTTTTATTGATTTTTGTCTTATTATCTAGAACGTAGGAAGGGCCTTCGGGTATGGTAGGAAGAGAATAGCACCCCGTCCCACCGCTTAAAGTTTGGGTTTACAAATTCACCATTTTGGGTAGCAAAATTGTGCTCCTTCTTCTTCTCCTGTATAAAGTGTATGGGAGGTATTCTCGAAAGCTTTAGTCCATGGTTTAATCCCCCAACTGAGTTTTTGAATGTTTGATATGTACCTAAATTACCATGATAATATAATTATGTTATAGTTATATTGTTGCTTATTAATTATGTTATTACATTTTATTTTAATTTAGTGACAGATTTAATTATTCAAAAACATATTTATATGGACACTTGGCATTCAATACTTAGTCGGAGGATAAATTTTCTTTCATCGTTGAAGATCAGCACACTGCAGAGTTGTGTGCATGCAGTCAGTATGGCACCAACATACTTCAGGTGCAGACCTTCTTCCTGGCGCCAGCCAACTAAATAGATCTTAACCCATTAATACTATATTTAAAAAATCATCTGGCCCTTGCATAACAAAATGATTGTCATGAAAAGTGCTTCCAAAGAAATTTGGCTACTAGTTGTTGCTGTTGCTGATGTTGTTTTTGCTGGTCGAGTTGTTGTTGTTGTTGTTGTTGTTGTTGTTGTTGTTGTTGTTGTTGTTTGCTTATCTGTTAATATGTTTGTTTATGTGTTTGGTTGGTTGGTTGTTGTTATTGTAAACGTTGTGTATGACTAAGCACTTTCAATAACTTATACCTTTTCTTTTGCAATTAATTCTGTATATACATTGGTAATAAATTAAATGACCCCAAATATTAACGTGTTTGGTTGAATCCACTGCCCTCTTTATCTAGAAAAGCACACGAAGCGATACCCCTACGTGATTTTTGCTATCCTTGACTATAGCGGTCAAATTCATGACGTATGTACAGCCATCAACCACGAACGGAAATGACCTTAGTACCCATAACGGAAGTTGTCATTTGGTACCTGATCTTAGCGATTGGTCATCCTTGGCCAAATTTCATTTTGTCTGGACAGGACGCTAGCATTCAGCTTTGGTCATCCGAGATTGTGTTTACTAGGCCATTTAATGACCTGACTCACCTTGGTTTAATATTTATGTTATGAATCATATTTTGCTGTCCCCAAGGTGTGAGATCTCACACCAAGTTTGTAAGTAGGCCCAGATATCTCATTGCGGACAGCGAATTGAATATTAATTTCGCTGTACCCACGATTTGAGACATCTCGCCGTTATGAGGAACGCGTTGTGAGATATCGTAGCGTTGGGACAGCGAAATATCATACTAAATCAAGCCTTATTGAACCAGGTTATAAAGTACCTTATAGACTAATAAATAGGGCTCACCCAAACAGTGCAGTGTTCAAGTTGAGATATTGTTATTGTCAGTTTTTAAAGGAAAAACGTTTGGTTGTGAAAGCTCTGATGGGGTCAGTCGTACATTCATGAATTTGATAATTTAATTATTCTTGTCCATAAATGTGGAAATATGCTTTCCATCAGCAATAACATACAATACAGGGAATCAAGACAGCAAAAGTACAATAAAAACACATATATAATGTAAAAAACAACCAAACCAATATCACCTGTTTACATTCTAAATAGAGATGTTATTCTACTCGTTATTGATATTCATCTTCTTAAATTTCTCTCCTCATTAAATTATAAGTGTGCTACTACTACTACTCTTCATTCATTTACATGAAAGCTATCATTAAATGTAGTAATGTCTTTCTTTTATAAATTACGTTCTCTGCTGCTCATGCATGCATATGTACATGTATATTATATCTATGGATTTATTCATATGTAGTTTGTGTATACACCAATGTTAAAGGCAACTTTTTCGTTTTGTAGCGTGGGGGGGGGGGATTACCTAAGCATTTGTATACATATATCTTTTAATTATATTACAGAGCACTTGTAACTATTTTTTTTCTCAAGGGTCTATAAAATACAAGCCATGCTTTTTAATAGACTCCTCCACTATGTTTTACCACTGTGCCAATCTTAAATCATTTATTTAAATAGTTGTATAATCATTTGTAAAATGTTTGGTCAATATTATGTTATTGAATTTATATATATTGCATATTCATTTGATTATGTTATATCATGCGGAAAAAAATAAAGAAAGCTTGAAACATTGTAGTTCATATCAAATATAGTATACTTCTCTTAATTAAACAATGGCTTATAGACTAGTTTATGTAGAAGAAAATAAACACAAAAACTAACGATTGAAGTGCGAGGCGGAAATGCCGGAGGTGGACCCCAGCTGAGCAGCGCCCTCCTTAGGTCTCACTAAAAGAGAGAATCATTAGTCTGCGGAAATTAGCGCCTGTTCTCAGGTAATTGGAGAGTACAAAATAGGGCGGTTCAGTGATACAGTAAATCTATAGCGCTAGTTCAAATGACCTGGCCGTCAAAGTTAATTTATTTGACTTGAGATGCCTTTCGCTATCCTTATTTATCAGTGCTTTCATTCATTTTATAGCCTTTAAAGTGAAACGGTAATATTGTTGAAGGTTAATGAAAAAGAATTGTACGAAATTGTACTTATTATATTCGTTTTACTGTACTAACCCTCTGAAATGCAAAAAATCCAGAAAAATTCTCAAACCACATATATATTTAAAGTTTTCTTTGGAGGCGTTATGTGTACCTCCCTCTAACAGTAAATGAATTATCCCAACCGTTGTTCATGAAATTAAGACATAAAACAGGCTCTTTAAAATCGTGTAACACTTAAAAGTTTGGAATGGTATATAAAGCCAATTCATTGCTTTGTGGCAATATACATACACCTAAAATTTATTTTAATATAATTGGGAGATTAACGAATCGATCAGACCATTTTTCCCATTGTTTATCATTAATAATGGCCTGTTTTCACTCAAAATGTTTTCACTCAAAATTTCAGATTATCTTTAATTGCACATCTAGCATTGAGGTCACTACATTAGCCCCATGTTCTCTCATCTTAACAATGTTACCAAGTTCATTAAAGTGGATCGTGGACCTATAATAATATTTTCAAAACTCAAAATGTGAACACAATATCCAATTAAAATGGTAACTGCTAGATTGCGTCCTTTGAATTAAGCGATTTATGGAGGTTTCTATATGTAGGCTCTATATCACCTTCCCCCCCCCCCCCCTCTGACTCTCTTTCTCTCTCTTTTCTTTCTTTCTCTCTCTCTCTCTCTCTCTCTTTCTCTCTTTGATTCGCTCTGTCCGTCTCTCTCGCTCACTTTCAATTCCAATCCCTCTTCCCATCTCTCTCCAATTTCTCCTCTTAATTTTATACACCCCTTCCTCGATTCTCATGCTCCTTCTCACACTCTCTACCCCTCTCTCCCGAACCCCAACCCCCCTCCCCCTCTCTCTCTCTCTCTCTCTCTCACTCTCTCTCTCTCTCTTTCTCTCTCTCTCTATCTCCCCCTCTTCCCTCTCTCTCTCTCTCTATCTCTTTATTTTTCTTTCTCTCCCACCTCTCTATCTCTCTCTCTCTCTCTCTCTCTCCCACCCCCTCTTTTCTTCCCTTACTCTCGCCCCTCCTCGTCTCCATTATTTATCAACTTCACGTTCAACAATATGTTTCCTCAAATTCACATGACTAGTCTACCATGCCCATATATGGCGCCAGAACTTTAAGAGACCACGTGATTCAAAAATAGTCGGATATGATGACGTCATAATAGATTGCCCCCTTCCTCGCCTTCGGTCCTCCGCGTCAACAATAAATTGAACCGTTCGACATTTCTAACCATTGCAACTCATTATTAGAAGACATACATCCAATGCGTCATTCTATTAAATGATTTCCTCAAATCAGTCAAACATCATTTCGACGTTAAATGATAATCAAACTCATCATGTGGTAGATCGTGCACTTTTTTGTTTTCAATTGTTACGTCATATTGTCCCTGAATCCATCAACGAAATTATGACATTTGCATGGTAACAACAATAACGATAATGAAATTAATAATGATAAAAATGATAGCAACAATAATAATAACATATATACTATAGCAATATCTTATTACAAGATTTACACCTCTTCCGCCAAAATATTACTATCCCATTAAACTGATTATCATCTTCAATTTCGGATTTTCGGATACCCATCTATGTTAAGCATGTACCGTTTCATTCCAATTGGAGATTTAACAGTTTGTTTAATAGTTTCAAATTATTTGCGTGTATGTCTGTGTATGTCTGGGGTGCGTGTGTAATTTGATTTTTTTTTAAAATAATTTTCAGATGGAAGTTGTATTCAGTCATGACAAGTATAGCTTTACAAATTTAAAATAATGTCATGTCAAAACCGAATAGTTTATTTTGTATTGACTGATATATCGGCCTCTTAGATATATCAGGAATGTATACTGGTTTTGTTATAATCATTCAAAAAATGTGTTTTTGACGCAACATTAGATGATTATGAGAAATTTAACTCTGTCAGATTGCGCCTATTAAAGCCTATCTGCAATAGTTCGGCCGGGAGGGATTAGACCTCCCTGCCTGGTCACTGGCAGGTGGTTATCTCATCAAATCAGCTGTCAATTAACATGAGAAAAGGGGGATCATGGGGGATCAACGGGTACCGCTTAGGCATTGTTGGCGATAAAGAGGGCGCAAGAGGCTACAAGTAGTGCAGTCCCGCATATAAGCTCCCCGTAAACACGTTGCGTTGTATCCGAGGGGGTGAGAGAGATGACACCCCCCCCCCCCTCCCCGGCCTCCCTATCTCTCCCCCGCCCATTGAGCTATAAATGTATTCAGACAGTGTTTTTCCGTTGGCAAAATAAGAGATTGTCATGAATTGGATTAGACTGCACCAATCATGGAAAGCCTAGCCATATGCACACAACATTAAGGTTTGGTATTTCCTCCGTCACTTCAAATGTTTAGTGACACATTTTAAAGGTGGCCCATTACCAGAATAAAGAAATTTTAAATTATCCTTCGATTAGTTAAGTCACTCCTGCCAAAGATGAGATTCGAATGATAAAGGAGTAATGATGCTAGGGAATGATGGGTAATATGGTTCAAAGCCCGCCCTCAAATTAAGTTCGCATCCATGCGCATGCACGGGTGCATGGTTATTGATTAGGAGAGTTTGGCTATCCCGGTTCGAATTGGGGGAAAATGATATGGCGAATACTGCTTTGTTGGGCAAGCACAAAACAAAAGAGAATACGCCGTGTATAGACCAACTGAAACCAAATTGGCCAAACTCTGTGTATATGTGGCTCTGAACCGGTGCGTCGACTAGCGTGTTGATAATTCGCTGTTTGTCTACATTATGTTTGAAAAACATCATGATATTTATACAGTAATTATACTACTTTTCCGGATCGACACTTATTGATAAAGTATACCGGCATGGAACCCTGAACCTTGAGAGCAAAATATTTCAGAGATGAGGAGGCCCGTCGTTTAACTTTAAAGCCCATCAGTACTAGTGTACAAGAGGGATTAGACCACACTGCAAGGTCACTGGACAGGTGGTTATCTCATCAAATCAGCTCTCAATGAACATAAGACAAGAGGATCATGGGGTACCAGCGATCACCAATTAGGCATTCTTTGCTATAAAGAGGGTGCAAGTAGCTATAAGTAGTGCAGTGGGGCTTTAACTTCAACTAACCTCAACCCCTTCAACAATAGAGGTGGGGAGAGATTTTATTAAATGAGTTAGGGAGTCTGGCAGCTAGGGTCTCTATGCGGTGCTCCGGAGTCGTCTTCTCGATATAGAATGCACACTCATCCCGAGGATTTCCGTAGCTAGACATGATCGGCGAACATTCGTGACACGTGTTTGATGCCCCAAGGATGTCATGAGGTTGACAGGAGGGTGAGGGGTAAGGCGTAGGGGAAGGGGTAAAGGAAAGGGGGTAAGGGGTAGGGGTAAGGGTAGGGGGTAAGGGGTAGGGGGTAAGGGTGAGGGGTAAGGGCTAAGGGTGGGGGTAAGGGCTAAGGGATAAGTATGATTGGGTAAGGGGAATGGGAAATGGGTAGGGTAGGGTGAACAGGGGGAGGGGTAAGGTGGAAGGGGTAGGGAAAGAGTGGGAGACTGCTGCTTTCTGTTTCGTTGCCTTTCTACTCACTTTTTCTTCTCATTGATGAATTTTTTATTTCGTATGTCCCCTTGTATTTCTTAATTCTCTCTCACTGTTTCTCCCCGTCACCGTCTGGATGTCTCTCTCTCTCTCTCTCTCTAGACTCTCCCTCTGTTTCTCTCTCTCTCTCTCTCTCTCTCTCTCTCTCTCTCTCTCTCTCTCTCTCTCTCTCTCCCTCACACACATTTCCCCCTCTCATTTCTTAATTGTCTGTCTGTCTCTATAAATATATCTCTCCCTATCTTTCTCCCCCTCGCATTCTCTTTTTCTCTCTCTCTCTCCCTCTCTCTCTCTCTCTCTCTCTCTCTCCCTCACTCACATTTCCCCCTCTCATTTCTTTTTTTGTCTATCTGTCACTATATAATCTCCCTATCTTTCACCCCCCCCCCCTCCCCCTCCCCCCCCCCCCACCCTCTCTCTCTCTCTCTCTCTCTCTCTCTCTCCCTCTATGTCTATATTTATTTTAAAAAATGCAAAATCATTCACACATAGGTTTCATTGTACATCGTTAGGGGCAGACACAGGGTGCACCGTGCATCATCCGGAAAAGGTGTGACACTTGCGTTTCAAAGGAAAGGGGGCGCGGGGCGGGTGTGCCCCCCCCCCCCCCCCCCACCCCCGCTTCGCCCTCTATCCAGCAGAGTGCATCGTCATAACATTTCAAAGTAATTTCCTTTCATAAGAGGTTAATCTGTTGTTGTTTTTTTCTAGTCTGCCCCGCGCCTAGATAAGGACAATACTGCCCCAAACATGTGATACGTGTTACGGTTAGATATATTTCATAGGAATTGAATGATCTGACATTGTTCCGGCGATGCTTGCTCCAGGATATAAATCTATAAAGAAATGATCGTTTATGGATTTCGTTGCGCTATTGTTTTATCAAGTTTATCCTAAGTTTCAATAAAGTTAGGTACGTTGTATATCTGTGTTTAGGGTCAAACTTAAAAGAGTTCAACTGGTTTTCATTCCCTATATAAAGTGTTATTATAGTCATAGTCATGACCAGTATGAAAAAGGCTCAGGGTCTGTTATGGACAGGGATTGTTGAGATTACTGACCGGATTGATTAATTTCCCCAAAAAACAACGGTTACCTACATCAAAATTTAGAATGTGATGGACACTAATATTGGTTTGAAATGCGTCATGATTTTATGGTCAATCATGTCTCTCCCTTGACCCATATTTTTATCATTCATTGTTCATCGTTCTTCTTCTTTTTCTTCCACTTCTTCTTCTCCTTGTCCTTCTTCTTCTTCCTTTTCTTTTTCTTCTTCATCTTCTTCATCTTCTGCTTCTTCTTCTTCTTCTTCTTCTTCTTCTTCTTCTTCTTCTTCTTCTGCTTCTTCTGCTTCTTCTTTTTCTGCTTCTTCTTATGCTTCTTCTTCTTCTTCTTCTTCTTCTTCTTCTTCTTCTTCTTCTTTTTCTTCTTCTTCTTCTGCTTCTTCGTATTCTTCTTCTTCTTCTTCTTCTTCTTTTTATTCTTCTTCTGCTTCTTCTTCCTCTTCTTCTTCTTCTTCTTCTTCTTCTTCTTCTTCTTCTTCTTCTTCTTCTTCTTCTTCTTTTTATTCTTCTTCTGCTTCTTCTTCCTCTTCTTCTTCTTCTTCTTCTTCTTCTTCTTTTTCTTCTTCCTCTTCTTCTTCTTCTTCTTCTTCTTCTTCTTCTTCTTCTTCTTCTTCTTCTTCTTCCTCTTCTTCTTCTTCTCCCTCTACTTCTTCTTTAATTAAACCTACCCTCTGACATAACATGTATATGCAGGAATTAGCAATATAAGAAAGAAGAAACACACTGTATTCCCCTCCAATCCTCTATCTCAGTAATCTCACTATCATTTTGTATCACACTTCACTATCATTAGTAATATTACTTGCATTTTTAAAGTACCAATTAAATCACGTGAGGAGTTAATGACAAATAACAAAGAACAACCATAATTCAAGTCTACGTTGCTACTTTATTGCTCAATAAATAACATCTAGCAGGCTTCGTTTTTTCATAAGTTTATAGACCGACAGAGATAGACTGAGGCTTAAGGAAAAACATGACGTCATTACGAAAATTATCCGATGTGTATTTCCAATCAAAATTGGCAACAATGACAAATATCTTGCAGATCAATTTCATAATTCCTAAATCACAGTAGATATCAAATTTACATACAAAGGTTACTTACTTACACACGATTTACTTTTACATTTGTCTCCCTTTTATGTTACATTCATCTTACGTCTTTTATCGACAACAAAAGTACTCTAATTCTAAAACATTTATATTCCAACCATAAATTTCTTATTGTTGAATTAATTATACACAATAATACATATTAAGTACATAAGAATTATTCTTTATGGGAAAATAAATATATATATTTGTCAATCTATAAATGGAAGCTTGCCGACAACGTATATGCCCAAATCGTAGGAACAGTAAACTTATTCGAACAAGTGGTGGCGCTCGACTTTCTGTAGGAACTCGAAAAGTTTGCTCCGAGCCCCCTTCTAATTAGGCCTTCTATCCTGTCAAAACCGTCTCTCTCCCTCCCTCTCTCTCTCTCTCTCTCTCTCTCTCTCTCTCTCTCTTTCTCTCCGTCACTTTCTCCCTTTCTTATTTCCTCTCTATATTCATGTACCTCATGATCTTTACTGTATTTAGTCATAAAATTGATATTTTGTTAATATATTGCAAGTTTCCAACACTATTCACATACTTTGTGTTTGGCATGTTCTGTACACATTTCTTTTTCACGTTATCAAAATTACAGCTTTATTTTTTTGTTCTATATAATCTACTTACAGAAAGTTTCCACTTGGGCTAATAAAAAAATGTCAAAATTTGCTCTTAACCACGATTGCAAAGACTTTCGAGAAAAAAAATCATCCTAAGGTGCTTTTAAAAGTGAAAAAAAGTTGCTCTGAGTTGACTGAAGTTATCAAGGTAATCAAAGGAATATTCACCACATGAATGTAATGATGTACAAAAGTGCACGAAAATCTTGTGTTGTCACGCAATAGGGTAAATGATTCACTTATCATTTCCATTCGAGGTTATGTTTTTAAGTAACATCTTATCAAAGTATTTTAGGAAATGATAAGAAAAAAAAAATAGGAAAAAATCTGCAAAACTATGTGAGAGACGCGAGTCATTGGCTGTGGTCAACATGAATAATCAAAACAACAAAGTGAAACGTGCCAAGTCATGTGACACCTGTCCGAAACACGTGATAGGTGACTCAGTCATGTGACGTGGGATCGCGAGGCGGAAAGATGATGGAAGCTAAACAACTTGTGAAAAAAATTAAGATCATAATCTTTATCTTAGACATATCGAAGGTCTGTCGATTAAATTTCAATCAGTCAATTTTTCCTTCTCCAAAACTCATTCCCTTTCTTTTATCGTTATACGAAAGATTACGTCACAATGGTCAACTGTCTGCTTTTACATATTTTATCGTCATGTATATCTCAAATATTTTTCACGGTTCACCTTTAATTAGGACTATTTCCCCGATTACAGAAATCTGGGCTCCATCTTGTAAAATTTGCGATTGATTCAAATCAATTGCAACTTAAAACTAATCGAAACTGTGTATTTAACTTGATTTTAGGATGGTGATAGCGTTATTTACAGTAACTGTGTGAAGTTAAAGCCCCGCTGCACTACTTATATCTACTTGCGCCCTCTATATAGCAAACAATGCCTAATCGGTGCCTGTTGGTCCCCCATGATCTCAATTTTCTTATGTTAATTGAGAGCTGATTTGATGAGATAACCACCTACCAGTGATCTTGCAGGGAGGTCTAATCTCCCTGGCTAAACTAGTGCAGAGGGGCTTTAAGCATTCTCTTGGTGTTGGAAATTGCACGCAGAGCAACTGTCGTCGGAGCATGATTGTGTCGTACGACCTTAGACCTATCATCACTTGTTGTCTACATGAGTTTCTCGATAGCGGAGGTGAGTACGACCATCTGGCCGTTGAGATCCCTGATGGCGTCACGTAGCTTGTCGACCTTGTCTATAACCTGGATACTCTGGGTGTATGGGTCGTAGCGGACGTTGTAGGGACGGGCCATCTTCATGGCATACAGCCTGGGTGATTAAAGTTTGGAGGGGGTCGGGTGAGAGAAAAGGGTAAAATATCAGATTAAAACACAATCGCAAGTATTTTTGAAAATCAACTCAATAGCAATTTTGATACCCTTATGTATGCCACGTAGAAATCATTTTCGGATTAAGGCGATTTTCAATGATAATGGTGATGCTAATGATGATGATGATGACGATGATGATGATAACGATAACTTTTTCGTGATGTACAATATGGCGATTATAAAAGGAAGAGAAAAAAAGAAAAACGAGATGAGCTAACCTCCAGAAAATGTTCAACTATCGATGCCGCAGAATTAATGCGACTGAAACGAAATTGGTGTTGCTCATACTGATGAAAGTTAATAGTTCTAAAATTAGAATTGCTTCTTTCTTATCGATGTCAACTTCGAAGCCTATGGAACTGATGGTGACGATGATGATGATGATTTTATGTCGGAGATTGGGTGATAATGTAAATATAGATGACGACGATCATGATGATTTAATTAATAATATCAAAGATGAAATTATTAATTTAAATGAAATTAATAACAAAAATAACGAAGATACAATGGTAATTACTGACATAATTCCTAACAGCTTTGTGACCTACCTGAGCTTTGACTGTGCATCACTAAAAGAATCTGCCACAAAGTAGATGGGCTGGTAATTCTTATCCTGATACTCCTGTATGGCTGTCTTATTTGGTTCAAAAGGACGATGCTCAGGCTTGTCGGAGAGGGCGTACTACACAAAATACAAACAGTGTACAAAAAACATCAAGGCTCGATGTGCAACGTGGTAAACGTTTGGAGAAAACAAAATATTTCCTTATGAACAATATTGGGTAGCTATGAAAGCATTTTTTAACGATCTTAATCCTCAATCAGTTGATCATTTCTAGCATAAATTAGAGAGGCATAGAGCAACTAGAGGTCAGTAGTGGTTCTAGAGAGGGGAAAGGGACTGGGGTTAAGCCCTCAGAATCTCCAAGAGACACATGTAAAAAATGAATGCAAGAATCTCCAAGGCCCCAATCCCCTGAAGCTCCCCCCCCCCCACCCCTTCCCTTCTTCAAAAGTAATTCTTCTATAGCCACTCTTGCTGAAGATGATTGTGTAAATAAAGATGAGAGTCGCATTGTGGACAAGCACTTTTGCTTCGAACAATAAAACGGTGCAATGATTTTCACGCTTGCTTTTTCCTCTTTAAATTCATACCCTAGCATTATCAGCTGTCAACTGTAGGAATTTGTTTTTTAAAAGAAACACTCATTTTTTATTTTACCTACCTGCAGTTCGCCAAATGCAGAGAGTAACCCAGCCCCACATGCCCGCGTCTCCCCGTTCTGCCTGCATAAGCCAAACTCTACCGTAAACCAATAGAGCTGTGACCACAAGAAACATACAGGAAAAAACAAATGAGAAATTAAAATTTAAGAATTGATGGAGGTGGACTGAGAAAGGTTTTCAACAGAGCGATGATCTGAAAAACTGTTTTATTGTAAACATGGTAAAAACGTCGGGGAGGCTAGGGCTTTACTATAAGGACGTGGCGCTGCGTCGGTCATAATATGCAAGAGAACAAAGCAATCGTGTTGCGAATGAGGGAACACCTCACATCACCTTCTTTTCAGAGCTCCTTCACACACCCTCTCCTTAAAATAATCGTTCTCTTTTCATTTCATTTTGTTTTCATTAACCTCTGAAATATTTTCTCCTCTGACAATTATCTTCTGAAATTCTTTCACGAAACCTTGCCCTCGTGCTTTTATGGCTTCACCACAAAAACAGGATTAAGCAATTCATTACCTAAGACAAAATAATTTATTTAAAATGTTTAAGATCTTTCAAATAGGAATTGTATTTAGATTGTTCTTATCCTACCGTGGCCAGTCTTGTAATGTCCTCATCTGCAACGCCTAGAGATGCGAGCCCGATCTCCTGAAAAAAGAGAAATGGTGTATTATGGTACACAAATTCACATTTCATCATTCAGTATTAGAGCCCGAATAATATGTATGTTACCTGATTTAAACTTTTGAAAATACACCTATTACGGATAGGAAAATTTCAGCAACGTAGAAGTGTCGTAGTCGAGTGATTTAAGCACTTGGCTTGAAATTCAAAGGTCGTGGTTCGATCCCCGATACGGCACTAATGTCCTTTGGCAAGGCATTAATCTTCACTTGCCACACTCGACCCAGGTGAGGTAAATGGGTCCCTGGCAGGAATTACTTCCTTGAAATGCTAGAGCGCTGTAATGACAGCTAGGGTATAGAATTTCTAGATAGACGGCGCTATAGAAATGCCTATAATTATTATCATTATTAAGGTATAATTTTTTTTAATAAAACACGCATTATGAAATGTAATTAGCGATGGATTGGATATACATTCAATAACAAATAGAATGATATGCTTACCACTGTGACAGTGATGCTTTCGAATAATTATCAAACATAATGAGTTACGGGTCACATTTTATGCTGCCTCATTGTCTAAGTAAGGCTAGTTTAAAAAATCGGTTTAGATAACAATTACCTGTGAGAACTGTGCGAAAGTTGGATCAGCTAACATTGGCACGTGCCCAAGAAGCTCATGACAACAGTCTCTGTAAAACAAAATAGAACGCATCACCATCGGTAGACAATGAAAGAATATTATTAGTCATGTATATTGATGAACTGGAGCTTTTAAAAGCTATTTCCTAAATATACAACGCTCTTTTTTCTAATAATAATAATAATAATATTTTGTGGAATAATTCAAACACCCTTGATTAATGTGCCGTTTGTCAAAAACGTTGCATTTTCACTTTTATTGATGTATAATTATATTAAGAATTAATGTATCGACTTTATCTGTAGTGATTGTAAAAGAATCTGTGATTCGGCCACCTGGCTCCAAATGATTTTCTTTTACCAATAAACCGTTTAAAATAAATAAAATTGTTTTTAATGGACTATACCGAGTTTATGGACGAATTGGAGATGTCATGTTATTGACATGGAATTAGACATTGATAATCAACTGAAAAAAATATAAGTAAAAATATATGAAAAGTAAACAATGCCGTAAAAATTGAATATAAATTATAGCAATATTGTTCATATTGCAAGGAAAATAACATGCCCCCAATAAAACGCTGTGACATAATATTATCGGATCTTATATTCAAGGTAACTATGATGCCCGTGAATGAATAAATGATTTAAATAAAATCTAGGGGACCTACGGCTCGGGTGTGTGCATGGGTGCTGATGAATGGCGCACGTACTGTGTGGCCTGAAACACCCTGAAAGCAAGACTAGCTAGGAAGTCACGTGCTGAGAGGAGTCCAGCTACTGGGCGGAGCTGAAAACCTGTCTTGCCTACGATGAACAAGAACAAATGTCATTCATATTTTTATTTATGTCTTTGTTAATTTTTACATATTCATTTTATTTCACTTGAACACAATTGCAGAGACTTTCATTAAATCAACGTGTATATAGGGACAATTTTAATAAATTATGTCGGCATTACGTAATAATAGGTAATTACGATATTCGCAGATATGTGACGCACAAGGGGGGGGGGTATAAAAAAATCTTTATCATTGTGCCTTAGTAATTGATAAATGAATATACTTAGTTTTGGTCCTGCTAGAGTCAATTATTTCAGCTAATAAGCCTATCCGTTACTCTGTAAATTCGTTATTTCTATCAATCATGACGGGTTAACCTTTTTTTATTATTATTAATACATTTATGCTTAACATTTTAAAATTTATTTTGTATTAATATATTTATTTAACGTATTTCGTATTCATATGTACACAATAGTTTTTTTTTCAGAGAAAACTGCAATAAAAAAAAAGTTCTTGCATTTCTGCCCAGTCAGTGCCAAGTGCACATAAGTCAGCAAACCTGAATATTTTTCCTAAACAATTGAAGATGTGTGGATCCAAAATGTTACTTCATTCATTCATAAGTATTTTAACATAATTATACCAATCCCAGTTATTACAAGAAATATGTATCATGATAACGTAACGTATATATTGTATCAGGGAAATCAGTAAATAAGTATATAAAAGAATGTTCAGTTATGAAATAAAACAGAAAACAGACATAACGGATTCCAGCATTCGTCATTCTTTATGATTACTGTATCTGAATGTTTGCACCGTGCACAATGTGTTATGTCTTTCCATAGGCAGACAATATCATAATTAAAAGTCATTCGCTAAATTTAGACAAATCTCTAACAGTATGATTGCCAAACATCCGCGTGTTTTATTAAGCAATAATAAGTGTTAATTAGTATTCCCGACATGGGAATGTCATCGGAAAAGTGATGACCTACCTTTCAGGAAGTTTGAGACGTCCTCATGCTGTGGAATGAATGATTCACTAGTAAGAAAATAGAAAAGGAATATGCATTAATTGGCAATGGGAGAATATTAGAGAATGTCGCATAATGATTAGAGAATACATGACTATAACAATGGTAAAAGGAAAAGAAAGAAATTACATCAATAAAAATGAGGTGGCAATTAGATGGAGGGAATGGGACAGAAGAAGAACAGAGGATGACAGTGGCATGTGATGCTATTTTGAGGATTATTCTTATAGTACGAGGTCTGAACTAGTTCTGCTTTTGAATATGATTTAACGTAATATTATGTATGTATACATATTTATATAAAACGTCCACTTTGTGACACTATGCAACCCGCAACAGTCCCCTTTTTCATCTGTCTCTATGTCTCTTTCTCTCTATAACTCCCTCCATACCCTCCGTACCCACCTCTCTCTCTCTCTCTCTCTCTCCCTCTCCCTGATTATCATTCTACCTTACCGTATTTGAAACATGGACCTAACGCGTTTGAACCCAACCGTTCCAATAGATAGAAACGACTTGCATATTTACACAATTTAGAGCTTGATTACAAAATTTAGATGAAGGAAACCAAGTTAGCCATAAACAAACGAAAGTCAATATAATTTCATAATCAATTCTTATTATAAATTATGCGTTCTTGTTAACTATGTGTAAACGAAACAAATATCCATAAACAAATTCAAGTAATACCGAACTGATGAAGTTCCTTCCTTTACCGTACTGTTTGTTGCACAGCGCCATCTCATGGTCTATTTGCCAACAGTGCGTAACCCAATCCATACTTCTCACTTCGACAAAAGAGGGCTCGAGGCAAAAATCAACACCCCAGCTACTTTACGTGACCATATACTGCTACATTTGACCTGAGATGGCGCTAGATCGGATATTGCGGTAGTGCTTCACGTAAGTACAGTACGGCTTTAATGTTTACCTGTACAACCCTTCCTTCTCGAGTATGTTGAAGGCATCAATGTGCTCTTTACATGCGTGTGTAGGGAAGAGAGCCTTCAGCTGGCGATATATCAGTCCCCTGTAGCGAAAAGAAGAAAAAGTGAATGTAAGAAATTGTTGCGTCTGTGTTGGTTTTAAAAAAACATAACCATCTAACCTTTAAACCAGGTTTCCGGTCTTTTAGAGCTCATGCACTCTTTCACCAGGTTTTTAAACATTTATTGTAGATATGATTCTGTGAGACAGGAGTTCGATGCTATAAAGGTTGGATCATGCAAACACAGGAGATATTCCGTTGGTTTTAGATTGATTTTTCATTTCGTCCTTTAGTTTCAGAATTGGATGCAATTTATCAAGATTTTAGCAGTCAACACACAAATAAAAATTTAAAAAATTTAGCAGTCAAAACAACTAAAGGCAACAGAAGGGCAAAATAATGTTAAACTCCATATTTGAATTATTTGGTGGCATTTATCGTGCACACTCAAACTTTTATTGAAATCATATGTTTACATTTTGTTTTCTGTTTTCGTGCGGGTTCTTCGTGACAAAAAATTGCTATCACGTTAACATACATTCTGTGCACACCTGCCAGAGATGGCGACATTTTTTTTACGGAAATTGCTAAATTCACACACAGATAACTCTGCCAGAGTATTGCGATTAACAGATTAAATTTCCAGACTCTTTGGTATCTCATTAAACACTTCGGCAGAGTATAATGAGATCGAATAAAAAGTAATCACTTTCGTTGCTAGTGGCCTCTTTATATTTTTGCAATGAAAACCTTTTATTTTTATTTCATAACATGGGAAATAGGCTTACTCTGTATTGTTAAACTTTACTTTCCATTGTAAAATCCGCCATTAAAAAAATGAATTAAGACTAAATGTAGAAAATTTCTGTTTGCTCTTTCAAAACATATTTGTTTGTTTTATGCATAAACCAACATTGTTCTCTCTATCTCACTCGCCCCACTTTCACTCTCTCTCTCTCTCTCTCTCTTTCTCTCTCTAAAAAATAACACATTCACAACGTACGCTCATAATTATGCGCGCTCACCTAGAGAGAAAAACATACGCAACAATACACAAAATAACGCAACAATACACAAAATAACACACCTCGTCACAAACACACGCACACAACTCATTCGCACCCACACGAAGACGCGCACATGACATCGGGAAGGACTAGGCGTTCGTTCTATAACGATAAGGATCTGTTTGGCGCGAAAGATATTTGTCTTTCTGAAGTGTCAAAAATTATATTTAGTTTCGATCGATACCGAACCACTCTACTCATCAAAATGATTTTGTCTTCACTCTCTCTTTCTCTTCTTTCTCGTTAAATACTAATTTTCGGGGGCATCTATCATTGTCTTGTCAAACCAGCTTCCAGCTCTGCAAAGCTAAAAAGTTACCATGTGCTATGATTGGCATTAATTGCAGAATAACGATTTTTGTTGGGTTATAAAGACTGGAATAATACTATCCGGTGCCATACCATCAATCACTTCCATAGAAGAATCTCCCTCTCTCTCTCTCTCTCTCTCTCTCTCTCTCTCGTTATCTTTCTTTCTCTCGCTTCTTCCTGTCCCATAGTCTCTCACTCTCTCACCTTCCTGCTCTCCTAACTCCTTTCCTCTTTTTTTTCCCTCTCATTATTATCCATCTTGTTTTCCGTCTATTTGTTTTTTCTTTTTACATTTAAATACTTTTTATCTTTTATTCATGCCTCTGTTCTTTGCTTAAAGTCTTTCACTTGTATATATGTTATGGCAAGCCAAGGGTGTGCATTATTTCTTACTTCTAACTTATGCCAGCAGTGTTTTCTCTCTTTTTTGTTGGTCCTTTTTTGTTGTTGTTGTTGTAAAATGAATTTATTGATAAATATATGCTTTTGAACAAATTAAACAATCATAGACAATCAATTGAAATAACATCGTAGCATCTGAACATAGTTCAAATAAAACATCTTTCGTTTTCTTGAATAACAGTGTTTTCAAAAATGCATAGCGTTTTTGTTTGACAGTACTTTGCCATCTTTAATCGGTTGTGGATTAATCCTTTGAAAATACAAAGAATAGAGACTTTATGAAACATAAGTTTGCGATTTTCTGCTTGAATAAAACGACTGAGTTTTCTCTCTATTCTAATACTGGAGGCTATTTTCGTCTCCCCCCCCCCCCCCTCTCTCTCTCTCTCTCTCTCTCTCTCTCTATATATATATATATATATATATATATATATACCTCTGAGTGTGTCTCTCTCTACTATATCGGTGTGTCTCTCTCTATATCTCTCTCTTTATATTTCATTATCTTCATGTCAAAAGTAATATCGTGTCTGCGTTCGCCCCTCAAGTTCGTTATGACCGATGACGTCATACCAAGAAAAGAGCGCCGCTTGACGTTCAGTGTAACGCATCCAAAATAAATAGACGGAGGGAGAAATGAAGACTTTGTGTAGACAAGATTCTTTACACGATTCCGCCTCCAAGATGACTGTCACGTGATGCCCCATGAAAAAAATTCCATGATGTGGTTCGTCTCTTTTCATATGACTAGTTTCATCTTCCCTTTTTCGTCTTGGGTTTTTGCTTCACTTGTGTTGGCATCATAACTCATACCATGTTTGATGAGTCTTTTCCTTGCACTTGTCTGCCCGATTCCATATTGCGTCATCCTTGTTTATCAATGAGAATGATCACTTAACAGAGATTGTTTGCTATTTTCTCGATCAATCATCATTGCCTAGCTGTCCTCCGTCCTAGCGCGCGGTAAATTGCCTGCTCAGTTTCATTTGATATGCAACAGGTCATGACAAAGCGAACAGACGGCGGGTTGTGTACAAATATCCATGACAAATTTTCCCGCACTTTTGTGAACCAGATATATCTTCTTTTCCATTTCAAATAACCCCGATGTTCCGCACTCGAATCGTTTGCCTTCATCAAGGAATACGTGTTTGTTCCCCCGGGCCGACAGGTGGCGCTGTAATTATACCACGGCAATCGATAATCTTCGATTACGACAATCGATCATATAGTATCTCATGGCAGGCGTCTGAATACTAAGATGTAAAGTTATGTAGATAGAGAGAGAAAGAGAGACGGACAGACATGTGATATACAAAGGTACAGGGGAGACAGAGAGAGACAGGGAGATACAGATAGAGAGAAAGAGATAGACAGAGAGAGACTGAGAGAGACTGTGAGGTGAGGAGAAAGAGACAAAGACGCTGAAGGAAAGAAAGAGAGAGACGAAGACAGCGAGAGAAAGAGAGAGAGAGAGAGAGAGAGAGACAGGAGGAGACAGGAAGACAGAAAGAGGCACACATCATGAGACAGAGAGAATGAACAAACATTTTTTCAAAAAATATTTTGAAAAGGGGAAGGAAGAGAGACATAGAGAGGGAGAGAAGAGGGAGAGGGAGGGAAGAAATGAAAAAAAGAGAAAAAGAAAGAGGCAGATACCTAAAAACAAATTGTGATTCGGTGTCGGCCTTTTCGAGAACTTCTATATCAGTATACCTCAAAGGTATATCATAGGCGGACCGGATGTATTTTGAATACGAATGAAGATTGTTTTGTGAAACTCCTATGCTATTTTCTTGTCGGGTATGTGAACTCTATGGTTCAATAAATATTTATTCATCCATTTACATCCGAACTGTTCAAATTTCGTCTCCTTTTAGTCAGACATATTTTCTCCTCCCTCTTCTTCTCCTTCTTCTTCTCCTTCTTATTCTCCTTCTTATTCTTTTTCAGTTTTGTTTTCTTTAATAATTTCTTTTAATCCATTTTTCATTTGTCTTCATCAATTTCTTTTTCTTCTCTGAAGTTTCCTAGCATGGGGGCAGGGGTTAATTTGTTATCATCCTTCTTTTTCCGTCTTCTTGTTACCCTATGCTCATCACTTTATCTATTTTAAAGAATTGTTTTGATTTAGTTTTCATAATAGTGAATTCAGTCATTAACACCTTCCGAACTATTACACGTAATAAGCACACGAGTATTGGTAGGCTTAATAACACGGGTAGCTTGGTCAATAAACGTACAGAGCTATAGTATACTTTCACGGACTTAGGCAAAACAAACAGGAATATTTGACTGCTAGTGTAATTAAGTTTGGTGCACATCTGCATGTAGATTACATTAAATAACCATTAAAACGGTGTCTGTTTAAAATCCAATTATGTAAAGTGAGTTATTGGTTTTAAAGGACCAATGGCAATATATAATTATAATTACAAGGATGAATGAAACAATACGATTTGAAGTTAGTTATGATGCAAAAGAAAATACATCTGCATGTACGTATAGTAAACATGGTATAATAAGACACTCTTCCTCCTTTCCCCTCCCCTCTCTCTCTCTCTCTCTTTCTCTCTCTCTTTCTCTCTCCCTCTATCTATCTCTCTCTCTCTCTCTATCTCATTCTCTTTCTCTATCTCTCTTTCACTCATTCACTTTACATCATACTCTATAAAAACACAAACACTTTTTGTTGTCTCTCTCTCTCTCTCTTTCTCTCTCCCATCGCTTCCTCTCCCATCTCTCTCTCTCTCTCTCTCTCTCTCCCTCTCTTTCTCTCACTCTCTAGCTCTCTCAAGTGAATAGTGATTTTAACTCACCATGTCCTCAGCTCGTCATCTGTATATTCCACTCGAGGAATCGGCTGTCCGCTAAATAAAAAAAGGGGAAAGAAAATCAGTGACGTAACTCTTTAGCGAATACCAACTTAGCATATGCTGACCGTATTGCATAACTGAGGAGTTTTAAGCGCAGGAAATACACATTGTACATCGGACCATTGTTATCATATTTCTAAATATTCAGTTTTTTGAGATATGCCATTAGATGTATTTATTTCCTTTTCCTACTCGTTTAACAGGTTAGCGTTGTATAGCCCCATCAACAGTTTATATGTCGGTTTCCATTAGATACAAACATACTAATTTAAACAAATTATTAATATACCTTCGGCTAGGGAACAACTATATTATAATTAAAATTCTTGAAGAAGAAATAAAAAAAAAATATAAAAAATCATCTCACTTACTGTTTGTATTTGAAAGCAACGTCAGCAATCCGCTGCCTGCGTTCTCGGTAGTCTTTGTCAGTAAATCCCTTTAAGATACAGGGGAAATAACTCGTTTAAAAACAGAACATAATTGTTGTAGTATCATATGACGTGATATAATTTTTTTTGTTAATCAAATTATGCATAATATTATAATGCGTTCTCGGTAGTCTTTGTAACTAAATCCCTTTAAGATACAGGGGGAAATAACTCGTTTAAAAACAGAACATAATTGTAATATCATATTACGGGATATAATTGTATAAATAATGTAATGCTTAATAAATATCATGGCAATTTCTCTTTTAAAACAGAATAAAATATAGGCTAACACATAGTTTATGTAGGTTAGTACTTCCATTGTTTATTTATTTAAAAAATCAACAATTTGTCTACAATTTGAGATTCCTTTAACAGTAATTAAGGGAAAATTACATGTTTAAAAACAGAATATTATTGTAATATCACATTACATGATATCATTTGAAAAATCATATGATGCATAACAATTAGTTTACTAATTTCATTTTAAAAAGACAAGAATATCTTTGATAAAATGTAGGTCATATTGGTAAGTAGTTACAATATTGATTTATATAATCAATCATTTTTGCTTTGAATTTGGATCAATTTCACCATTTTGCGAATAAGTATTGCGGTTTCGGGTTGATATTGTAAGAAATTTCGGATAACAGTTTTAGATGAGGATGCGGTTAACAGAGAACACTGTCTCAATTAATGGTAAGTAAACAGTTTAATAGAAGACAGACATCAGCTTGGTATCGGGTATGCACAGAGCCATTCAGGAAGACTTGTGAGGCCCAAATGTTTGTTACATATCCTTGCTGTAGTATCAAGCTTCTATTGGCCCAGGTTGTGGTTTTGAACCTTCATGTAGTGTGATATATTTGTTTTTAAGTAGCCGATGTAGATCGATGTGTGTAGCGCTTATGTAAGGAAAAGGTGTCATACCAAAACAATCAGTGCATTGGATTGGATTGGATTGGACGTCTAAGATTTATTTACGATGTATCATCTCTTTTGAAACAAAGAGGGCGGTAACTTATTTTAAAGAAGAGTTAATGCCCTTCTAGCTTAACACAGGCAATTTGTATGCCTATCATTATTATATAATTTTCTCCAAAATATACATGTATAAGCAAAAAGAAAAAGGATTGAAAAGAAAAATTCCTAAAAATTGTCATTTATGACTTATTGTATATATGAATATTTATATATTTATATATATAATTCATAAAATAGTGCGTGGCAAAAATAGTCGAATGTGACTAGTTGCCAAACAAAATCAAATCAAGAAAGAAAATAGGAAGGTACAAGCAAAAACAGACGCAGAAACATATAAAATGGAGAATAGATAATAGTAATCCACAGAAGGTCATACCGGATGTTCATCATCGAGGTCAGGTTCGTAGTTTGAGAGAAGATGAGTGCATCGATCCAACTCGTGAACTCTAGTGGGGAACCACGGACCTATGGAGGATCAAGATATGAATATGGGTATTTTCATCTCTGTTGTGCCAACATTTTCTAGATTTGATTTATAATGCAATGTTGATAATGTTTTTAAAGATCATTAAACATGAGAGAAAGGGATTTGATGCTGGTTAGCAATTTCACCCAGGATGTATTTTAATCTTTGACGTGCGGTGTGTATACACACATGTTGGTCTTGTAAACATTGTAATGTACATTAACCACATTTGAATAAGAGCCAATATTGCCACAACTTTAATAAAATCGTATATGTTTAAACCTATCGCATTGATTAAAAAAAAAAAAAAAAAACGTGCAATTAAAACCATACGGGGTCAATTCCGTTGTAGATTACGGTACGATGTTCGCACGATGTTCGTAAGAAGTTCATTGAATGGATTTTCATGTAAATAGTTGCGTACGTCATGTGAACTTATATGTATTACCTCTCTTCGTGATTTCCTCTTTCTCGAGCCGAACATTATCAGCCACCTTCTGGAGGGCGGTAAGCACGTTCTTGGAAGAGCTCCCCTTTGTCTCGCACTGCATGAGAAATTCAATCTGGCCGTCGATCTTGTTGGACGGACGAGATTCGACGTGCGTCAAAGTGACCTTCCGCTTCTGCAAGATAAAAAGAAAGGATGAAAGGGCAATAACGAAATGAAACATTAAAGGATCAAGAGTAACATTACATGGAATTAATCGAACGAGGTATATTTTAAGTTTTACGATAAGTGAATACCATTATTATTAATTGATCAATAGGTCTGGCCGACATGCAATCGTTATCCCGGCAGAGTTGTTTGAAGGAGACCCCCCCCCCCCCCCCCCCCCATCCACCAAAAAATAAACAATAACAATATATATTTGTAATACATTAGTCTAAAGGAGGCGCATGTAAATAAAATTGATTAAAAAAAAACTTCTAGAACCACTTCTGGGTCATCCTATTTTTTTTGTTCAAACCATTTGGTTTCAAATATATGAAAGCTTTGAAAGAAAAGAAATATCCATTATATAGTAAAGTGTATCACATAGTATTGATCACGCTAAACAATTAATTATTGATAGATTTCACACGAAAGCCTATTAGAAGCTTGTTATCTTTTTTTATCAAACTAAAATCACTCTCACATTGATTCCCTTGCGTTATTCCGCCTTACTAATGAAGGTACATGTATGGTCTTTTAATGATGATACAATAACAAATGCGATTACATCAAACCCGTCATGGGGTACTAAAACGGAACTGAATAATACAATCATCAAAAGACATTGGGAATTTCACGCCACTGGTGTAGAATGTAAATAAAAAATCGCTAATGTTGAACGATTTTTCATTTAAGCAACTTTCGTTGGGAAAATATTTACCGGAGTCAGCAGTGTTAATTGCCTGACTAAATATGCTGTATCCTTTTATTAGTGCAGCCTCGTAACAGTTAACTATTCGCATACATGATAGGAGTGTAGATAGCTGGTGGAAACGAATAATGGGGGTGAACATTACGTAACATTGGAATGAGAAATGAATATCGTTAGTCCGTTAAACTTCCGTCACACCGACATCCGACTTCACACCGACCGATTTTTGGCTATTGCGGGTTATGTATTTTTTTTTTTTTTGGTTCGGTCTGTAGCCAGGTTTAGGTCGGTCTGACTGAGGGGTAAAGATGATGTTTATCTCTTTGATCCCCCTAAGTATATTGCCGTATAATCCCACTCTCTTAAGCGTTATATATCTCTCTATTTCTCGGTTTCTCATCATGCTCATACTCTATTCCTTCCATTTCTCTCTCTCTCTCTCTCTCTCTCTCTCTCTCTTCCTCTCTCACACACACACACACACGCACACACACGCACACACTTTAAATCCCTCCTATACTCTCTTCTCGGTTTCTCATCATGATCATACTCTCTCTGTCTCACTCATACAACACGCACACGCACACACACACAAAATTTAAATCCCTCCTATACTCTCTTTCTCTCTCAATGTTCCCATTTCTTACTTCTCATTTCTCCTTCTCTCTCTATTTCTCTCTCTCTCTCTCTCTCTCTCTCTTTTCTCTCTCTCTCTCTCTCTCTCTCTCTCTCCCTCTTCTCCCTTTATATCTATCTGGGTGTAAACGTATATGTGTATGAGTGCGTCTGTGTGGGTGTGTTTCCCGGCCCCCCCACTCAGGTTTCAAAATGACCGCATGCGTGTTGCCAAAATGTCCTTTTCGTAACAAAAGAAAAAGGTCGAGCCGTATTGACTTTACACACCGGACTTTTGCTGAAAAGGGGGGTGCGGAAAAAGGCTCGTATACAAAAGAAAAAGGTCGAGCCGTATTGACTTTACACACCGGACTTTTGCTGAAAAGGGGGGGTCGGTTGGAACACGCATATGCGTACCCTAAATAACACTGAGTGGGGGGGCCGGGGTGTGTTTCCCCGTCTTACATGATAGTCTTTTGGTCTTCCTTACTATGGAGAATGCTCCTAATTTTAATTCATGATATTGTTTGGCTTTCTATATCTTTTCATCGTCATAATTATGTCTTATTACTTTCTTCTTCTTCTTCTTCCCCCTCCTCTTCTTCTTCCTCCTCCTCCTCCTCCTCCTCCTCCTCCTCCTCCTCCTCCTCCTCCTCCTCCTCCTCCTCCTCCTCTCCTTATCGTTCTTCTTCTTCTTCTTCGTCGTCATTCGTGTATCATCCTTCTTCTGCTTTATTTTATTTTTCTATTTCAACAAAACCATATTTATCAATCTTTTTTTGCATGTTTTGTTGTCATCCTTAGTAAGCATCTAATCCAAGGTGATATTTTCATACAAAATATATACTATTCAAAGTGCACACCGAGGATTAAAAAAAAAGCTAGGGAGATAGAAGTACGGAGATGTCCTACCAACCAATATATTACTAGCAGCATGATGTAATTCGAACACCCGGCTATGCCCCGAGATCGATGAAAACCTAGGCCTACGGACATTGATACATTATATAAGCTACGCGGACTACATAATGATGGAGGCAAGTCTCCCAAGTGACGACAATATGAATTTAGCTTGTTTTTATCTTGTCCATGAAAGATTCGGTAACAAAAACTAAAAGAATTTAAGGACAATCTTGAGCTCTGATAACAGAATTGCATCGTAATATAAATAATCATGATAATAATTATAATATTCAGCTTTTATATAGCGCTTAATACATCTCAGACGTCTCTAAGCGTTTTACAGATATACCGTTACCCAGGTCATTGGATTCAGTGCTTGCCTGCCCGCACACACTGTGTGCACAATGTCCACTCCCTGGGGAGCATTCCAGCCGGGCGTTACTTGACGATCAAAAACTGTTTGACCAACAGTGACGGTCGCATCATACCGGGTACCCATTTTAACACCTGGGTGGAGAGTAGCAAGTGCAGGTTAATATCTTGCCAAAGGATATTAGTGCCGTGTCGGGATTCGAACCCTCGACCTTTGCATCTCCAGTCAAGCGCCTTAAACCACTCGACCACTGTTAAACTCTTAGCGGTATAGATTGTTTCTCCTCCAGCCAAACACATAATACTATTCAAAATAAAAAAAATTCCTCTAGGCGCACATGTACAATACAAATATAACAAAGGGGATATATACGGGTACAATAAAAGAGTAAAATTATTCATACCCGAACCACATTTTGTAATTTTTGTAAGCATGTGAAAGAATTGGTTTGCCCCGATGTATGTTTCTTGAGAATATGACAAAATTAAAGCTTACATCTTCAAGGATTAAACGAAAGCTTTAGTGCAACAAAGTCCACCTTTTATTCTTGATGAAAAAACACGCCAAGTTTACAAGGAGTATGAATAAATCACTCGTTTACTGTACAAACGAAAATATAAATAGGAACGGAAGGAAAACTTGTGAGAAATCTTCTTCACTGTAAACGCATGAATGAAATTGGACTAGGATTTCAAGCCTCCTTTCTGTTTCTATTTTTCTTTTCTCATTACCCGATTATTATTATACCATTCCTACGAAAGATTTCGGCACACATCATTTATTTTGAGTATTGAACAGTTAGAGCAATCTGTATTCTGTTCGAATTATTTTCCGTCGCCCCATTGATATTGATGATGTTGTTCCATTTCATTTGCATCATTTTTTCGTCGCCTTTTGTCTCCCGGTTCTCTCTTATCTGCTTCCTTCTCTCTGTTTTTTGTTTTGTTTTGGTCTCCGTGTTGACTTGTGCATTAGTTTTCTTTCGACCTATGATTACATTGTAGGCCTCTAGACTATTTGGTTTTTCATAGATCAAACATTCTAGGGTAATATTATCATGTGATTATTGATCACATCATCAGGAAACTTTTTGTTAAATTAATGGAAATCTTAAAGGTATTACAAAGTTTTGGTAAATTTTGAAAATTGGCTGGATAGTGATTCTTTACAATTTTTATATATTTGGATGCCCATATGGATGTATTATAAGCACTAAAAAATTGAGCCCCTAAAACTCTTCTGCTTTCGAGAAAAATTGAATATAAAAATTTACCGGTGCTCCCGGTAAATTTTGATAAATTTGAAATAGCGCCTACGGCCAGACGATGGTAGTTGCGACTATAAAAATCTCAGAATATGCAGATCTGATATATATATTCCAAACGGTTATAGCAAATCGGTCGATTTTAGTCAAATAAAATTATTTAAAAGATAAATTAATATCTTGACCTTGAGAGGGCGCTATACAAAATAAAGAGTTTATTATTTACAATTTCATCACTTTAGACTCGATTTCCACCGCGACAACGATCACTGAATATTGTAGGATTGCATGTGCTTTCAATATGTTCATTTGAACCAAAGTCATGACCCCATACCAAAACTTTGTATTACCTTTAATGAAGGATCTGTAACTGTTTAAGTGTCGAATCAGCATGATCTTAAGACAAAATTAGCATGGTGCAAAACCAACGTGACGCCATGGACGTTATCCTTCAATTCATTCATTTATATTTCGATCTTTCCTTCAAATTTACTTAAATATACCTATCAGATCTAAAAATGACAGAAAAGAATTTCGGACTGGCCCTTTGGCATTTTCATATTAGAAAATATTTGATGAAATTCTTCTAATTTTGATTTTCATAATGGTATACGCTTGCTCACAAATAAATCAATCGAATCGCATAAATGGAAATAGCCTCAGTGAAATTTGCTCCGGGAAGGAGACACGGAAGACTGTTTGTGGGACTGCGGACGTTTATCTTCTACCGATGTTAAACTACCACAGCCGCGCTCCAGACGTTTATTAATTTCCTCATTCGTAGCTCGGGAATGTTTGCTTTGCAAAAGGAAAGTAGCTCCAGTTTAATTAAAAAGAGGCCTCAAAACTGACTTGGGCATGGCCGGGAAAAATAGAAGTAAGGCTACTGAAGTTTCGAATTTCTGACCGCGTGTGTATTGGTTGAGTTGTCTGCGCAAGAGAAACGGAGGCGATGTCGTCGGTGGCTCGGCGCGGCGTGCGCGTTTCCACTACCAGGGAAATGTCGGATGGCGTCCTTTTTTTATCTCGCAAAATCTCGTGGGGCTGAACCAATTGAAAGCATTTTGTGATGTTTATTGCTGGTTATGAACACGGTTCGAACTCGAACATTTGTTTAACTGTTCTGTTTGACTAGGGAGAAATAAAATCCAGTGCGAAACATGTGGTCACGGTAAGAAAAAATCAGGGGTTGGAGCGGAAGTCTGCGGAGAGCATTTTTGGGCGAGCAAACATTTGTTAGTCCCACCATACATGAAATCACGTTTGTACTTTACAGACCATGCGTTCGGCTTGAATTTAGGCGCCAGCGTGCAGTAGAATGAAGGGTTTTATCGCCCGATCAAGACATTTTAACGCTCATGAAGGCGGGAATGTGGCATATTTATTTGCAATAAACCTGAATTATTGGGCTTTGATTTTGGCACTCTCATTGCCTATCACTGCCGACATGAAAGAAATCGTTAAAATTCGTCTGGATGTTATTTATGACCAGACAATCAAATCTTATAATAACACGAAATTTAAGCGAATACATCGTTATCATGCAAATGAGGGTCAAGTTTCATATCTTCAACCAGCAAATCCTTTTTTGTTCTTTTCAAAGTTATACCATCATTTCTGATGATCGAGGGACAGCTTCTCGGGCAAAATTTGTTATAGTTATGATATGAGAGTCTTATTTTTAGTAAGTTTCGATCGTACTTGAAATGCGCTGCAGATCGCCTTATTTGTCAACATTAAGACAATCAAGAAATTCATGTATTGGAATTTTAGAAAATACTTAATCTATCAACAACATGAAACAAAACTGGTAAGCATTTAATAGAAGGACGTAAGTATCTCTTACGTCCTTCTATACCACGAAGTATGTAATGTGCATGTTTATATCTAACATAGTAGTAGTAGTAGTAGTAGTAGTAGTAGTAGTAGTAGTAGTAGAACCCTTATGGAACAATCACAGTGTTGCTACACTAAGTTCACATATACTGTGTGGGCATTATGTGTTCACATTGTTGTCACAATGTGAAGTTTCAGTTACCACATATTCAAACACAGTGTGGTACCACAGCGTGCTACCACATATGAGCCACTTGTGATTTTTGGACGTGTGGTAACGCTGTGGTGTACTATTTGGTGCGTACCACAGTGTGGTAACGCTGTGGTATACTGTGTGGTTGATACCACAGTGTGGGACACATGTGATTTGGGGACATGTGGTAACGCTGTGGTGTACTATGTGGTGTGTACCACAGTGGGGTAGACTATGCAGTCTACAGCGTTACCACACTATGGTACGCACCGCATAGTACACCGCAGCGTTACCACGTAGCACACTGTGGTACCACACTGTGTTTGAATATGTGGTACACAGTGTGGTTCACTATGTGGTAACACTGTGATTGTTCCATAATGGAAGTAGCAGTAGTAGTAGTAGTAGTAGTAGTAGCAGTAGTAGAAGTAGTAGCAGTAGTATCATGCCACATCGATTTCGTTTTATCCTTTTTTTGTATGAAATTCTAGGCTCTAAAGATGCTGGAATGGTATTACCTCAGTTTTATGGATGCAAGACGAGAGCGATGTCAATTTGAGAAAAGAGACAGGCAGATGTTTGATTAAAAAGAATGAAGATCGGGCTATATGAGGGACAACTTAAAGGTGAAATTCAAAGAAAATCACAAATATGTCATCTAATGTATGACTATGAACTGGTAAGCTAACAGATGGCCATCGTACAAGTTTTAGGTCAACTACATATCGGGTGATTTATAAAAATACAAATACAACTACCTGCATAGCAGCTGGGATATACGAGAGATTCGCCGGAAAAATAACGATGTTTTAATGACGTCACTATATGGACCAATACTGCCCAAGCAGACGACATCCCATAAAGAATGAACATAATTGCAAAGCTTTTATTTGTCAAATTATAATGAGTTTAGTGTATATAAATGTGATGGCATGTCAAACCATTCAAAAGGGGATATGACCCGATTCCGATAACAAAAATCTTTTGCTTGTAAATACACAGGATAGGGGTTGATTAACAATCAAAGAAACCAGACTTTTGAATTGAAAACCCCCCGAAATGATATTAAGGACGGCATTTGTTCCCTCTTGAAACGCCGAACATACCGCGGTGTGTGCAGCTGAATATTCAACGGCGTCTTATTTTGTTTACAAGCGAAGATTCCTTTATTTTTGTATCGCTGCATTTGTCATCAAAATAAAACCATGTGCGGGGTTTAGAGTGAGGCAATAGATTATACACTTGGCCTTACGGTAGTGAAGTAAGAGAAAGAACTCAAGAGAAGATGAAAACACAGGCACTAAAAATGTGTGAGATGTCATGGGACATCGTCTGCTTGTGCAAATCGTGTCCATACTGTGATCTCACACACCTAAGCAGCGTTCGGAGAGCTCTTCAGGTGCTATGCCGGGGCTGTATTTAAGCGTTTTATAATTTATAATAATCATTTCTTCGAATGTTTCCAAGCATAGAATTTTGATAACCTTGTCGATGCAAAGTTTCAACTTTGCAATAATGAAATTAAGTTAGTTTTTAAAATCAATGAATATCTACTTTAAGACACGTTCAAGAATAGATGACTGGTCGTCACTGGTGAGTAGAGGTGCAATGACTCTATTCTCAGGATTTTCATCGCAACGCGAGTGACAGAGACGAGGAGAAGAGAGGGGGAGAAGAAAGGAGATAGGGGAGAGAAAGAGAGGGAGAGAAAATGGGTAGAGAGGGGAGAGGGAAGAGGTGGTGATAGAGAGATAGAGGGAGGGAGAGAGGAACAGAGAGAGAGAGGGGGAGAGAGAAAAACAGAGAGCGGTTAGGAGGAAAGAAGGATTGATAGAACTAAAGAGAGAGAGAGAGAGAGAGGAAGGGAGAAGGGGAAAGAAAAGGGGGAATATAAAGAGATTGAAATAAGGGGAGAGAGGGGGAGAAAGAGATAGAAATACAGGGGCAGAGAGGGATAAAGAGAAAGAGAAAGAGATAGAGAGAGATCTTGAAATAGAAACCTCGAAATGTGACGTTCAGAACAGGTAATAATAGGCACACTTTAACGATCACCACGCGTCATCAAATGGGGATCAAATGGGGAATAAAAAGCGAGAAAATTAATCGCTAGCTTATTGGCTTTAATCTCGGAAATCAACCGTCTCATCACGGTGATGGTTCTGACAGACCTAGGTCACATGGGTCATTCAAATAAAGAGTAACAAACAAAAGAGGAATAAGGAGACACCTTATACTCGATGTCTTCCTCACTGCACTTTCCCCACAGTCGTTGTGCCTATCATGCAATATAATCGAGGAAATGACTGTGAAATAAGTGCAAATAGAGCAAGAAGCTAAAATATCGCAATCGTGGCAGCCTTTTGTATCTGATACCATCGGTATTATATCTAATTGGTGGAATAGTTGCGATGCTCCCTGCTTATTTCACGTAAAGATATTTCGGTGTTGGTGGAGAAGATCAAGGGGGCGTGGCTGGGGGGGGGGGGTATTTCGAAATTATTAGTCGGTTCTTTCCCGCCCTTTGTTATGTGTCTTTTCACTGTGAAACATCACGTCTATTATTTTTTTGCAAGATAATAATTACTATATTGTGGTGGTGGTAGTGGTTATTTTTAATTCCTTTAGACATTTCAGTTTGATGAAAATTGATGAAAAGCTTTAAGCTGCAGTGGCTCAGTGGTCGAGCAGTGGTCTCTTGACCGGCAGGTCCCGGGTTCGAAACCAATGCGATGCGTTATTGCCCTTTGGCAAAGCATTAATCCTCATTACCAAGTCCCCCTGAGAACACTTAAAGTCGTTGGTCCCCTGACTGATTACAAAGCATACAATGCTTTCTTAACAGTCAGGTAAAACAAAAAAACAAATAAACCAAGTATGTAATGCCTCTTATAATCAGTATTTTGATAAAGAATGCATACTGTATATTATTATTATTTCCTTAAAAATCATGTTTATTTAATGGCTTCTAACTCGTACTTCATTGAAGATGAGGTGGTTTGTCATTGTAAATATATTATTCGATTCGACTTGACATTCAATTTGTTAATGAATTTTAATAGTACTATTTGTGTACATTATAATTTCTGGTATATATTTTGTCGAGGATGTACATATCTTAGTCTTATGCGATGTAGTTTACTTCCCTACATGGGACAATATAAACATTTACTGCAAATCGGTAATCATAAACGATGATGTTGGAACGGGACACAAAATATGTTAATGAGATGAAACGAAATGAAATGAAAACAAATGTACTACAGTAAAACCTGTCTATAAGACCACCCAAGGGAGACAAGAAAAGTGGTCTGTATAGGCAGGTGGTCTTTATGTACAGGTTCATTTATTACATGTATCAATGAGAAACCATTTCAAGGAAACAAAAAGTGTGGTCATTGTAGACAGGTGGTCTTTCTATACAGGTAGTCACTATAAAAGCAGGTTTGACTGTATAATGAAGACTTTACTATCATCTTTAGAGCATACCTGAAACACACGCAGAGCCTCGGAGAGGGAACCGAAGCCCATATCTTCCTTGCTCGAGAATGTCACCGTGAAGCGTCGAATCGCACTCTCCTGCTGCGGCTCGAAAGCGTCATCGAAGACGTCGTCCTTTTCCTCGGGGCTCGAGAGGACCAGCGACATCGACGTGATGTCGAGCGACGAACGGGTGGATTCCCGCCTCGCATCTTCGATCAAACTCTTCTTGCGCGTCGGGTAGACAAAGCTCTGCCGAGAAAGGTCAAGAAAAATACAATTTCAAAGTTAAGTAATATTTTCAAAGACATTTTGAAGAAGTTGTTCTTCAATTAAATTCACTTTGTGGGAGTTGGTTACATGATATTTTGAAGAACTCCGTTTATCGTCTTGTTCGAAGAACTGAGTTAAAAGTTATTTTGAAGAATGCAGTAAAATATTACTTTGAAGTACTTGCTCGGGTTGTATGTCATTTATACATACTGTATATACGCGATTTTAATTCGACATAATTTGTCTATACAAATCGTAAACATGAAACTAAAGGGGAAATTAAATAAAAAATGAAAATCTTATTCAAGACAGACTCTAGTGTTTATGAATTATACATGTATATATGTTTTACCAAAGAACCATACCTAAAGTTTTAACATGAATCTTTATCTCCTCGTCATTATGTTCGAATTGCATAAGAATTTCATTAAAAAATATGAACCGATTTCACAACCTAAATGAAATCGTTTCTTTTCTTGCGAAGAACTCAATACGTAATCAGAAATTAAAACGTAGAAATGTATGAAGCTAATTTTCCAACATTCTTTAGTACGTGTTTATGAAAATGAATGAATTTACCATAAAGGGGGGTGGGACACCTGGACATAGCTGATAAGAGAATTCGAATGAGAACCACAATGGTATCTAGATCAAATTTTATCTCTCAATTCTATTTATAAGTTAAATTTTAAAAATCGTTATAATCGGCGTATCATTGTATCTTGCCATTCAAAAGCCTAAATAATTTCAACGAAAACAATATCTAAAAGCGATGGAGTGTGAATAAAATCATCTAATTCACTCATCCATTTCCACACGTTCGAATTTATTACCGCTTGACTAACAAATACAAATACAACAATAAAACTAATAACTCAACAAAAGAAAACTTCCACACAAACAGATCAACCTAAATCAAATGGAGACATGATTAGAAGGGAATTACATATAAAAAGTAAATCGAGTGAAAGGCTGTTAACACTTCAGTAAGTCCGTTGACTAACAATTACAAATAAAGCAGTAATAAGGATTACTTCAAAAAAAAACTTTCACAAAAACAGTTGAACCTAAATCAAATGGAGAAATGATTAGAAGTGAATTACACAGAAAAGGTAAATCACGCCATACCAAGAACCATTATTTAATAAGAAATCAACTTTAAATGGAATATTATAGAAGAGTTTTACAGTCAAAAGATATTTTATGGCTTCCATTTCTATAAAAAAAAAATGATTAAGACACCTTTCTCTTCCACAGGACTTGATTTTTAAACTGGTCAAAATGAAAATAATTATCAAAAAAGTTTTCTATTGTTTCCCATCGGGGAAAACAGTGTCAGCGCGCATCCTTCTAACCCAGCAGATAAGCGGAAGATGGTGAAATAAATCTTGCTTAATAAATGTTAGTGCAACGATGCAATGATCTGAGAACGGTTCCACGAAAACATAACGAAATTTTAAAGTGAAAAGAAGACGAGGTCGAAAAGATGGTGAAATAATGATGAATATATGAATAAATCTTGCTTAATAAATGTTAGTGAAACGATGCAATGATATGAGAATTTAACGGTTCCACGAAAAGGTGACGAAATTTCAAAGTGAGAAGAAGACAAGGTCGAAAAGATGGTAAAATAATGATGAATATATGAATAAATCTTGCTTAATAAATGTTAGTGAAACGATGCAATGATCTGAGAATTTAACGGTTCCACGAAAAGGTAACGACATTTCGAAGAGAAGAAGACAAGGTCGAAAAGGTGGTGAAATAATGATGGATTATATGAAGACAATTACCCAAATCAACTGAAACATCTTGCGTAGAACTCCGCTGCTGGAAATTAATGTTCTCCAATTAGAGGACGCTTTGTCCGCGAAAGCCCGCCAAAATGAGATCGGTCGGGACATTTAATGTTCGATCATTCTCAAATGATGTCGAAATGCGGCTCGGGGTTGTAATTAATTAAGACTAGATGAAAATGAGAGAGAGAGAGAGAGAGAGAGAGAGAGAGAGAGAGGGAGAGAGAGAGAGGAGAGGGATACATAAAGAGAGAGAGGGATCGAGATGTGTGGCCAGAGAGAGAGAGAGAGAGAGAGAGATGGGGGGAGAGAGAGAGAGAGAGAGAGATGGGGAGAGAGAGAGAGAGAGAGAGAGAGATGGGGAGAGAGAGAGGGGAGAGAGAAAGAGAGAGAGGGGAGAGAGAAAGAGAGAGAGGGGAGAGAGAAAGAGAGAGAGGGGGTCAAGATGTGTGGCCAAAGAGAAAAAGAGAGAGAGGGAGAGAGATAGTGAGAGATGAAAGAGAGAGAGAGAGAGAGAGAGAGGGGAGAGAGAAATAGAGGAAGAGGAGAAGCGGGAATTTTATAAGAAGATTCTTAGATGGAGAGAATGAGAGATAAACACACTCGGAAATATTTTAGAGAATTGGACAAAGAAAGACCCATAAAACATAAAGACAAAGTGAGTGGTGCGCTGCGGTGTAGGGATCGGGGGGGGGTAGAAAAGAGGAGAGAAGGAATAGAGAATTTTCGCTTGTGGAAGAGATGATGGCAGAGGATGAAAGGATACAGAGAAGTGTGATTCGTGTTTGAAAGAGAGAAAGGAAAGAGAGAGAGAGAGAGAGAGAGAGGAGGAGAGAGAGGGAGCTGGGGAGAGGGAGGTGGGTTTACAGCCAGGTGAAGTTTTATGATGGTATTGAATAATATTGGTTCCTGAAGGTCTCATAAAAGATTAATTAAGGTTCGACCTTTCTCTGCTGAAGATATTTACAAAATGACCTCTTACAAAAGAATCTGTCAGAAAACAACCCAACCATAAAATCCTTTGATCCGTGTAGATAAGTGCTAGAAATTGGGATACCGGTCCCTTTTTTAAGTGTTGCCTACAAATTAAAAAAAATCCGAAATTGCATAAAGTATGTTACCTGTTTCTTCTTCAAAAATCAAATTGAAAAATTGAAAAAGATGTTTGACTTTTTCAGGTGGGCTATTATTATTCATTTTTGTTCACCGTCTCTACATTGCTCTTTGAATAAAGAAAAGCTTTTGTTGTTAGGCTTCCTGAAAGGAATTTCAATTGTTGTTAAAACATTTTTGGTTGTACCCTGTAGATTATGATGATGTGTTTGATCTTGTTTTCAATAACAAGATAAAATCAGGGGCCGCGATTTCTTTTCATGACAGGGTGAGGGGGCGAAATGCGGGGGACGAGGGAGCAGTGGCATAACGAGCAAAAACGTTTTGGGGGAGAAAACAATCCACACCACCCCCACTCTTAGATGTTACATGCAGGCCCCTCGGAACGTTTTTTCAAAGTCGGAGAGGGACTAAAGTATTTACGATCAGGTATAGAGCAAAGCGAGCGAAGCAAGTGGAGCGTAAAGTGGCGTGGGGTCCAGGGGCAATGTACACATAACGATATATATGGGACTACGCGATATCTATCCAGGCCGGATAGATATAATAATTTACCAAATATATCAATTAGTAGGCGGTTTCCCGGCAATATTTGTATCATCACGTATTAGTCAAAACATTTATTTTCTTTCACATGATTGGTGATGAGAGCTTCCATTTCAATTTTGAGAGGGGCGGGGGGCGTTTCCAAATATGTTCTTTACCTTTAACAGATGATTCCCCTCGCGATCGGTTGATTCTTTTGTTCGGATTATTTGACGGGGAGAGATGCATACGTGATCGGTCTCACGCTTAACGATGTTGTATTATTATTCTATTATTCAATATGTTCATATGAACCAAATACATGACCCCATACAAAAAAAAATGTATCACCTTAACAACGGTGTATTATTATTATTATTATTTTGTCATCGTCTCTACAAAGCTCTTTGAATAAAGAAAAGCTTTTATTGTTAGGCTTCCTGAAAGAAGTTTCATTTTGTTGTTAAAAAATTAGGCTGTAGGCTATATCATGATGATGTGTTTGATCTTGTTGAATTGAATTTAATTTCTTTATTGTCATGCACAAAATAAAATGAAGGCATAAAAATCGTTTTACAGCTCACATTTGTATAAATATAACAATACATAGACAGTAAGTACAAATAACATAAATAACATAACAATGTAATATAATTTAACCTCTCTATTGAGAGCCAGGGGAATTATTTGATTATTTGTACTCCCCTGGCTCCCAACAGACAATACTAACTTAACCAGGTTTGTAACCAGGTTTGTAAAAAAACGCGTAAAAACGCGTCATATGACGTACGAAAACCAAGGTTTGTCGACAAACCTCCTTTGTGAATTCGGGCCATTATGTTTGCTCTTAAAACATGAAAACGCACAGCACATTAGGGAAAGAATGCTTGCAGACTAAGATAACCGCGATCAACATAATCCCAAGCCCTTGGGTATTTTTATTTCAAGAAACAAATCAATTCTATTGACTTCTCCAATGAATTATACATATATCCTGACATTTAAACCAACAACAAGTCCGAATGCATTCACAAAACTTCTCGAGATAATGAAGGGAAAACAAAGTCAAGGATTTTGTCCCATCGAGTGCCGCCTTATCCGATTCGTCTCGACTCTCGGATCAGTTTTCCCCAATATTTCCGTTCTTCTTCAAGATCGATTTCACGGTCTTGCTCCTGATCGCCGACACCAGGTCAAGTGCAAAGAGCCTCTCGACCACGGAGTCGTGGAACGCATTGTAATGCTGTATTTAGGCTTAGGTTGGGAAGATTATATATTTTCCGCGCGACCTCTGTTGTGTGAAGAGCGTGGTTCTCTTCGATGGTGTCACGAGATATATTATAAACACTGAGCAAAATGGACAGAAGCTAATAGAGGCAGAATAGACACAATATGTGCTGACCATTTTGAAAATGATTAGACCTCCAAATTATATTTCTTGTAAAAACGTAACAAATATATTATGATGGTCATTTCTCGAGAAAATGGATATTTTTAAACAAATTATTTCATTTTATTTAATAAGCCATTTTGTTTTCGTAATATCGTCAAATTTATGAATATGCCTTTATGAAGCGCATCGATATTATAAACTTTTACAAAGAAACGTATGTCCGTAGTCATGATTAAAACATTAGTCGCTGCTAGGTAGGACAAACATAATGGCTCGCCCTAAATAAAAACACGTATCATATGTAATTTGCATTCTGACTATTGAAATACAATTATTCGTAACAGGTAAATGAAATATTGCGTATTGAGGCACGTAAGTATAGATTTGGTTGCATTACGAAAATGGCCAATTGCATCACGCCAGGCGATGCAGTAGGGGTTCCGGGAGTTCCATAACATACATTACCTAAATTAGACCCTTTTTCGGACACCTATATTTACGCGTAACATCTGTTACATTGGATGCTGTTTGTATAAGTCGTAAAAAAGACGAGTTACCAAATGAACAAATAATTAAGTCGCGTGCGTAGATACAGTTAATTACTTATTTAATTTGGTCTTAAAATAAAACGCTATAAACAGCTGTGTTTATCAGGTGCCCTAAATGTTATGGGTTACTTTAATTAAGGTTACAAAGGGCATGTTACATCAGAATGTGGGGTGGGAACATTAAAATGGCATTTCTGATGCGGTGGTTGCACAAGTAATTAATTATGGGCTAGTTTACACAAAGGCTTTTTCCAAAGTTTTAAACGGAAATGGAAGTGGTTACTCGTCCGCAATATAAACATGTTATTCGGTATAATTTCTGTTTCTCTTGATTTTTTTAAATAAATGTTTGTGTGTTTATTTTGGTTTGATTATTTGTTTGTTTATTTGTTTGTATCACAAATAGTCTGAAATTTGGAGGTGACATTAAATTAAACACATTAAATAAATGGTTAAATCATTAATCTAACCTTTGTTAAATGTACTGTAATATGTAATACTACATGGTTTTATGAGCATTACTCTCAAATAAACAATTACAAGCTATTCTAAGAAGCATTACAACAATTTATTTAAGTGTATAGAACTCAATTTTTGAATAAGTAATGACAATAAATTTACCTGATCATAAGCTAAGCCTAAGTAAACGCTAAAGCCACCACCCCCCCCCCCCAAAAAAAAAAAGAAGAAGAAGAAGAATGTAGGCCTACCAATAAGGATAATGACATCATTTTGCGGGGGAGGGGTATTGCCTTTTTGTGAGTACCATTATTTTGTCGACATAAGCCCAAACCGTCCAAACCATTGCAAAACAAGCGAATGAAATCAATTCTTTGAGAGAGAGAAGTGCACACAAAATGTGGAGGAGGCGCGATAGCTAAGTTGGTAGAGCAGTGGTCTCATAATCCGGCGACCCGGGTTCGAAACCAAGGCGATGCACTAATGCCCTTTGGTAAGGCATTAATCCTCATGACCAGGTCTCTCGGAGAGGACCTAAAGTGGTTGGCTCCCTGGTTGCTAACTAACAAGCATTTATGCTTTCTTATAAATAAACATCAGTAAGAAGCCCAGTAAATCTCCGCCAATCAACAAAAGGGTGTGTCACATTTTGACATAACTTTTTGCCTACATGTTGTGCCGGGGAGGGGAGTATAGGGAGCACTAAATAACAGATATTTGGGGCACGCTTATTTAGAAAATGTGACACCTACTTTGTTTGTTTTTCCTCTTCTTTCTTCATGCCCTTATTTTTTCTTTTGTTTTAATATTTATCTTTTTTATTTGTTTATTGGCGTATTTTATATGGCGTATATGCGTTAACAAACAACAGCTTCAATTTTTATCGTTTTTTTCTTCTTCTGAGTTGCATGCTGCTGTTTGCGTAGTAATTTATTTTGATGGGTCAATAATGGAGCGATTAGTGAACAGAAAAGAGTGATGGGATAGTAATGGATACAGCTAAAGCCGTCAGGGGAGAGAGAGGGGGAGAATAAAAAAATAGAGACAGAGAGAATGAGGGGTAAAGAAACATCTTCTTCCTTCTTTCTCTTCCTCCTCATCTCTTTTTACTTCTTCATCTTCTTCTTCTTCCTCCTCCTCTTCTTCTTCTGAATCATCTTGTTTCCCTTCTTCTTCTGAATCATCTTGTTTCCCTTCTTCTTCTTCTTCTTCATCCCCCTTTCCTATTTCTCCTTCTTCTTCCTCTTCCCCTTCTCTAGTTCTTCTTCTTCGACTCCTTCTCCCTCCTCCTCTTCTTCTTTTTATTCTTCTTCTTCCTCCTTCCCCTTTTCTACTTCTCCTTCTTCATCCTCATCCTCCTTCTCTTCTTCTTTTTCTTCTTTTTTTCTTTCTTCTTCTTTTTCTTTTCTTTTCTTCTTCTTCTTCTTCTTCTTCTTCTTCTTCTTCTTCTTCTTCTTCTTCTTCTTCTTCCTCTTCTTCTTCCTCTTCTTCTTCTTCTTCTTCTTCTCCCTCTTCTACTCCTTTCCCCAAAATGATAACGCATGTACACTGTAAAAAAGAATTTGTTCATTGGTAATTTTTACGTATTTTTTCCATGTAGAATTTACTTGAAAACATTAGTTTTTCCACTTACGCACTAAATTTAAGTCTTGCTAACTCAAACTTTCAATTTAGTAGAACATACGTGGAATATTTAAGTAAAATCGAATACATAAGAACTTTAAGTAATATCAGCTTGTATTAATTTAGTAATTTTAACTCAAAATCAGAAATTATACGTATTACTCAAACAATTTATGTTGATTATTCTTATCTTTTTAAAGTAAGGACCGAAGCAGTGCGTAATAGAAATATTTACATAATTTATGAATATTCATTAAGACCAAATTAAACTCTTTTTTAAATAAAACGATTCTTTTTTGTGGTTGAATGAAAATTTAAGGACTTTAAAACATTTACTAATTCATTTAACATGGCTAAGCAAAGACAAGACAATTTTTAATTGTTACCCAGTTCGAAACAAATCAAAACTTGATATTTCAGGAAATTGTCAACCAATTTTCCTTTTAAGATGCTACGATCAAGTATATATACAATTTGGAGCCTTTCAATATGTGTCGAATTGAAGTGTATGTAATAGTTTGTGATGGTGGTAGATATATATATATATACGGTTAAATCTTAAATAGAAGTAGTGTTAGTGATTAGTGGATGTGACTTGTTAGATTAGATGGGTACCAAATCGTGCAATATGTAATCCTATCATAGCTTTTTTTTAATTATCTAAAATGATTACAATACTAAAATTATTTACGTTAATGTAACTCGATTTAACTGAGTAAAAATGTATTCAGCAAAATAAGTAAATTCTACTTAAGATGCCGTAGGTAATATTTACTTAATAAAAATAAGGCAATTCTTTTCCTCAATTTTATTGAGTTATTTCGACTATTATTTTTTTACAGTGTAGGTGCCCTCACGTTTCAAACTGTTTTTTTTCACCAAACAGCACGTTAACTTAAATTTAAAAAAGACATATCTGTGACAAACAGGGATGACTAAACCAAAGAATGCAAGTTCTTGATAAACGTTACGATAACTTTTGTTATTTTTTCCCTTACTACATATACTCGGCAAGTCAATATGCAACAAACCGTTAATATTATAATTACAAAAAAAAAGTTGTAAATAAAAGTATCTGACCTCGAAGTTATGTAGTGATTTGCTGTGTTCATCTGACCACTGTATGCCAGTTCATGGTTAATGGGTCCGAATAGAATTTCGGTCAAAATAAACCAATTATAATTATGTTTGTTTTGTTTGTTTGTTTTATTTCCACTTTTTCATATCAATACAAAGAAACATACAAATGAATATAATGAATAACATGTAAGTTTGACAAAGTTTTTTTCTAGTTTAAATAAAAGTTTCATACTGTTACAAAAGGAAAAAGCAGGAGACCACATGTCGTAAGCGTAAATGCTTGAACATGACCGTGGCCTCTGCCGAGTTAACAAAATAAAAGAACAACCCATGCAACTGCATTGTATTCAATGTTAAATAAGATATAAGTGAAGTGATTAAAAGTGAGCATGGCTGATTTAATTTTGAGTGAAAATAACAAAACAAATTTAGTGAAATATTTCGTGTTGAGAAGTGCTTTTGTGCAAGGTGCAAAAAATTTGTGATGTACTGATTCAATTCGATTCAATTCAATTTATTTCAACCATAAAAATACACATACAATAATTCATGAAAATATAAAAACATGGGGTTAGGAGCCCCCCAAGAAGTTTGAATATAAACCTGTGGTTGGGGCACCAGCCAGTGACATATATATCGAGGAATCACATGAAAACAAATTTATAAAGATCACTACTTTAATTCAAATGAAGAAAACTAAATATCGGCTTTGATGAAATTCCTGGTAGAAAATCTATTTGCTTTTACTAATTGCACTGGGTATGGGTTGGAATTCTCCGGCGAACCGACGGAGGAAAGGAAGAACATCAATGGTCGACTTACCATATCATCAAAGGATTTGGAGAGTTTCTCAAACGGAGTCCGCTTTGGTTTTCCCGCCGTGAACCTTGGGGGTGGTTTCACTGGTGCTAGCTCAGGCAGAGAAAAGTCGCCATTCTTTGCAGTCTTCGGGCTATCTTCTGCCATTGATGCCTTCAAAAAATCACCTGTAACCTTGAAGAATCCGTAAATGGCGTCCTGCTGTAGAAGATACTTGATTCCTGGTGAGCAACTTTAAAAGTTTTGTCTGAGCGAAGATGAAAATGTTCACAAAGGGACAACAATTTGTTTCACTGTAAATGTACTGCCTATATCATGGATAGATGATGGATAATTACGAAAGGTTAACGCAAAGTCAACTGATCGCATAAACAGTTTGCTTATTCAATAGAGCGTGAAAGTTTAGGTGAATCTTGGGTGTGGTAAATGTCGTCTCTGGCGAGTCTGATAACGATTAATGTACGTTTGAAATCCAAGTTCAAACTTCATTAATAGTTGAATGTCAAAATGAAATGTTTAACAATCCCAAGCGCTTTAAATTTGAGATTCGAATATGATTTCTTGAAGCTGTCTTTAGCTGAGTTGAGAAGAAACTCATCCCCGCTGTAACTGGTCTTGGAAATAAACCGTGTACTAAAAAGGGCGCGAAATTAAATCCAGAGTGTACATGCAACAGGTTGCTGTCAGCGATAGTTCGCTGAAAGTGTACACGTCATGTAAACGCTCGTCGGCGCGTCGTTCAGAATTTTAATAAAAGCGATCCTCTTCGCTTGGTCTTGTTTTCGCTCTCTCCCTACTCTCTTTCTCTTCTTCTTTTATTTAGTTCAACTCGCCCGGGCTCGTCGCTGAATTACAGATTGGCTTTGGATTAATACATCGGTCTCGCGTGGCGACAATCTATCAATTTATATCAATTAATAACCCGTGAGGCCGCGCGCTAATCGATATTGCGCCTATGGGCTGCATCGGAAAACGGTGCTTGAGTGTTCGCCCAACTCTGAGGGGCCTCGCCATTGGCTGAGGCTTATTATCTTCCCCGTCTCCGCATAGTTTGAAATCGAAATTCTTGTAAATATTCATGAGGTTTTGAAAATGTTCGTGGAATTCTGGATGCTGCTTGGGAAGAAGAGTTTTGGCTAATAATGTGAAGGGGGGGGGCAGAGTTTAGTTTGGTTTTGTTTTTGTTGCCGTATACAAATTCAAATGCATAGACCTACTTTAATACGACTTATAAAATAATATAAATCAAATCAAGAATTAAAAACGGCTGGATGTGCTTAAGGGTCTCCAATTGCCCACACCCACCCTATAAACCTGAACTCGTTTTTCCGAAATTATTTATTTGAAACTATTAAGAAATTATTTTTTTAGGTATATGTAGCCTATGGTGTGTAGGGGTGTACCTCATTATGATAACTCACTCTCACTCTTACTTTCTGGGTCTCTAGGGAGAACGGAGCATTAAACGATGGCTCTGAATAGATCATTCCAGCTCTGAATAGTACATGCAGCCAATGGACTTACTGTAAATTTGTAACGATTTTAAAACAATGTGGCATTAATATCCACCGGCACTACCTGGACAAAAACGAGGCCTTCTGATTGGTTAGAAGTTAGAGAAAAGTGATCCGTCACGTCATGAGACGTTGTATATGTATATGCTTCGTTTTTGCCCAATGAACAAATATGGTGGTCCGGTACTTCAGCAGTAGTACTTGCAAAGATTATCTCGAGTGTATAATCAGGGGCGTTGCTAGACATTTTTCAGTGGGGGGGGGGGGGGGGGGAAGGGTTGTAGAGACCACCGATTTACGACAAAAGTAGCCACCAATTACCGACAAATATATTGATGCCAATGTTCCAATGTCTACAAATTTAACCCTATAAACCCTAGGCCAGGAACTAAGTTATTTTTCAGTTTTCCCCCTTTGACACTTCATTAAACTTTTAGAAAAAGAAGACGATGCGTTGTACCGTTCTCGACTCTTAATTCTTGTTTCGCCCCCCCCCCCCCCCCCCGCGCGAAGCGCAAAAGTTATGACGTTTCATTTAATTTTTAGAGAAAGAAGCAATTCATTATACCGTTCTCGATTCTTCATCCTTGTCTGAATGTATATTTTAAGTCTTCGTTTTTAGGAAAAATACTCCGAAAAAGATAAGAAAATTGACAAGAAACAGGTAACAAACATATCGACTTTTAAATCATGACCTTTATTTGGACATTTGATGAATATTTACTTCATTGTTGGTATGTTATGGTAAGGTATCTCCACGCCGGAGTTACGGGTCGAATTTTGGATAGACTTCTGAACTAGCGCCGAATAAGCTTCAAATACTTTTAACTGTTGAACAAAATTACCAGCGGGGACTATTATTTAACTTCAATATACTAATATATTTCGTCATCGATCACTTTCCCCGCAGCAAGAACCTCATATTGTTTTAACGTCATGGTCAGTGTATCGACCTAATTAGCACATTAAAATGGGCTACTGAAGTCAAAATGGCAGAGGTCATTCCATTATATGGAAAGGGTTTTTGTTATTCAGCTGCTCTCTCTCTCTCTCTCTCTCTCTCTCTCTCTCTCTCTCTCTCTCTCTCTCTCCCTCTCTCTCTCTCTCTCTCTCTCTCTCTCTCTCTCTCTCTCCCTCCCCCTTTGTCTGGCAAAGAAACCCGCATTTATCTCAGCCATTCTTTTCTCGATACGTCATCTTTAAAATGTTAATTATTATGACGTCGTAGCAGAAGCCATCTCAGTCCTAAGTCCTGCTTGTCACACAATAGTGATCTATTTGTTCTAAAATCACGCTATTGTTTGGCGCTAAAACAAAATAAAAAAAGTCTTTTGTCAAACAAATATTGACGTTTAAATAGACGTTATTGTCCGCGCAGTGTGACGTAATCAGGCCACAGTAATGTCTGTATGGGGGCGTAATGAACTTATGTAACAGGCTGGATGATCTCAAGGAACGTGGAAGCTTCCGGAATGTCCAAAGAATCCTTTTCTTCCTTTTCAAAAAACTTTTAACTTCCGTTTTCATAATACTTGATACGTACTTGATGAGGTAATCTCTGAAGCAGCTTTGCCAAGCTATACTGGGATGGGATGTGTTGTGACAGCAGGTGAAGGTGCAGACAGCAAAAGGGTGTATAATTTCTATATGTAGTTATGTACAGTAAAACGGTGACGTGCAAGTAAACAAAATCATGCTGCTATATAGTTTACAGCATTCTGGAACCTACAGGAGGTTCCAACCCTCTGATGACAGGGAGGGCGGTCATCCGGAAAGCACCGACTGTTGAGGCAGTTGCTGCGGTGGCTGGTAGTTGATTCCAGATGCGAATGGTCTGGGGGTAAAATGCGTACTTACATCTTCTAATATCAAACACTTTCCTTTTTCATTTAAGAATCGTCTTTTCTATGAATATTTGTTTTTCTTTCTCTCTACCTTACTCTTTCTCTTCCCTTTCTCCATTTCTTTCATCTCGCTCTCTTTCTTCCTCTGTCTCCCTCCTATTCTTTTCTTCTCTCTTCATTTCTGTCTGTCTGTCTGAAACTCTCTTCCTCTCTAATATCTTTCTTTCTGTATGTCTGTCCGACTCCCTCTCTCTCTCTCTCATATCTTAATTTCTTTCTTTACGTCTGTCTGTGTGAATCTCTCACCCTCGTTCTTTCTTTCTGTATGTCCGACTCTCTCTCTCTCTCTCTCTCTCTCCTTCTCTATTTCTCTCTCTCTCTCTCATATCTTTTGTCTGTCTGACTCCCCCCCCCCCCCCCCCTCTCTCTCTCTCTCTCTCTCTCTCTCTCTGGGAACATGCATAGATTTGAAATTCATATACTAAAACGAAAGTGGATTGTAAGATGTTTAATGCTGAAACAAACCCCAAAATGGCAAACATAGTTACATTAACGCATAACTATAGGAATGATAAACGATTTAAATGAACGGCAAAGCATTCAAATAAAATGTTCGCCTCAAACAGAAACAGCAGTGCGATCTTCGGATAGTCTTACAAATCATATCCATGTCTGTATACATAATATGATTTTCATATGTATATGGAATACAAAGTTAATATTTTAGACAAGTACGTTTGGAACGCAAATTCACGTAAATTTATACTGCCAATTTGAGAAGTGAAATCAGGCAATGATGAATTATTCTCAAAAATCAATACCTCTATTTAATACCGATTGTCATTTTCATTTAAAACCAGTTAAGAACTTTTCAACAAACTGACGGATGCGAGAAAAATATTACTTGGTTCCGTGCATTGAAATGAAACAAAAATCCCTGATAGAGTTTTAAACATAAACATTAATCGAGGAATTTTACTTCAATAAAATCCACGAACCATCCAGTGGATAAGCTGTTTGGACAAAAAGCAAAATAATACAGACCGCCCTATTGTTTGGATCGCATGTAAATTCCTGATTTTTCCTGATTTTCAGGATACCTATGAATACCAGTCAGTGCTTGAATCCATTGAAAGTTTGGGACAGCTTATCAAAATTCATCTCTTCATAAAAATATATCTGTCTACAGTTTGTACAAAACAAAGAACTGATTTATTCATTCCCCTCGTACATTTGATCTTCAATGTTTGAATTTTTTTAAACAAGAAAGAAAGGTGAAATAGTTGAATTGGGACGTTGTTGAATACCTTCATATGTAAATTCTAAAAAAAAAAACCTAAATAGGGACAAATACATTTTATTTACATACTGTACCTTTTGTTGGTAAGGGAACAAATAATCTTAACAGTATATATCTCCTTTTTTGTATTTTCTTGAGTAGTAAAAGAAGAAAAGACATCAACAAACAAACGTAGAGAAGCACACTAAAGCTACATATTTTGGGATTTCGTAACCATGAACGACCCAACAGGCAAATTTGGAGCAATGATCGTATATAGAACATGTTAAAAGATGCATGCAGGAATACCATTTTCAGAAAATACACCACAAATATCATATTGAAAGAGATATAAAAATATACATGTAGGCTATGTGATATATATTTCTATTGTACATGGTTAAACTTTTCAAATATAGAGCGAAGATTAAAATATGATATTTGAATTCTATAAAATACAATATTTAGTGCAGTTGTTCAATTATGAATACACAAATATGTTATGAACAGAATACATGATATACATTGATATAATAATTAAATTAAATTTAAATTTGTATTTGCATTTGAATTGGTCTTTGAATATGAATTTGAATATAAATTTGGAATTGGAAATGGAATTTGAAATTGAATTGAAATTGAATTAGTTTGCCCCGCCCAAGGAATGAATGTCCAAGATGGAACAGAACATAATGGTTTGTTTCATCAAAATCATAAGTTTGAAGAAAAAAATTTAATCCAAGTCACTTATCACTTGGACAGAAGAATAAACCTAATGGATACGCATATCTTTAATGATTAATGATTTTTTAGCTGCTAAAAATACAGCTGCACAACAAATTTGAATTGATATAATGAATATAAAGCTGCAAACTACAATTCAATCAGCCTGATAAAAACCACACACAAAACCACCAACAACAACAAAAAATTGAAAAAAAAAGAAAAAAAATGTAATATAATGTAATCGTAGCGAATATCGCTTCAAGGGAATATGCAAATACACAGTACGTGTTTTGTTTCTCTTAAAGCGATATTGAACTAATTTACATGTATCTGAATGCTGATCTGATAAAGCACTCAATGGTATAAAGTATATGAACATAATATAGAAGAATACATGTATAACCTACATGATATGTATTTGGTAAAAACAGTAATATGTTTCGTTATTTACAGCTATAAGCCTTTCAAATATTTGTGATTTATCTATCACCTTTTTGCCAGGAATGTTTGTTGTAGACTTGAATGATATTCAGCCTATTCATTCAGCACACCAATGGAAAATATGGAATAAGAATAGAGATGCTACCACCAAAACAAAAAATATTTACTAAATAAAAAAATATGAATGTATACAAATTTGTCTTATCCATCTCACCAACAGTAGACTTCAATTAAAGTGAAGATACAAGTAAAGACATAATTAAGTATTGCTACCTATCCAGTCTTAAGGATGAATGTGTGTAATTTATTTTTTTACAGACATGTATTAACCAGATATGACGATTTACGTCTGGGGACCGACTTTTACCGTCACCATCCGAAAGAACCTGCGTCCTCAGCTGAATCAGTTTGTAACTTGATAAGCTGAATTACAGGTGCACGCCACAACGCCCCGTTATGTATCATGAATGAATTTATTATATTCTTATTACATTATTTAAAAAACAGTTATAGAAACAACAACAGATAAGAATATACATCTAAAAGAAAAATGTACATGTATGTTCATGATAAATTTTTTTTTTCCATTTTTTTACTTCAGTAATTCATTCTTTTATTTCAGGCAAACAACATTAATATGCTGTATCAAAATTGATACACCAAACATTTTCTAAAATGTAAAATTATTTGTGCAGTTGTAAGGGAATTATCAATCAATACAAAAATGAAAGATCTTTCTAGTTTGTGCTTTTATTCCATGTAATTTATACATGTTTGTTCGTTGGAACTTTGGTCCCTCTTAAATGGACATCATGCTCACCCCTCTCTCTCTAATGGATCTTGTCCAAGGCCTCAGTCAGAATGCTCAGTTCACCTGGTAAATGAGGTAAATAAATAAATTTAAATGAATAAAAGAACACTAATAAATAATAAGAATAATAATACAAATATTAATAGAGGGTTCTTGTATAGCAGTCATGTGTGTCAGACTAGACACTCCTGGCTCGCAATAATTATTATCCCGGCTTTAGCATGGCTGCCATTATGGCACTCTAACATTTCAAGGAATGAATTCCTGCCAGGTACCCATTTATCTCACCTGGGTCGAGTGAGGCAAATGTTGATTAACATCTTGCCAAAGGACATTAGTGCCGTGTTCAGACTCAAACCGTGAAACATTTAATCCACAATCTTGTGAAGTATCGACTAGACCACAATACCTCCATATAAAATGAAATAAAGTGGTAAGAAATACAAGCACTAATGATGCTATATGACACTCATAGCTTCTACCAAAACATGGCTAGACTGTGCACATTCAATTCATCCGGCTGTCTATCTAGTACATGTATCTCGAAATAATCAAAACCTTAAACCATCTATCAATATTTGGCATTTTTTATCTAAGATTTTGGTGACCATATCTTCATCAATTCATAATTATTAAGTAACTTTCAAAGGTAAAGACCAGTATTGGAAACGCCCCAATTTCAAAAAATGAAATGGAAGCTCTCATTACCAATCATGTGAAAGAATATGTTTTGACTATTTGTTTCTCTCATGGTCTGTGAGAGATAAAGGGTAGTCCCATATACATCTTTCTGTGTATAGTGCTTGTAACTTTACGAAGAATGGGCCAAATCTCTTATCATTTTGATGATTCCAGAACCTTGCAGATGCTAGATGCTAGATGATCAACCTTTTCTGATCGATTCCACAATGTTTCTTTCACCATGCAATCGCATGACCATAACTGGTCTTTACCTTTAAAAGATTTACTCTTCTATCCATCTACGAATCCTTCTATCATTCAACTATCCATCAATATTTGGCAGTTTTTATCTCAGATTTTTGATGGTCGTATCTTTCATCAATTAATTATTATCAAGTAACTTTCGAAACATCTACTCTTATATCCATCTACAAATCCTTCTATCATTCAACTATCTATCAATATTTAGTATATTTTTATCACAGATTTTGGTCATCAATTAAACTTTTATCCAGTAACTTTCAAAACATCTACTCTTTTATCCATCTACAGATCTTTCTATCATTCAACTATCTATCAATATTTGATTTGATTTGATTTTTTTTTTTTTTTTTTTTGTGGGGGGGGGGGGGGTGGCCATATCTTTCATCAATCAATTATTATCAAGTAACTTTCAAAACATCTACTCTTCTATCCATCTACAAATCCTTCTATCAATCATTGATCTATCAGCGTATTTCTCATAATTACCTTTGATGCTGGTGACCATATCTTTGAGCGATTCCTTCTGATCCAATACTTCTACAGACTGGGTGTAGGGATTGTAGCGAACACTGAATGGCCGTTCAATCTTCTTGGCCCATGTTCTACATTTTCATTTAAAAGAAGAAAGAAAAGTCATGTAGGAGGTAAATGGCGGCATGAACTGATTTACAAGATTTAAAAATATCCAAGTTCTTTACAGCATCTCTGCCTCACACCCTGTGGCGCGCCTGCGTGCGCTCAGAGGTGAGACTACTAAATAAAGTGTTTGTTACTGCAGACATCTTGACACATAGACATTGGCCTCCTGACTGTTATTGTTTGGGAGTTATTGTGGCGGTTTTGGGATGGATAATGCTGGTCTTTGATGGCGAATCAGATTGTCTTGGTTTTGTGTTGCCCAGGATCTGTGACACCCCCCCCCCCTCCCCCGCCTCCTCTGTCTCTTCTCTCTCTCTCTCTCTCTCTCTCTCTCTCTCATTTTTATGTGATGTCTCCCTCACATCCATATTTTGTTTAATCAGCAGAACATTTAAAAGACAGATACATGTACTACACTTGACCGTTTCCTTCAAGTCTTGTTTTCTATATCTCTTTCTGTCTCTCTTTATCCCTCTCTTTCTCTCACTTTCCTTTTACTCTATCCCTCCTTCATATTAAATCATATCATTAAATACTTCTAAGAGCAGATACTTTACCTGAGTTTTTCCTTTGCATCTTCAAAGCTCTCAGCCAAGTAGTAGATGGGCTGGAACTTAGTGACGGGATAGTCTGTGACTGCGGTCTTTTCGGGGTCAAAAGGTCGAATCTCGGGCTCGTCAGACAAGCAATACTGTAAGTCAGAAAGAAAGAGAGAGTACAATGACTGCTTTTTTTGTTTGGATTGTCCATGAATTTATTGTTAAATGGATGTCTTGATTATCAATTTTCCAAGAGATCAAAGGTAAAGACCAGTTTTGGAAACGCCCCCCTCTCAAAAAGTGAAATGGAAGCTCTTATTACCAATTATGTGAAAGAAAATGTTTTGACTAAAATGCGTGATGATACAAATTTTGCCGGGAAACCACCTACTAATTGATATATTTGGTAAATTATCATATCTATCCAGAATGGATAGATATCGCGTAGTCCCATATACATCTTTCTGTGTACAGTGATGTGATGTGATGGCTTTTTTACCTGACTGCTAAGAAAGCATAAATGCTTGTAAGCAACCAGACGGCCGACGGCTTTAGGTCCTCTCCGAGGGACCTGGTAGTGAGGATTAATGCCTTACCTAAGGGCACTAGTGCATCGTCTTGGTTTCGAACTTGGGTCACCGGATCAGAGACCACTGCTCTACCGACTGAGCTATCGCTTCTCAGTGCTTGTAACTTTACCAAAACAGGGCCAAATTTCTTATCATTTTGCTGATTCCATAATCTTGCAGTACATACCAATACTTATATGGTAGATGATCAACCTTTCCTGATCGATTCCACAACGTTTCTTTCACAATGTAATAGCATGACCAGAACTGGTCTATACCTTTAATCCACACAGATGGACTAACTGACTATTTTTGTGTCCTTTTGTTGCCAACCACATCCAAGATCAGCGAGTTACGGAAATATCTCTCTTCAAAAAGAATAGACTGATAAACAGATTTTAAACTGTACAGGCAGACAATAACATTTTCACAAAATTCCGAGAACATATACAAATATATTACATAGCTGGCTGGATTACAAAAACGTATATGATATAAATGTGTACTAAGGAAATTCACTTTAACCCTTACTGTACTGGGCTATTTCGAGCACTCTCTGACTGGGGGGGGGGGGCCTGGGAGGCCCCCCTATGATCTCAGCCGTCGAATGTCCGATGAACGCGAAAATTTGCATGTTTGTAGATATTTACGTAAGGAACAAGATGGTATAATTAGTTTTTCGCTAATATGCAAATTTTTGTCGTTATAGCCTAATTAATTATGCAAAATGCTAATTTTATGCATTTTACAGAAAACTCTACATATTTGTCCGTAGACTTGTGAAGAATCTTGAAAATGTATTGAATAAATGTTTCCTTCATCTCAAATTCATGAGGTTTCATTATTTTTATGATATTTGAAAATCAATAGGTTAATTTGCATAAATTATGAATATGCATTCATGAATATCAAATCCGGAAATATATACCGGGAACTAGAATCCTTACAAAAATTGTCAGACTCCACTTTTTGAATGTTGTTACTCATTATTCAAATGAAACTTCTTTTCTATCACAAAAAAGTTATTTGAAGAAATTAATAATGATAATTTATGCAAATTTGATGCGATTTTTAACTATTTATTTTCTTATGTATTTTATTGTTTTTTATTTCTTATTATATCTATTGTTTTATTTCTAATGTATTCTTTTGTTCTAAAATTTCAAAAGTTACTTTGAGAAACATATAAAAGCAATTTGATATCAATTCATAGATTCACATTTCTGCTTGTACATGAATATATGCAATTATAGCACTTTTTTGATGACATGCGCATACTAATTGTTATGTAACACCTTACAGGTATATCCGATTTTGACGAAAATGGTATTAAAATGTGCGTAAGACTTGAGGTAAAAAATTCATGAAACGACAATTCAAAATTCCGAGCGGTTGCTGCGCAATCTTCGAAAATGTTGAGGGGGGGCCTCCCAGGCCCCCCCCCCCCCCCCCCCCCAGTACAGTAAGGGTTAAGGGAGATGGTCGTCAGTTTAGGTCATAATTCGCTTGGAGGAAATAATATTTTTGGGTGTATAAGTCTTGCACACAGCAAACCTGTGTTCCCATCGAGAAATACCCCCTAGTATCTCAGAGAGTCTTTGGGTGAGGGAAATGTAAGATAATGCATTTTCCATGTTGGGTGATTGGTGGAAAATGCAGGGCATTACATAAGGCCCGTTGGTCATAAAACTGAAGGCTATTCCTGGTGATTGACAACACCTTTATTGGGTAAACACATGAATGGTGTCAAATTCCTGACGAAAGCCCGCTACTATGCGGTCTTTAATGACTTCAATGATAGAATTAATGATGAAGAATTACCTTCAACTCTCCAAACGAAGACAAGAGTCCAGCTCCGTAAGCTTTGACCTGCCCGTTTTGTCTGCACAGTCCAAACTCAACGGTGAACCAATAGCACTGTATTCATACAAAGAAAATAATCATATACATATAGTTTTAGCTTCTATCAACCTTAAAGCCACACTGTCCTACTTGTAACTACTTGCTCCCTCTATAGAAAACAATGCCTAATCAGTGACCATTGGTCCCCCATGATCATCTTTTTCTTATGTAATTTGAGGGCTGAGTTAATGAGATAACCTCCTGTCCAGTGACCTTGCAGGGTGGTCTAATCCCTCCTATAAACTAGCACAGATAAGCTTTAAAAATTAGTAGGCAAGCTTTCGTCCACTCCTTTGGACTTACTCAAGCTAAGTGATTATTCTCACGGTTTCTTGCTGTCTGCTGCATCGAGATCACCGGAGCGAAGATAAGTGACAATGAATAGCCAGAAACCTTAATCAGTAAATGATTAATCCTTTTTTTATCCATATGGATTCTTTCACCTTTTGTGACCAAAAGTGTGTTTCAAATTCAATAATATGGGCGTCATCCCATCCAATGTTGTGTCCAGTATTAAGGGCATGTTCTGCTACTGCTGAATGATATGAATTGCTCATCTGAGGGCTCTTTTGTGCTATTTTAATTAATAATCATGGACATGAAGATAATATCATAGTAAGAACATCTAAAAACACACATATGCAAAAGCTTCAATCCAGATAGAAAAAAAACATTAAACATGCAATAATACAGATCTTGTTCAAGACACGGAAGTACATGTACAAGTAACAGAACCCAAGGTCTAGATGAAAAGCTACGTTTTCGGCTAGATTTGAAGCAATCAAAGCTAATCATTAAGATTGTCCAAAAGGTGGTTTTAACAGAGAGGTTGCTGTATGAGAATTGAGAAGGAATTAATTGTCCAGGGGGTATTTCACAAAGACTAAAATTGAATTTAAGATGGACTTAACTATGGCAGGCCTTTCATGCCTCTCACCATTTACTGGCATTGGACAAGGGACGTACAAATTATGGTCACAAATCTACAGAATTTACATTTTTTGATAAATCATTTTTTTTGAAAAAATATTATCTAAAGATCATAATCGTGAGAGCAAAGTCAGCAAACAGTGGCATGTACGGCCTGCCATAGTTAAGTCCAACTTAAAGTTGATCTTAGTCTTTGTGAAACACTCCCCAGGTTGGGTGTAGTAGTAGTATCAGGAGTTGTTTTTTGACGGTCAGATGGGAGTAGTCAAGAGATTTAGAATAGTGTAACCCTTCGGTGGTGGATAAATGATCAAACTGGGTAACTAAATAAAAAAAGAAAGATTGAAATAAAAGACTTACCGTGGCAAGCTTCTGAATGTACTCATCTGGAGCTCCCAGGGACAGCAGACCGATTTCCTGTTGGATGACAAAAATAAATGCTTTCACTCTATAACCTCAAGTCCTTTATTGTTTGGGTTTTTATCTAGTTATTAATATAAAAATTATAATAAAAACAATTAAACTGTTATAATTCACTGATGGTTTTTCAATGAAAGGTTTGAACAATGTAATTGCACACCTAAAATAATGGTAAAGTAAACTCACTACAACATGCTTTGAGGGGCATGGAAATGGACAAAATAAAACCCAGAAAAATAATTTAGTACCAAGTGAATAAATTCATTGCAGTATGTTTTCTATTTTTACAACTAAGCCCGTGCTTGTGTACAATTGCCTCTAGAAGCCAAATTACGACACCATCATTTGTGAGAGTGTGTTGTAGGGACAGATGTGTTGGCAGTGGTAAATACTACGACGGCACTCACCTGTGAAAACTGAGCAAACTTGGGATCAGCAAAGAGAGGAACATGACCAAGAAGCTCATGGCAGACATCCCTGAAAGTACATAAGATAAAGTTGGTAAAATTCTAAATCCAGCCCCCTTAAGTACACAAAAAAAAAGGATTTGCGGGGAAAAAAATGGCATCTAACAACATTCCCCCTCTTTTGAGTAAGGAAATCAAGAAAAAATCAAGAAAAATCAGGAAAATAGGGGTAAAATCGGGAAGAAACAAAATTGGGGAAAAATCTGGAAACTGATTTAAATTGGGTAATTATCAGGCCTGTAAAACATCCATCCCACAATGTGCAGGACAGCGTATAGTACTTAAGCATCCTTGAGTGCATAATGTACAGGTTTTATTTTTACGATGTCATACACTTATACCCTTTTCACATCTATTTTTCTTAACCCCGGACTATCCTTAACCCCATACTATCCTTAACCCCATACTATTTTTTTTGCTGTTCACATCTATTTTCTTAACCCCGGACTATGTGCTTAGCCGGGGTTAAGAAATTTCACGCGATTCACACTACGTTCGCCTTAGCCCCGGACTATTCGATAGCTCATGAATATTAATGCTTTTGCTACCGCGCATGCGCCTTTCGACTAAATGAAGGGGAAAAACCCGCGTAAAAGACTAAACGTCAATACAGAGAGCATGCATGCGTAACGTGAACTGCATGCATAGCGCGCGATAAATGCAAATTCACGACCACACGACCACGCTGTCTGTGATTGGCTGTTGCTTAGCCCCGCTTCTCCTTAGCCCGGTTCGGATTCACACTACGCAGCTTAGCACCACAATTGCCCGGCTAACCCCGCAATTGCCCGGCTAACCCTGCTATTTTGCAGGGCCAGATAGTCCCGTACTATTTGTGGGGTTAGCCCACTTTGGCAAAACGTAATGTGAACAGAAAGCCGGCTAAAATTACCCCGGGTAATTGGTGGGGCTAAGGAAGGAATTGGTGGGGCTAAGAGCCCCCTTAGCCCCACCTATTTCCCGGGGTTAAGCAATATTTGGTAGATGTGAAAAGGGTATTAGGTGCCTGATTTATTGGTGTAAGTAGAGAGCTATAAAGGTGCATGGTAATAACAGCTCTGTGGTGTACATACCTTTACTGGGTGCCTGACCTACTAAGTACACCTATTCATGATGTCAGCGGTGTACATAAGCCTACTAGGGTGTCAGATCTTCTGATAATACTTTTGATATTGTCAGCATTGGGATGTACATAAGATTAAAAGGTTGCCTGACCTACCGGTTACACTAATTTACGGTGTCAGTGATAGGTTGTATATATAAGTTTACTAGGGTGTCTAATATACTGGGTACACTTAATAATTGGTGACATTGTACTTACGTAAAGTTACGCATGACTTTACGAATGACTTAAATATGAAAAGCCAAATGGAGTGCTCAAATAATTTTTAACTACATCAACTAAAGTTGAACTGTGCAGATATAGATTAACATTCTTATTATAACAAACATTTTTTTTTTAAGTATATTTTTTGCCATAATTTAATTGAGGTTATTTGAAATATAATCACACTTTGTTAAAAAATCAGGAGAAACTTTGGGCATCCTATCTGGCACCTCATATTCAAGTCGTCCGTAAAGTCATGCGTAACTTTACAAACAGCTTTATGAAACACCCCCAGGTTACGCTTTTCTAGTGGCAGCGGTGGGATCAAGTACTTACGGCTCCGGGGTGTACATAGGCTTGCTGGGGTGCCTGATGTACTGGGCAGCGTTTCACAAAACCGTCACAAGTACAAGCTCACCGACAACTCATAGAAAGGCATGTATCAAGTTTAATATGTGTTTCAATATCAGTGAACTTGTACTTGTACTCATTTCATGAAACGATGTCCAGGGGGGCATTTCACAAAACTTGTCATCAGTGACAAATGACAATTTTTGTTATTAGCTACTGAAATCCTTGCTTCTGATTGGTTATCAGCAGATTTGTCACTGATTTTTGTCATTTGTCATTGAAAAGAGGCCTTGTGAAATCCTCCCCTGGTTACATTTGTCTGGTGGCAGCGGTGGGATAGATTACTTACGGTTCTGGGGTGTACATAGGCTTGCTGGGGTGCCTGATGTACTGGGTGCTGTGGAACACACGGAAGGCCAGACCAGCCAAGAAGTCTCTGGAGGACAGGAGACCTGCTACAGGTCGCAGTGTGAATCCAGTGCAATCTGAAGGGAGAAGCAGAAATGCATATTGGAGGAAAACTTTAAATGGACGAAGGAAGATGAAAAGAAGATCGAGTAGATTGATGTACATAATAATAATAATACCCAGTTTTTATATAGTGCTCATTAGAATCACTAAGCGCTTCCAAACTTGGAGATTATTACCCCGGCTTTAGCTGTGCTGCCATTGCGGTGCTCTAGCATTTCAAAAGACTGATTCCTGCCAGGTGCCCATTTACATCACCTGGGTTGAGTGTGGCAAAATGTAGATCAATGTTTTGCCAAAGGACATTAGTGCCGTGTCAGGGATCGAACCAAGACCTTTGAATTGCAAATCAAGTGCTTAAACCACTCGACCACGACACTTCTACAAAGTACAAAGGAGGATGAAAAGAAGAGTAGCATGATGTAAAAGGAGGTTGCAATGCTGAAGAAGCAGGAAAGAAGGGAACAGAGAGCAACCCAAAAACTATTCTTCCTATTCTCTCACATGCTTTACCAAGGGCCTAGCAAAAGGTTTCTTATGATCCACCAAAAAATATATTTTCACTTCTTTCAGTCACAAACCCTACTACAAAAGTGAAAACCTATTACAAAATTCTCAAATCCAATTGACATCTCTCTAATCATGCCTTGAGTAGGGTATCTATCGGTAATTCCTGCAGTGTTTCGGGTAAGAATTATAACAATATGTACACCTGTAGGTCACCTGAAGCATATACTTTTCATTTTACATGACTCAAGTTAACAGCTTCACTACATAATTCTCTACTTCTCTTTTGCTTAATACAGGGGCAATCCAATAGACCAGTTCATAGTTGTGAGCATGAGCAGAAAAAGGTCATTGCAGACCAAATTGTGAAATACACTGGATACTGAAAGTTATGTAATCATTATTCATTTATGCACAAGCAGTGCACTCCATGATACATAGGTGGAAGTATTCTTTGAAAAGGGGAAACAAACGCTATTTATGTAGCACCTCCATCGCTGTAGGAGTGATTATTTCAAAATGTACAAAGTGGGACCTCTTCATGTTTTGAAGATCAAGGGACATATGCTAACCATGAACTGGTCTATTCCTGTGGGCATTTGGTTTAAGAACATTCTCTTACCCTTGAGAAAGTTTGAGACATCTTCAAGCTGAGGGATGTTGTCCGGTTGGTATCCACAGTTCTCCATGAGCAGGGGGAAGACATAGTTGAACTCCTGGCAGGCGTGGGTCTTGAAGAGGTCGGACAGGTTGGTGAAGATGGTGTTCCAGGTCTTGATCTCAATCTCGGTGTAAGTCACTCGCGGAATGGGCTCGCCACTAGAACAAGAAAAAACAGTCAACCCTACTTTAGCGAGCAGCTGCACAGAAAGACCACTTGCCTATAAAGGCAACATTGATTGTTTTAACGGGGCATTGTGGCGTGCACCTGTAATCCAGCAAACGATGGAAGTTACAAACTGATTCAGCCGAGGATGCAGGATGGACGTTAAAGGTCGGTCCACAGACGTAAATAATCATATCTGACTGATACACGTCTGTAAAGACCCAATTACACACACACACACACTCCCTTGAACATAATTTCTAATGAATCATGCAATAAAGGAACCTCCATACTATATATAAAAACCATCTGTTTGTGAAGATCATCTTTATCTTCTCTAATCAGTCATCTTTATATACCAGTACACATTTAAAGGGATCGTTTAACAATGTTAAATCTGAGATACATGACCCTACGTGTTATCAGTGTCTGTGATGTGGTGAAATATTGAAGCCCTAAAAAAATCGCGCTTCAAAATGATCAAGAAGTGCCTCAAAAAAGTAAAAATCTTTGAGTGACCGGTTTTACCATACTCGTTTTCCCCAATAGACTGTAGTGTTATGAAAACCGTCAGGCGAACGGTTTTCAAAATGTGTAATTCCAATCATAAATATCTTGATAATCAGACAGGCGATCGGCTTGTAAAAGTCATGGGGTTCCTGACTGACCTAAAGGTTTATAATTATCATTGCATCATTAGCTTAATCCAGAATTTTGTTTCAGAATCTGAGACAAAGTTACCGGATCCCTTTAAATGAGGTATGGATCTATTTACAGAAACCATAAGGTTTAATAAATGAAAACAACAGATCATAATGGATTCACCAATCACACTAACATTCTGCTGGTCCTACTTACTGACGGTACTTGAGAGCGATGTCGGCAAAGTGCGTTCTGCGTTCTCTATATACTGGATCAGTGAAGCCCTTGGAAAGAAGAAAAAAAATATAAAATTTGCATTAACAAAAAGTTAGTATTACATGACCACTTCCGATTGTCTCATCATTTTTCCATCTCTCCCCCAACTACCTAGACAGTTTTCAGAGAAGACCATAGATCTATATTTGTAAACAGAGTATTGTGGACAAGTGGATGTCATCTCATGCACTAATGTCCTTTGGCAAGAAATTGATCTACATTTGCCACTCTCCACCCAGGTGTTAAATGGGTACCCGGTAGGATGCGAAAGCCAATGTAGTATACTTAGCAATTTGGGCCTAGTAGCTCTTGCCGGAATGCTCCCCAGGGAGAGGAGAAAGTGCATACATTGTGTGCGGGCAAGCCAGAATCTGATGACCGTGGTAATAATGTAAAGCGCTTAGAAACTCGGACATTGCCGATGTATTATTATTGTTTGGCTCACAGTAAAAATTTGAGGTATACTTTACAAAAAGAAATAACAATTACACCAGGAGAATTACACATACAAGTACAAACGATGATACATTCAGTAGAAACCAGAATAGTATCCGAAACTGATTTTCATTTGGGTATTTAACAGGAAATACTTTTTTCTCTATTATATATTTTGTCTCTTCATCATTCTACTACTGTAGCCATATTCAGTTAAAGTTGCTCAAGCGTGGGAATATAGAGAGCAGCTCACGGACGTACACACGAGAGCGCAATACCCATTGGCTCAGTGTTATGTAGTGATCGCCAAGTTGCCTATTTCACGAACAACTATATACCCACTTTGACTCCTGGAACCGGCTGGCTCCTGTATTAAGCCTATGGAAATCAAACAATTCAGTAGTCAACGTATTTAACATACTTACCGGATGGTCTGACTCCAGGTCCCCACCAGCGTTCAGAATGTGGTTGGCAAACTCATCCAGATCCTTGATCTTCCTAGGGAACCAGGGAACTACCAGTATATAAGGAAACAAATGTGAGGTGTCGAGATTTAGGTGTTAATGTTTGGAATATATGATACTGTACTATTGGAATACCTTATACTGTGCCATTAGAATACCTTATACTGTACCATTGGAATACCTTATACTGTACCAACAAAATACCTTATACTGTACCAACAAAATACCTTATACTGTACCAACGAAATACCTTATACTGTACCAATGGAATACCTTATACTGTACCATTAGAATACCTTATACTGTACCATTAGAATACCTTATACTTTACCATTTGAAAGGAAATACTTTCATATGCATGGTATAGAGTGAACCAAGCTTTTAAGAGTTAATGTTTTAACTACCTTCTCCCATTGGGAAGATGATATATTACATGTGCACCATACACAACATGGAATTGAGTAAAGCAAGTTTAGTGTAAGGTTTACAGGTGTAAGTCTAAAGTTTAGGATACTTTGTCCAATGAAAGACAATGCTTTTCATGAATGGAGATCTGTGTTTGGTGTAGAGGTTTAGGTGTTAACTTGTATATATCTTTTTCCATTGGAAAGATAATATTATACACCAAAGAAAACATAGAATTGATGAAGCCAACGTTTTGTGTAATGGTGTAAGTATGAATATCAAGAATACTTACTCCGTAGAAAGATAAACTTGTTCACACAAAAATCATAGTATTACCCAAAAAAAACAATGCTGGATCTCAAGGTCGAGGTTTAAAATAGTAAATAATGTTTATCATCAATGGAACCACAGATTTTTTAGAAAAACCAATGTTTGGTCTAAAGAATTTTAAAATGTTTAAGATGAGAATGGTTGATCCCATATAGATAATATGTAATAACTTGCACTACAGGAACCAATTACAAAACAAATATTTGGTGTTGTAAGGGGAATAGGTATTACATTTAAACCCTATCCCACTGGAAGATTATGTTGCAAGGGAGGAACAATATATACTTCATTAAACCAATATTTTGGTGTAAAGGCTGGTAACTGTTGATCTCCCAGTTACATCTTCTGAATCGTCACCAGACCAAATATAGACCGGGAAAAATAATTACATCAGTACATGTACATGTAAGCACCAAGAATGGGTCAATTTGTAGTTGGTTCAGACTTCAGAGGTGTGACTACAGGTACATGTATATAAGAAAAGTTTCAGAAAACCTTTTCACCATGTACTGTACATATAGCATGAGAAGATAAAGTACACCAGCGATAGAACTACAAGTTAGAAAAGTAGTAATATGACTGGTAATACGACCGGTATAAAGTTAAGTGTTAATTTCCGAATTACTTAATCCCATGTGAATATAATGTCTTATAAGTAAGGACCATGGGGATAAGGAAATCAATGGTGTAAACTTCAAGTGTTAATGTATGGAACACCTTATAGTTACCTTATACAATGGTAATTATTGCCATGATATGACACTGAAGAAACCAATGTTTGGTGTCATTGCCTGTTTTAGTGTTAATTTATATAATACTACCATATAACAACACCTTCCTTTAGAACCCTGTGAAACTAAAGAAACTAGTACGGTATTCAGTGTGAGCGTTTAAGAAGTGTTTAGGTTGTTAATGATAAATATTTGTAACCTTTAGGAATTATATGATTCTAGGAGTAAAATTCTATACATGGCTATGTCAATATTTAGTAATATATACATGTAGTTAATATTTACATGTTCATGTATGTGTTGAATGCCTTATACCATGATAAGTTCTTCTATAGCTACATGTATGTAACTACAGTGGTGTATGTGTATGTGATAGAAAGAATTATGTTTTAAAGTTCAAAATACATGTACTTTTTACCAAAATATTCTCTTACTATCTGGGACCTCTTGCATATGACTTTAGATTCAACACAAATTCAGAAGTCAAGCAATATTCTGATTATTTGAAAGTCAAATAGAATTTGATTTCAGAGTTACATTCACTTGTTAGGCAAAAGACCCTCATGTTCTAGGTATAAATCATCCCATCACTTTGATAGTTAATGGTTAATAATGGCATCTACTTGATAATACCAATACAAAGAGAAAAGATCAGCAGTTTGCAAAGCACATTGCTAACAGATGATCAAATTTATCTACATTTCAGACCTACACGTTACATGTACATGTACGCCATGTAAAACATAAGCTGCTTTTAAATAATGCATGCAAAATCTACTTTCAAGCAAATATAAACAAGAGAGCAGGGGGATTTAAATATGTTTCAAAGAAAATGATGAGTTAAGCTAATTTAAAGACATTACAAAGACATTACAATGAAAATGTAGTGGTTCCCACAACACATTATTGAGGTATACACACAAATGTATCTGCAAGTTATATTGATAGACAGTACTTCCATTATAGAGGAAATGTACCATTTCATATACTGCAGTATATTTCAAATAAACATCAAATGTTTTTTTGTTTTTTGTTTTTTCAAACAAAACTGGAGTACAGTCAAACCTGTCTTAGTGGTCACCTCCCTATAAAGGTCACCTTTCTATAGCGGTCAGTGGTCACCTAAATTGTCTCTGTTAGGAAAGAAATATCACTGGCTCATGAGAACCAGAAGGACGTTAAAAGGATGCAAAAGTGTACGAGTTTACCCCCTTCTGACACTCAGTTAACATTATGCCTTGAGGAACTTTTCTCTCATGGTCAATGAAACATGAATACACTCTCCAAAGGTCAAGAACTTATTTATTGTATTCATTTATTTAAAATTTCTTTATCTCATTATCTATTCATATTTTTTATTTGTTTTGTTTGTTTGTTTGTTTTGGAAGGAGGGGAAGGGCTACCAGTATTTCAGCTAATTTCCCTTCAGTGGCCTTATAATAAACAGCTTTGACTGTACTTACATGTACATGTATATATGTCATGTTGAAAAACTTACTTTCTAGAAGTGATGCATTCATGCATTCATGTATACATGTACAGTATCCAACAATGCACATTGAAAGGGGCAAGGTGTTGTATTCACATCAAGCAGTGAGAAGCAATGTTGCGATGCAATGGGCAATTGGGGTGTTGGGATGAATGAAGGTTGGAGGGGGGGCAGGAAAACAAAATATGAATAAATGTTAAAGTTAAAATGGAAACAATTAAAACAACTACAAGAAATGGAGATGGGGATTGGGGAGAAATAAATTATAGGGTAGAAACTAGAAAGACAAGAGAGAGGGGATCGAGAGAGGGTATCGAGAGATGAGGATAGGGGAGATGGGAACACGGACAGAATAAGGCAGATAGGAGAAAGACGGGAGCGAGAGAAAGAGAGAACCAGATATAGAGAGAGCGGAGAAGGAGAGAGAGTGTCAGAGCTGGCTTACATGTACTTTTAGAGGGGTGAGAGAGGAGGGGAAAATGGGGGGGGGGGGAGAGGGTAAAGAGAAAAGAGACAGACAAGAGCATCAGATGAAACAAAGAGAGAAATAGATAGAGATAGAATGACAGATATAGAGCAAATGAGATGAGGTGAGAGAAGAGAGAAAAGAAAAATGGAGGAGAGGGAGAGACAACAATAAATGTGAGTAGTACTGAGTACATGTATGTATGTGTGTGCTTGATTGAGAGGGGGAGGAGAGAAGTGGGAAGAAGAGATAGAGGGTGGAGAGAGGAGAGAGAGGGGAGGAGAAAGGAGAGAGAGATGGAGAGAATAGAGGAGAGAATGAAAGGGTGATGTAGGAGAGGGGATCTAAGAGATTTGAAGAGAGAAATGGGATGGGGAGAAAAGAATCTGAGGATCTGGAGTGAGGTAGATGAGAGAAAACGTGAGGATAGAATGGGGTTTAGCGCCTATCAAATGGGTTGGGGTTTAAGATGAAGATCACAAAGAAAAGTAGGGCTAGGAAAATGGTCAAGAGGAACTTGGGGACAAGAAGCTAGCAAAGGTTCTACAAAACATGAAGTGAAAATGGCTCTGCAGTCAATAGAATGCCATTTTCCTAATTTAATCTAAGTTAATGCATAAATCTTTTAAGTGGCATGTTACAAAAGATTTAATTCACCTGTAACAAATAATTGTATTTCAATAGCCGGAATGCTAGAACAGGTGAATGAAATAATTTGTAGCAAGGCAGATTTAAAAAAGATTTGTGAATTTTATATTTGCTTACATTTTGAAAATGGCCTATTTCAAACTTCAAAATTTCAATACTTCATAGTTCATACATGTACCAGGACCAAGCACTACAAGGTCCCGAACCCTAACTAAACCTAAAATCCAATACCATTATCAACCCTAAACCTATAATTTTATATCTTCGACAAAATAAAGCCTGGTGCGCTAATATTCATGGAGCAAATGCCCGGTCATCTGAGCAAAAGCAGGCCTTACTGTACCCTGTATACAGCAGAATAGGGAAGGGCAAATTAAGCCATTGGTATGCACAAAAATATGGACATTGGGTGAACAGCTGTGCAAAAAAGGGAAAAGGTAAATGATAGGGTATCCAAGACTAGAGCAGGAAGTTTGGGGTCATCTGAGGTCAGCATGGGTCACAAAGGGTCACATAGCGAGCCAAAAATAACTATCGAGGTATATACATGTACATGTATGCCTACCTCTTGATTTGGCTTGATGGGTTATGATAAAGAATGCAAAATAACAAAATGAAGTTAATGATCAATCAGGTGATGTCAAACAATTAAAGCAGCTGGCTTGTGATTTCAAGTACTTTGTTGACTTCTCATCTCTCATTTTAATACAAAATTACTACCAGGTATAATATTAAGAGGTCCATGCAGGGAGCAGTAAAAAGCACTTCCTTTTGATTCATGTGAGAAAAAAAATCTGAGTACACTAGCTGTACAGAGTTTAATACTTCGTGATTGTACTGTATTCATAAATTCATCTACAAACTGTACTTTCAAGCACAATGATGTTAATAATTCAAACATATAACGCAACATGTATTGTATGCATGTTGGAACAGAAATAAATCAATATTAATGTTGACAAAGCATGCCCAAATTACATATATCATGTATGACATGTACACGTTATAATTAAAACACTGCTAGACTTTTGCTAACTAAATTTGAGCTTGTGTACATGTATCTTTTATCCTTGATTATGTGAGACATGTGAGTCTGATTTAATAAGGTTGTTTTATTTCATTTATTTTTTATATTTTTGTTGTGATGTACACTGTACATATGATGAAGGAAGATATTGATTTAGGATATTGATCAAGTTAGATTTTCAACAGACAGGAAATTCTGCTTCCTTTTCTGTAAATAGAACTATTAAATCAATACCATAAATGTATGTGATTCAGGCTAAACCTACATGTAAGTGTCCGGCCAATCAACAGCTGAGTAACGGATAACATATGGAATAGTTATTTTTTCTGTTTTATATATGTAACAATTATACACTAGGGCATTCAGTACAGGTATGTTAAAATATGTCTGGTTGTAGAACAGCTAGTCTCCCTGAGTAGCCTGCTGTTGGAATCTGATATCTTCTTTCAATTCCCAGCTTAAAACTACAGTACCTACAATACATGTACAAGTACATTGTGGTTTATTCCACATTGCATACAATACAAGGCTCATTTAAACAGTCCAAAAACCATTTTGAAAAAACATCAGGTTTTCTTCCTGCCATATACAGTACTGAAAAAATCCATTAAAAAACATTAGTGATTGCTCATTCTGTATTTTGGTGAGTATACCGGTAGTGTTTTTTTTTCCAGATTTTTTTCTGCCATTTACGGTTTTGGAAAAATCCATTTAAAAACATTGTTGTTTGCTCATTCTGTATTTTGGGGTGAGTAGTGTGCGTGTCCTACTTGTTGCTGCTCTGCATGTGATGGATTGCACAGAAGCGAGAAGAGTCACCTGACGACCTAATGTAAAACTGGTCCGGGTCATGCATTCACAGATGTTTTGAGAGCAAGCATTTCACTGCAAAATATCTGTGAGCCTTTAGATGTTAGTTGTCATATAAAGGCATCTGAAGAGCCATCCTTTTCATGGGACATTTTTCTTCTTTGATACTCTTTCACACTATAATAAAACGAATGAACAATCTCACAAATTATTGTTCACTTTTCCCAGACCTCAACCTTCTCTTTAAAGGGATCTGGTAACTTTGTCTCAGATTTTGAAAAAAAATCCTGGATTTAGCTTATGCTGCAATGATTATTATAAACCTTTAGGTCATTCAGGAACCCCCTGACTTTTACAAGCCTATCGTCTGTCTGATTAACGGTTTTCATAACACTACAGTCTATTGGGAGAAATGAGTATGGTAAAACCGACCACTCAAAGATTTGTACTTTATTGCGGCACTTCATGATCATTTTGAAGCTCAACTTTTTTAGGGCTTCAATATTACACCATATCAAAGACACTGGTAACATGTAGGGCCATGCATCTCAGATTTAACATTGTTAAACGATCCCTTTAATTCCTACCTGCATCCTTGGTATCGTGTGACCTAGAGAGGATCTGATGGTACGTGACCCGATCCTTGAGGCTGTCCAGGGTGTCCTCAAGCTCAGTAGGAGGCGCTTCACTGGTTACCAGGAACTCATAGCTCCCAGGGATCCTCTTGGATGGTCTGGACTCGATGTGGGTCAGGTTTACTCCTCTCTCCTGTAAGTGATCATACACGTTGGGAAATAAAAAACTTTGTATGCAAATGGTCAGAGGAGGGGGTAGTTTTGGGGGAGGGGGGCTCTTCACTGGTCACCAGGAACTCGTGGCTCCCAGGGATCCTCTTGGACGGTCTGGACTCGATGTGGGTCAGGTTTACTCCTCTCTCCTGTAAGTGTACATGTAAGTGATCATATACATGTAGGTAGGGAAATAAGACTTTGTACGCAAATGGCCAGAGGAGGGGTAACTATTTGAGAGGAAGGGAGGGGGGGTCGATACAACATTACAGGCCTGGTATTATTATGTAGACCAGAATCTGGCTGGTTTTATTTCATTTCATGATCTTTTCCATGATCCCATCCCGTCCCCTACATGCTGCAAGCTGCAGATGGCGTGATCAAAGAATCAAAGGAATCCTGCATCTTCAGCTTACAGGAAGTAGGGGTCGCGTTGCTTCTGTGGAGATGGTTTCAAATTATTATTTTTTTTTAATACATGGGGGCTCGGGGCGAATTTTCCCCTGAAATGCCAAAAAGAGCCCCAAAAAATTTGCATAGAGTTCAATGCAAAATGGATTAAAGAGTGTTATTTTCATCAAGCAAGCTTGAAAAGAAGCCCCTTAAATTTGTTTGGATATTGTTTGTATTATTTTTTTTTCAAGTTCTGCAATATACTGGTTAATAGACAAAATACACTGATAAGGAATTCTTTAAAATAAAATCAATTTTTAGTACTACACACACATGCAAATGTATATAATCAATGTGTTAACTAACCAGAGATTGTGTTACTAAATCATGTCTCTGGACTTAAATCAAAAGCAAAACTAGCCAATACATGCAACAAAAAATGTATCAGATGTTTATAGGCCCATTTACACAGCCCCTTATTTGAAAACTATTGGTTTTTATGACTGCCATTTACACTAGGGCCTACTGGAAAAACCCATAAGAAATCATTGGTACCGGTATATGGTAAAAAAACACAGTCCAGCGCCCTGTTGCATAAAACTTACCATTGATGGTAACTTTGCCATCAATGGCAAGTACAGTGTATCATGGTAACAGGGCTCAACAGCCAATCAAAATCAAGATTCCCATGGTAGTTGCCATTGTTCGCAAGTTACCATGGTAAGTTTTGTTGTTGTGTATTGCTTAGCAGCTTCCAACGAAACACCAGAATGTGAGAAAACTGACTGGTTTTTGCTAGCAGTGTGAATGCAGCCCTTATGGAAGTGAGGTTGGCAGGGACCCAAGCAAGAGTAGACCCTGGGAGCAAGGGTTTTCAACTTGTCACATCCAATTACCTGTCTGAGGGACTAGTCTCCTTCCTTAAACATTTTTTCTTCTTTCTGAAAGCTAAAACAGCCTACCGGTATACATGTACATGTGTACACATACAGAAAATGCTTGCGTGTAAACAGAAGAGCTAACGTGCCAAGGAAATAGGAATCAATTGCTAGATCATTTGCCAGATTTTTTTTTTCATCATGAGGAGAGGTTCAAAATGTCATTTTAATTTGATATTTGATATTTGATATTCCCCTGCACATGCAAATGCTATGAGGTCCACTTAATCACTGTTTCATTTGTTTAATGCACTACAATGCAGCACTATAAGGAACATATATGGGTGAACAACGCTCAAATTAGGCTCATAGCAGTGGGTTTTTATGGGGAATTTGACACCATTCAGGTGTTTACTGAATAACAAGTATCCTCAGTCACCAAGAGTCAACTCCATTTTTACTGACAGACAGGTCTTGTGTAATGCCCTGTGCCCTAGCCTTAGTAGCCTACCATCATAAGGAATTCTCATCATAATATCAAATTTCCCTCACTGACAAAGGCTCCGAACATATACATGTATATTAATAAATTCATGATCAATAAATGAACAGTGCGTGTACTGTACATGTATATTAACTTGTTGGCTATAAAAAAAAATAATAATTTTTCTCTTTTTCATGTTGAAACAAAAACATTTTTTTTAATTTGATGCATGATGAAAACAAGTGCAGACGTGAAGGAAAAAACTACACGTATTGGATCAATGTATGTTTATGCCCTGGACAGACTAATGACTGTTAATGAATAAATTATCCTTAAAATGACCCTGAAACTTAATCCTCACCACTGCCAAATACTTAGTTTTGACTTTGGAGTCCCGACTCAAGTTTCCAGTCTCATTAATAGCCTGTTCGCTGTTCACACTTCAACAAATTGATATGAAATAGTTGCACAACAAAAACGTACAAAGTACTATTCCATATACATGTATATGTTACAAAGGGGCTAGTATGTGAACAAGAATAAAATGGGGGGGGGGGGCGTCCGGCGAATCCAGACGCAACCCAACCAAAAAACGATATCATAAAGGAGAAATATTAATGACGTTTCGTGCTATTTCATGCTTACTTTTCCTATTAAATCTGAATTTCGTCCATCAAAAGTCCTTCAAATACTATTAAATAATTTGCATATCAACATCTTTGTATTTCAGTTTAAAATAAACTGTCCAGACAACCGACCTATCCAGACACAAAACTTGTGGGTACCGGTATATAGATGCAAAAGCTAGTTTTGAAGAGGCAGGTTGACATTAATGCCAACTTCAATTGATGGCAGCTGGCCAATCACTAGTGCATATACTCATAAGGTCCACCCAGTTCTACAGTCTTCATACAATACGATGTTCACATTACTAAAGCATACTAACAATCAAGTTTTTCATTCAAAATTTGAAGCAATACTCAATCCACTTTGCCTATACATGCACAGCATTTAAACAATAATAATTTTAATAGGTCTTACAAGGTAGCCACATCAGTATCAAGTTCAAACCCTCAACCCTTGGACTGAGGGTCAAGTGAATGAATTATGAGAATTAAATGTACCGTCTCACAACACCGCCTGCATGTATTTCATTCAAAAAAGATGCAGAAAAGAAAACACTTGCATTTCTAATATGGGTTTCATATACAGTGTACAAGTACTTATATTTTACTAGTTTGAACAGTGTGTTAGCATCAGGAAATCCTGGATGACTGTCTTGACCGATGACACTTACCTCAAAGAGTTTAAGCGTCCTGGCCAAGATTCCGACCTCTTCCTTGAGCCCAAAGCAGATGGACGTGCAACCATCACTATCCTCCTTCATGTAGTTGTTACCATGGTACTGTCAACAACAAAAAAACATCAAAACCGTTTCATCAATATTCCTCGCTGAAATATAATCTTGGTAAAATTAAAAAGTACATGCATATTAGAAAAACAAGTTAGTACTATCATCTCATGTATTATATTCCAAAAGAGGCCGTTGGCAGCACAGTTTGTTAATGTTTAAAGTAAAATGGCCTGTATAATAATAATTATAGCGAAGAAGAAGAAGCTAGAAGAAGGTTCGTCAGGTGTGAGGGAATGGTTGATTACAAACTCATTTCAGATTTTGATACAATTTTACATCACTCTTCACACAGAAATATGGGTGCCAATTAAAGGTAATACAAAGTTTTGGTAAGGGGTCATGAATTTGGTTTAAATGAACAAATTGGAAGCGTATGCGACCCTACAATATTCAGTGATCGTTATCGCGGTTGAAATCGATTCTAAAGTTATGAAATTACATGTATGAAAAATAAACTCTTTATGTTGTATAGCTCCCTCTCAAGGTCAAGATATTAATTAAGCTATTGAAGAATGTTTATTGACTAAAATCGACCAATTAGCTACTCCCGTTGGAAATTATATATCACAACTACATGTACATATTCTGAGATTTTCATGGTCGTAGCTACCATTGTGCGTCCGTAGACGCTATTTGAAATTTATCCAAATTCGCGGGAGCACCGATAAATTTTTATATTCAATTTTCCTTGAAAGCAGAAGTGTTTTAGGGGCTTAATTTTCTAGTGCTTACAATACATCCACAGGGGCATCCAAATATATCAAAATTTTAAAAATTCACTATCCACCCAATTTTAAAAATTTCCCAAAACTATGTATTACCTTTAAGGCTAGGTGATATCAATATCATACGCATAGTTTAATATCACCTGTGACTATACATGTAGCCTGTCTGTCTGGTTTACGCCATCATTCAATAATCAAAAGTTGGTTTAACTTTAGACTATAATGAATATTCAATGAAAAAAAAAAGAAGGATTATTGAAATTATACAGGTATATATATATATCTATTTCAGATGTCATCAAGTTACTGGTATTAAATGCAAATTCACTTTCCCACAAAACATCATGATACTCTTCTGCGCACTAGTCATTCGCACGCAATACACACACACCTCTTCGACAACATGCGACTGTTATGAAGGTTGCATGGTGTTTCGGATAGGGTGCTATATTCAGATATTTAAACATGTAAATATGAGTATTTGCAGAGCTTACCGCTTTCTTCAACTTTCCTTCGAGCCCATCTCCAGCATCATTGGGCAGAGACCTCTTGTTCGCAGCTTTTGTACCGTCCATGTTGATGAAAAATATAGGTTGATGCTGATTTTTAAGCAAGAAATGCAGTGGCTTCGGAGTTTCCAAACGGATCGATAAACATGTGTGTCTGTGCTGTAGCTGCTATTGCGCTATGCTAGCGCTGTCGTCTGATCTGTATAAGCTGAGGTCCGGGATGCGCGTTTCCGTTTTACACCCTGCCCTAGGCTTTTCGGCAAGAAATTACACGAAACATGCTGTATCCGAAGTCTAAGTTTGTTTATATCGACGTCAAGAATAGCGAAGCCAAAGCTTATGTACAATTTCAATTGGGGATGCGAGGGTCTTCTTGTTCAAGACGGTTTTCCCGATATATTATTGTTTTGTTATCGCTGGGCTAAATTTTGCGAGCTGATCACGCATCCTCACGCTCTTAGAGTATTGCGTATTAATGGATAAAAATAAATGATACGACTAGGAAGATCAACTAGTTAGCTAGCGCTACGTGACGTTTTCAGAGTTCTGGTGGTGTGCAGAGCGCCGAGGCAAGATGTGGACGACTAGACTCCGAATACCAGTCGGTTTGTAAAATTTTATTGGAGAAAAGCCTAGGGCAGGGTGTAAAACGGAAACGCGCGTCCGGGATCATCACAGCTGATCTGTGTGTATGACCGGACTTGTTACTAAATTGCATAGAAATTGTGCATGTGTGTGTATATAATGGAAGGGTGTGCGTGGGGGATAAAAGTGGGCGCTGTCCCGTCTCCCTAGTCTGCAAAAGAAGACCCTGATTCGAGTTGCTGTGAAATTTAACATTTCGGCCAAACCTGTCACCCGAAAATGGCAATATTGGTTATATTAGTGTCGATGCTAACTTACTCTTATACAACGACGCTGTTTGATGCTGTTATTTGTTTTTATTATTACCAAACTGGACCTCATGGAAACCACCAAATTGGTGATGTGCCACCCGTGCATAAATATCAGAAATAAATACAAAATAAATAATAAATAAATAAACGACACAGAAATTGAAAGAGGTTTGCTTCATTAAAGATGATGCATTTATTCACGAGGCCGTAATTTAAAACACATTCCGTCAGAGATGCATCGGAGGAGTCTTTTCCCCTCCCCCCCCCCCCCCCCCCCCCCCTGGCTCTGAGCTCTCTCCTTTTTATGTTCTCTCTCCCTCTTTCTCTCTCCCTTTCTGCATGCATGATCTCTCTTCACTCTCTCTCATCCTCCCTCAGTCCCTCTCCCCTCTGACTTGTTCTTCTCTTTCCCTTGATTTCCGCTAGCTCCCTCTCTCTCTCTCTCTCTCTCTCTCTCTCTCTCTCTCTCTCTCTCTCTCTCTCGTTATCGTAGACGTATAATGCCATGGACCTTATCTATTTACCATGTAGTGGCCTTTTTTAAGATTTCAGTCACACTCAATACACGAAAGACACTTCTGTATTTAACACTTTTGGTTACCTTGTTACATAAACAGGTTTCACAAAATAAACCTATATTCATTTAACTGTTTTAATCCAGAAATAATTTCAAGTATAGCAAAAACGATTAAATTCCACAAAAATCTACCAGCCTGATTTTGAAATAACATGTTGCAAAGAAGTGAGGCACTAGATATAACAATAATAATACTCAATTTTTATATAGCGCTTATTAGAATTACTACGCGCTTCCAAAGGATCACTAATGCTAACCCATCGTCGAGAAGATCGAACATGTAATTGTTTTTGCAGACTGATCTGGAAATAAAAACTAAATTATAAGTTTTTTTAAATATTATACAAGTTGAATTGTGTAACCTATGGTGGCCCTGAAGGGACATCGCGAATAGACTAAATCGTGAAAAATATGCGATAAAATTCACGATATCGTCAATTTTATCGCATATTTTTCACGAAGAAATTCACGAAATTGACGATATCGTGAACTTTATCGTGAACTTTTCACGATGAAATTGACGATATCGTGAACTTTATCGTGAACTTTTCACGATGAAATTGACGATATCGTGAATTTTATCGTGAAAAGTTCACGATATAAAGTTCACGATATCGTCAATTTTATCGTGTACTCTATCGTGTACTCTCCTGACGGGCGCTTCGTAAACAAAACCAGCCCTAGCTGGGGGAGACAGAGAGAAGGAAAAAAGGGAAAGGGAAAGAGAAGATAAAAGGAAAGAAAGAATAATAAGAAGAAAAGAGGGAAACGGGGGGGGCGAAGGGCTCTTGCCTCCTCCTCACTCCCCCCCCCCCCCCCCCCTCCCCGACAAAAAATAAATCAGAGAGAGAGAGAGAAGGGAAAGGGAAAGGGAAAGAGAAGATAAAAGGAAAGAAAGAAGAGGAAGAAGAAGAAAAGAGGGAAACGGGGGCAAAGGGCTTTTGCCTCGTCCCCCCGCCCCCCGCCAAAAAATAAATAAGAGAGAGAGAGAGAAGGAAAGGGAAAAAGAAGAAAGAAAGAGAAAAACGAAAAAGAGGGAGAATAGGAAAGAAAGGAAAAGAAAGAAAAGAAAGGAGGCAAGAGCCCTTCGCCCCCCCCCCCCCCCCGTTTCCCTCTTTTCTTCTTATTATTCTTTCTTTCCTTTTATCTTCTCTTTCCCTTTCCCTTTTTTCCTTCTCTCTGTCTCCCCCAGCTAGGGCTGGTTTTGTTTACGAAGCGCCCGTCAGGAGAGTACACGATAGAGTACACGATAGAGTACACGATAAAATTGACGATATCGTGAACTTTATATCGTGAACTTTTCACGATAAAATTCACGATATCGTCAATTTCATCGTGAAAAGTTCACGATAAAGTTCACGATATCGTCAATTTCGTGAATTTCTTCGTGAAAAATATGCGATAAAATTGACGATATCGTGAATTTTATCGCATATTTTTCACGATTTAGTCTATTCGCGATGTCCCTTCAGGGCCACCATAGTAACCTGTATTGCATTTTCTTATAACCAATGTCAACTTGTCATAATAAAGGGCTCTATATAGAATATACTTTTGTTAGAACGTCCAAATGGCCTATAAAGAAATTATATTCCTATTATTTTCTAGAAATTAAACTATGATGACTGATGATTCAATTAAATAGCATCATGAGTAAGATAAGCTAATTGACGATTTGAATCCAAGGAACTTTAAAAAGATAACTACGACACCAAAATTGAATATCATGTATAGACTGTTGCACCGTTACAAAATCATTTAAAGATAAACTTCTGGGGGGTTTTCACAAAGATTCTAAGTAGAACTTATCTCTAAGTTGGACTTAACATTAATGGAAAGCCGTTAGCATCTATGAAAATATTTTGTAAAAGTTATTTTAAAAGGCATAAAATGTTGATTTAAATCATTCATATTTTCTATTATCGAGGAGATTTCATGTTATTGATGTGGAATTGATAACAAGTCTAAAATACTTGAATTTTCACTTTTGAATATATTTATTTTTAAGGCTACGAATGGCTCCCCATAATGTTGAAGTCCAACTTAGAGTTAAGTTCGACTTAGGATCTTTGTGAAACACCCCTCTGGTAAAAATAGCCAAAAAATTCTCATATAATCCAACGCAACTTACACTGAATGTTCAAGATAACAAATAAATGACATACAAGAGCTCAAGATTAGCTTTCACTGCTCAAGAGGGTACAAAATGACGTACTGATTTATGACTACTATATTTGGATATTGGCACAAGATTATGACGTCACATTTTCAATTAAATCAAAGAATAAATAACAACTAATGGAAAGTCGATACAAATGAATACGGATGTATAAAGTGAATACAACAATCATGAAACATATGATATTATCAGACGCTCAGACACGAATCATAAGAAACATTCAGTCTAATAATAACTATATTATTATTAATATTTCAGGAAGACAACATTCGGAAGTTATAAAGTTTGATCATGCAACTCTCTGAGTGGCAGTAATATTTTTATAGCAGATACGTTACATGCCTTGATTAGAAGTTATTTCATAGAATTTCAAAGAAACGATGGTAGATCTAATCGGGTGTACATCCTTTGTCATCAATTCCAGTCACTATAGGTTGATACTGGGATATACCTCAGTGAAAAGGGTCACCTTACCTATTGAATAAACACGTTGATTATATAACCAAGTCATATTTATGAATGGAAGAAATTCATACAATTTTGCAAGCGTCAATCATTATTGTCAGCAACCAGATTTGTCTGATCTAAAACCTCTACAAACTGAGTATACTAAATTATTTCCACCTATTTCACTGATCTCTGAGTTGTCTCATATTCATAATGTATAGATTTTTCCAAAACTAAATTTATTGTAAGGAATTCTCAATTCAGCATGTAGCTACTTTAACTGTAATATCGAATAAACGATGTCAAAGTTAATTAATTAATTATAATGAAATATTTTCAGCAGGATGGTTTTAAAGGTAAAGACCAGTTATGGTCATGCGATTGCATTGTGAACGAAACGTTGTGGAATCGATCAGAAAAGGTTGATCATCTAGCATCTAGCATCTGCAAGGTTCTGAAATCATCAAAATGATAAGAAATTTGGCCCATTCTTCGTAAAGTTACAAGCACTATACACAGAAAGATGTATATGGGATTACCCTATATCTCTCACAGTCCATGAGAGAAACAAATTTACCAAATATATGAATTAGTAGGCGGTTTCCCGGCAAATTTGTTATCATCATGTATTAGTCAAAACATATTCTTTCACATGATTGGTAATGAGAGCTTCCATTTCATTTTTTGAAATTGGGGCGTTTCCAAAACTGGTCTTTACCTTTAATGATGAAATTGAAAGTCCGATGCATCGTCAGGGTTCATTTCAGACTGCCAATACGCGTCTGAGGAAGATGTCTGAACTCTATTTACATCGAAACTTTTACGGGTAATTTTTGTTCTTCTTTTCGGTGTGAAACAAGCAATTTTTTTAACAGATTAAAAAACCTTTGATATTCAATTCAAGAGTTTATTCCAGACTCAGCTGCAAGAGCAGAGGTCCATATAACATATTTATATTTAGATATAAACAATGAACAAGAATATAAGAGGAGAACTGACATAGTTACATAGATATAAACAATGAACAAAAATAATAGGGGAACACATAAATTATGAGAAACAAAATTAATAAACTTTCAAAGTGGAAGTGGGGGCACTCGCCTCCCCCCCCCAATCACAAAAGTGGGGGGGGGGGGGTGCGAAACGCAGTTTTTCCCCCAAAACCCCCCCCCCCCCCCCCCTCTAAAAAAAAAAAAAAGCAGTAAAGGAGTAAAGATGGTTTGTATTTTTAACCCAAAAGAATATAACAATAATAAAAAACTGAATTAAATCACATTTAAAATTCCATTCAAAGAAAAGGAAAGTTAACAGGAATTAAATTTCCTAAACATTCCGCATGCCACTTATATTTATCAATGGAGGTTTTTATGATAGCGATACGCGTATATCGTGGAAATATTGTGAGAGGATGGGAAAGCGTGTGTGTTTTTTGTTATAGAGGTGAGAAGACATGAACCCCTGAACGCTGGCGTACTGATAGGGGGGGGGGGGGAGGTCTTCTTATTCGATACCAGTGATTTACAAATGTTGCTGAAATGACATGATTTTCCGGTATTCTGTGTAAGTCACACATTTTTATGCTTTAATTGGAAAATTAGAAATTCCAAAATTTACAGTCGGCGAATAATATGCTTATTTAGAAGCCTTCATGTCTGGGCCTGCAGAACGATTGGGCTCAGGGAGACAGGGGCTCGAGCCCCCTCATTTTTTGAAAAAGTATGTTACAGAGAAAAAGAAAGAAAGAGAGAGAGAAAAAATAAGTGACCTGCCGCAGCCGCTGTCACAAATGAGGTATCAAAATATGCTCATCTGACCGTAATTAAATGCCTAAAACCAAAAAAAAGCTTATGGGGGCTCCGCCCCCGGACCACAGCAAAGGCCCTAACGCGGTCCCCTGGGTGCTCATCTGACCGTAATTAAATACCTAAAACCCCTGAGCTCCGGGGGCTATGCCCCCTTGACCCTACCAAGGGCCCAAAGGCGGGCCCCTGGATACCTAAAACCCCTGAGCCTCCGGGGGATCTGCCCCCTGGAATCCCTGCCGGGACTCAGGCCCTGGGCCCCACGCCAATTTACGCTCTACCTGATTGTTAATACTCCACTTTGAAAAACGTTTCGCGGGGCCTGCATGTAACGTATAAGAGTGGTGGTGATGCAGATTTTCTTCTGCTCCCCCCCCCCTTCCAAACGATTTTGCTCATTACGCCACTGCCCCTGGAAGGTGAGCCCCCTGGAATGTCCCCCCCCCCCATCCCAAACTGCTTTCGGCGCGCATGTATACTTTAATGAACCTCTGCCGACTGTGACAAAAAACGCTACTGAACCTCCACAAGTCTGAGGTGAACCCTATACTGTTTTGCGATGGGTTACCCAACATTTTAACCATCATCATTTCTGAAGTGTCGATTCTCTGTATAAACTTGTAAATTAGATTTCTTACAACAGCTTGAAATGCAGGTATATTCACATTTGCAAAGTAACATTTTAATTGCATTAGAAGAGTGTCTAGATATTAATATTAGTGGCCATTATCTGTGAAGTATTCCTTCTTATCCAGTACCTCGATGGTTTGAGTGTGAGGATCGTAACGGACGGAAAACGGTCTTTCAATTCTTTTGGACCAGGATCTATATTTAAAAAGAGAGAACAAGTGAGAAAGATCGAAGCTGCCAATATTAAACATTTCAATGCCGTATAGTCTGTAAATACTGCCCAAGAATTTGAGTGAATTTGGCCATTTCGTTGGCGTCAGAATAGCTGCATCTCCCCACCCCCTCCAATACAAAATTACACAAAAACAAAAACGACGACAACAACAAACAGATACAGGTATCTTAATGCAGTATAATTCTATGACAAATTTAATAATTACATTTTAGGTCCATTTTCAACTTTCTGAAGTTTAATTATCAAGTTTGTCTGTTGATGGCAAAAATCTTGGTCGTACGTACAGAACGAGTTGATAAAGAGGACAATTTTATTCAATTTCCCCAAACATTGCAGTCATTTTATCATACTTCTCAAAACCACCAAAGCTTATGCTACGGTCACAAAGGTTCGTACGAACAATAATTTCGTACGAATCTCCCTGTTTTTCCATTGTCTGAAAATTGTTCGTACGGTGTTCGTAGCCGTTCGTAATGGCATTTGTGACCGAGGCTTTAATGTTTGTACAAACTGTACCCCCCCCCCCCCCACTCCGAGAACAGACGGACCCCATGCGTGTTACCAAAATGTCCTGTAAAAGGGTACTTCTCGTGCGACAAAGTCCGGCCCGAGAATTGTAAAAAAAGGGGTGTTTTAACTTTTCACCCGGAGATTTCTTTAAAAAGGGGGTTTTTTTTTTTTTTTTTCTCTCATCTCTTTGGACTCCTGAGAAATTATTCCGAATTTATGGGGGGTACATTGAGCATTTTTCATGAATTAGGGGGGTCTCCAAGGCAGGAAAAGCCCGTAAAAGGGAGGTTCGGAAATGTTGGCAGTCCTCAGATAGGGGGTGCTTTCAAAAAGAGGGAACAAGCATATGCGTACCCTAAATAACACTGAGTGGGGGGGGGGCGGGCTGTACCCCCGCCCCAGATCTTCTTTCTTTCATTCTTCTTAGATTTTTTTTCTCTATGTTTTTTTTTCTCTATGTTTTTTTTTCTCTATGTTTTTTCTCTCTCCCTCCTCTCTCTCTATTATCTCCCTCTCTCTCTCTCCCACTCTCTTCCTTTTTCCTCTCCCCCTCTCTCTCTCTCTCTCCATTTCTCTCTCTCCCTCATTCCCTCACTCGCTCCCGGCTCCCAGACCCTTTCCCTCTCTGTCTATCTCTCTCTATTTCTCTCTCTCTCTCTCTCTCTTTCAGCTTTACCTGAGTTTTTCCTTTGCATCTTCAAAGCTTTCAGCAAGGTAGTAAATGGGCTGGAACTTACAGACAGGATAGTCTGTGACCGAGGTCATCTCGGGGTCAAAAGGTCGAATCTCAGGCTCATCAGATAAACAATACTGTATACAACAAGAATTAAAAAATAATAATCAACTAATTAATTAAATAAATAATTGATTAAATTAATTAATCAATGAATTACTACATAAATTTAAAAAAATGAAAAAAATAAAATGAATGCGACTGCGTCTCCAACATCCCTTTACCTTTATGTAGGTTTATATTGTTATTATTATGTTCCCCTTTTATATTCATTGATCAACGATCCTGAGTCATATAACATCTGATCTTATGAACTCTGTACCACTTAGCATCACTTAAATCAATTTCGAAAAAAGGCTGAAGTACTTACGAAATAAAAAGAATGTATGAAATGAAAAGATTTAATGAAAAGAGTTTGAGTGTCAAAGAGGTTTATCTAAAAGGTTCTGAGAAGATAAGAACTCTACCTATATCCAGAGTAAATCATATTGTCACAATCATTTCATGAAAAGAGGTAAGGGGCAAAAAAGTATTCCATATTAATTTATGGGCAACGGTATAGATAATGAAGATCTCACTATACAGTAACCAAGACATATCTCGTTACTCTTGGAGATTGTGCTTTCAGTCGCGCCGCTCAAACGCTTTGGAATAACCTAAAGAAAAGCTTCATCTGTTGCTGTCTTCAAAGTAACTAGAAGACGCACTTGTTTTCAGGAGCTTTTGAATATTTGTGTTGTGTTTTATTGTGTGTCTGTATATAAAGCAGTACTGTTGGGAGTCTCGTTTTATCAGAGCGCAGAAGAGTATATTTATAAAGTAGCTGCGATATATGAATTGATCTAATCATTGTTAATAATACCTTCAGTTCACCGAATGAAGACAAGAGTCCAGCACCGTAGGCTTTGATTTGACCGTTCTGTCGGCACAGTCCAAACTCGACGGTGAACCAAAGCAACTGGTTTTTGCAAAACAATTTCAATTTTCAATTTAAATCTGTTTTGGTTTTATCAAAAATATACCAAATAAAAAGTCCGAAGACTAACAATATTTGGTTCACATTGTATCATATAAAAAAATCAGTAATAAGTCAAAGTAGGAAAAACTTCACGAATAAGAAACGATTGTAAATTATATAATGGTTTATTAATAAAAAAAAATATACTACATTATCATGATAACGATTGAAATAGATATGTGATATATTTGATACGAAGGATAAGCTTTCTATATATTTGAAGAAAATCGTCGTGATTATCACTTAGTCAGTAAATTGGGAAAGAAAGAAGACATATAAAGTGAAATAGTGGAAGAGGGGAGAGGGAAAGGATAACTTGGAGAGATAACATTTGAAAGAGAGAAAGAAGGGGAAAAAAACAATCAAGGAAGATAAAGACTCTCATTCAAGAACATAGAAACTATTTTGATTGCACCGTGATTGATAATCGTGGTATTAAAGACAATTTCTTAAAGTACAAGTGTGTTTTGTAGTATTTGTAATGTATTTTATGTGTATTTTATTTGTTTATTTATTTATTTCTTTAAAATGGTTTATTTCATTAAAAAACATTCGCGGCCCGAGAGCCGAATTGCAGTTTCTTTTACAAAGTATACATCAGTGACAAAGTAAAATTACACGTAAAACATTATGCATGACTTTGGCAAATTGCTTTGTACAAAATTATACAGAAATTCGAATTGTATTACAATAAATGTATTTGCAATAAAATTATATATTAAACTTATACAATATAATGAATAGTAATACATTTTTGATATTCACAAGAATTAAATGTTTTATGAGTACATTACGAGCTCGTATAGGCTTAGACTAAGTGCTCACTATAATTTTGTATAAGTATAGATACATATATTATATGAAACATAATTTTAGTTGATCAATAAGGGAGTTTACAGATACAATCTGCGCATGGGCAGATAAAGGTCATTTGTACCCAAAAGGTAAAACCCACAGAGATAAATACTGGATATGCGCCCACGAAAGTTATGTAACATTATTCATTTATGCACCAACGTCTATGATACGCAGGTGGAAGTATTCTTTTCAAGAGGGCAAACAAAAGGTATTCATGAAGCACATCTAGGACTTTGGCAGTTATTATTCTAATATGCTCAAAGTGGAACTTCTCCATGTGTAAAAGATCTGTGGATATTTGGGGTCCTTTGTACCATGTGCTATCTGTAAACTCCCTTATTCTGCTGCGTGCTCGCATGTAACAGATGTTCTATTCATGTGTTCGATTTTTTTTTTAAATAAAATCTATTTGTGTTATACAGTATTCGTACAAAATACGACTAATGTAAAACAAATTATGCCACAATTGCTGATCCCTATTCGTACTACATGGAAACAAAGTATCTGGGTCATGATCAAACTGGCTGTAATGGTTACAAAGCAAGAGAGAGAGAAAAACTTACTGTGGACAGTTTTTCAATTTGCTCATCTGAAGCGCCAAGAGACAGCAGACCAATCTCCTGGAATGAAAAAAGGAAGACATAATCATCTTTTACCTATGCCAATATACATTTAAATACATCTTTTTTATAGGTAGAAAGCGTAATGGAATAATGATGAAGTATGGTCTTATTTTTACACGGGGTAATAACATCCTGGAGACCCTGCAATCAGTAAATCAGAAACTTAAAAATACCGACCTTCGGCCTCGCGAAGTTTTGACCCTCCACCTGAAATATTCCACTTATTTCATATGATGAAAATAATGAATAAAAATTAAACCTGAGCGAATTGAGCAAACTCCCGATCCGCAAAGAGCGGTACATGTCCAAGGAGCTCATGGCAGACATCCCTGGGAAAATAAGCATAAAAATCAAATTATTATTATCATTACTTTTATTGTCAGTAGTATCAATATTATTACTATTATTATTATATTACTGCTACTTCTATAACTATTATTACATTTTAATTTTAGCATCGAAATGAAAATAGTTATAATATAATAACAATAATAATAACAATAATAATAACAATAATAAAAAAATAATAATAATGAGAAGAAGAAGAAGAAGAAGAAGAAGAAGAAGAAGAAAAAGAGGAACGGGTACCTGTTGGTGCTCATTTCTGTCACATTTGACACTCCTGGCACTTAACAATTATTACCCTGGTTTTGTCTTGCATATTATGAATATTTCTTATATTGATATCTTCATCAATGCTCTTTTTTGTTGTCTTTTTTTTTCTTTCTTTGGTTGTTTGATTGTTTGGTTTTGGATGTCAGCAGTCGGATATGTTATGCATACTTACGGCTCTGGGTTGTACATAGGCCAATCGGGATGCCTGATGTACTGGGTGCTGTGGTGGACCCGAAAGGCCAGTCCAGCAAAGTAGTCCCGAGCGGACATCTGACCGCCGCCAGGACGCAGAGTAAATCCGGTCCGATCTAAGAAATAAAAATAAAGAAGGAAGGCTCTGAAATTCTTTTTTTGAGAACCATCGTTCGAAAAGGTTAGCCATGAACATTCTCCCCGTGTGGCATACCTTCAGGTGTGGGGGGGGGGCAATCGAGTGGAGAAGAAAAACTGAAGAATTAAGAGAGAGAGAGAGAGAGAGAGAGACGAAAAGGGAAAGGGGGACACCTCCCGCATCTCTTCCTGATCAGTAGCCTTGTAAATTCACATTTCAATATTATTCCGCGCAAGACCGATGTCCACCCCCTTCCCCTCCCCCTCCCCCATCTTTCCAGTGCCCCATCATTATTGTGGGCTCATGCTACGCCACTGTTCTCACCTTTGAGGAAGTTTGAGACGTCTTCAAGCTGAGGGATGTTGTCCGGTTGGTATCCACAGCTCTCAACGAGCAGAGTAAAACTATCGTTGAATTCCCGGCAAGCATGCGTCTTATAAAGATCCCTTAGCTGGGTGAAGACTGTATTCCATGTCTGAATTTCGGGCTTGGTGTATGAAATTCTAGGAATGCGATCACCACTATGAAAGAAATAATTCATTAACTTTCATCTATGATAACAAACCATCTGTTGAGAGCGAGTAGGGCGTCAACTCAATGCATGGACGAGTATTTATAACTTAAACTTAGAAGGATAAAGAAAATTTAGCTTTATATAGGTTTTCAATTCTCTTCTTCCACCAGTTTCTGTTTCTTTTTCTTTTTCCAAGGTAAACTTATGCTTAACAACTCCCATGAACTTCAAACCTATCTATGGGCACATGAATAGAAATTCACGTTTTAGGTGAAATATCGGGGGCTCCTCTTTTGAAGTTAAACCCACTCTTAAAGGCCCACTGCACTTCTTGCGCCATCTATATAACAAACAGTGCCTAATCGGTGACCATTGGTCCCCCATGATCCTCTTTTTATTATGTTAAATGAGAGCTGAGTTGATGAGATAACCACCTGTCCAGTGACCTTGCAGGGTGCTCTAATCCCTCCTGTAAACTACGGCAGATAAGCTTTAAGTATCATGATTATAGTAGATCCGCTCCAAGATAGCCCTAAACTGCAATTTTGAGAGTGGATTCCAATATTTTCAGCGTGGAATGCACTCCAAATGGAGTGATCCTTCATGCAACTCCCAGCAAAAGTGCGGGATCCACTCCAGTACATTATTTGATAAAGAGACGATCGCGATCTGAGTGGAAGTGGGGATAATAGATTTTTGGCAGGTTTCTTATCTTGTAGAATTCTTGAATATACAAGCAATAATATCGATACATGAATATATTTGATGGAAGTACGTAGTCTCATATAATACAGATTTGATGTCAATTGAGACGTTTGTTTGTTTGTTTGTTTAACGTGAGTGCTAAGAAAGTATACGTATGCTTGTAAGTAAGTAACAAAGGGACCGACGCCTTTCAGTCCTCTCCGAGGAACTATTAATCCGAGGATTAATACCTTATCAAAGGGCACTAGCGCTTCGACTTGGTTTCGAACCCGGGACCTTCAGGTTACGAAACCACTGCTCCACCACTGAGCCATCGCACCTCCTCTATTTAAATTCAACATGATGGAAATTATATTTTAAACATTTGCCACTATGACAAGGGGAGTGTTTCACAAAGGCTAAGATTGAATTTAAGTTGGACTTAACATGGCAGGCTGGTCAGGCCACTAGTTCCTCTAACCATTCCTGGCATTGGTTTCTCAAGGGACGTACAGAATAATCGTGGTCACAAAACTTCAGAATTTACATTTTTTGATAGTTCATTATTAAAGGGGAAAATATTATCTAAAAATCATAATTGAGAGACCAACGGTGAGAGCAACCAGTGGCATGAATGGCCTGTCATAGTTAAGTCCAACTTAAAGTAGATCTTAGTCTTTGTGAAACAATCCCCTGGTTGCCTACTTACTGAATGTGCTTGTAAGCCATGCCAGCTATTTGGTTTCTGCGCGATCTGTACACTGGGTCTGAGAAGCCCTTTGGTAGGAACAAAAATAAAAGATTGTCGTGCTTGTTTTCGTTTGTTTATTTCATTCATTTCATTTAAATGTATTTATTTCCACATCATTGAATATACAATGTTATATAATCTTCAAAATGCACACATAATTTTGTTATGAGATGTCGGAAATGGGAAGATCATGAAAAGCACGAAAATAGCTTGTTAAAAATTATGCTAACAAAATATACAAAAATAACAATAACATTTGTACATAACTTACATGAAATTAAATTATTTAAAAAAGGAAAGACAAAGAAAATAAAGGAAATAAGGAGGAAAACGTTGCATATATATTGGCATATTATAAGTTATTATTCCGCAATGTTCTTATTATGTTATTATTGTTCAATGAGAATTCGCATAACACTTTTTTGATAATTATTACCCTATTCCATTCTTGAATTAGTAGTACATCCTCCATCTTGGTTTAACATGACATAACTGGCCAAGAACCCACCGATAAACTACACAGAAATCTAACCTTGTACACAGATGTGGTCAAAGAAGGCTCAGTCCGGATTCTTTCAACATAAAATATTTTCTCAGCAGTCCTAGTAGCTGATACAGGGTACATGAGGGCATGTGCCGCCCCCCCCCCCCCGCCCCACCCACTCATCGTAGTAGGACTAGTATTTCAAAAAGCGAGAAGAGGCAGAGTGGGAATTGGGGAAGGGGCAATGGACGAGAAATGAGGACGCTAGGACCACCTCCAGCACCCTCCGCCTAATCAGTAGTCTGGGAAATTCCTATTTCGTTTTCCAAATAAAAGCGTTTTCCCCTCTCCCCCCCCCCCCCCCCCTCCCCAATCATTCCGGTGCTCACTCAGTGTATGGCCTCATGATACAGCACTGACTGTGCCCTTTGGTTAGCATGTAAATTCAGTAATCTTCCAACTTTAGAAATGGTTAATCATCACAGTTAACCAAGATAATTGTCTTGAGTATTTACTTACTGGATGATCTGACTCCAAGTCTACTTCTGAATTCAAATTGTGGTTGGCAATCTCATCCAAATCCTCGATCTTTATAGGGAACCAGGGAACTAAGGAAACAAGATAATATTGGTGTATAGTGCAAGTGGTATTGTTTGTAAAATCTTGTCCTATAATATATGTTTTACAACTTTGAACTATATAGAGTTGTGGAGAATAATGTGTTGAATAATATTATTGCTTACGCTTCAACATCTCGAACGTCTTGTTAAATAAGATCTTCTTTGGGAACCAACAAGCTTTTGAAAAATATCTGGTGTAATGATTTAGTGCTTTCTCTAAGTTTCAACATACGTCATATGCGTGTAATTGTCAGATAGGTTCTCCTATTTTATGTGAACTCTTAGGCTAAATGGTGGCCGCGATATTTCCACTGAAACGTCAATCAGTGAAACGTTTCATTAACAAAAATAGGTTTGACATTCCGGTACCACGTTCGTGATTTTATGCATAGACAGCAACCTACCAACCTTGCCAGCAAACCTTTTTAATAGCAGTTTTAGATAGTTTTATAATGCATTTTCACTCTATACTAATAAAATGTGGCATGGTATCTTCGGGGTCTAGACCTACCTGAGTTTTTGGACCCATTGAATCTAGGAAGCACCTGTTGGTTTGTGGCCTGGACCTCGAGACTGTTCATTGTGTCCTGAAGCACCGTTGAGGGCGCTTCACTGGTCACCAGGAGCTCATCATGTTCAGAGCTACCCGATATTCTTTTAGATGGTCTTGGGTCAATGTGAGTCAAGTCGGTTCCCATTTCCTACAATCAGGAAGTCCGGGTAGAAATTATAAATGTGTACGTGTTATCTATTCAGTGCTATAATAGGGCTTAATTCACTCGATACTTAATCACTAAAATTAAAATCCTGCTGACACTCAAGTTTAGATTTCGAAATTTTGCCGCCAATGTACGATCACCAGGAGCGTCACATCGTGACGAACATTTGCATATAATATTTCCCCTACAAGCGTTATTTATTGCAAAAATATAAAAGTAATTTTGATCTCCTTACCGCCATGGTGGCAAAAGCAGGACAAATACAGATTTTGAAAATAATATTCAAATATAAAGCGTGTACTAGCTAGTAGGCCCTATATGATTTTTGGCAGTTTACATTCAGTGTTTTTTTTTTTTAATATATATTATGCTGCACTAGTATCAGTATTGATTTTGCGTTGGCCGACATTCCTACAAATGAAAAATATTTCTATTGATATCGATTATTCAGAGAGGATATATACATGGGAATGGTGAGTGTACACGTGCACTGATGATATGACAATTTACTTGGAATATAATGATAGTAATAATAATAGTCATTTTTGTACAGCGCTTAATACTCAGTTTGTAAGCGCTATTCATTATGATTATTATTGGTCATTGGATTAAATTCCTCATCCACACAAAATAGTGCGTACCCTCCGCTCCATGGGGAGTATTCCGGGTAGGTACCAATTTACAAGCGCACACATGCCAATCCAACCACATTATGGTCCGCATCCTACCGGGTAACCGTTTAACACCTGGGTGGAGAGTGGCAAATGTACATTAATATCTTGCAAAAGGACATTTTAGAACCGCGTCGGGACTCGAACTGCGACTCGTGCGACCCACAGTACGGCGACATATCCACTAGACCACGACACCTTTACACAATATGAAAACACGGATAGTTCTAACCGAAGGCTTCTCCAATTATTCCTAAAAAGGGAAATTGCTAGCAGAAATGTGTATACTACGCTTGTCATTTTATCTCTTTCTTTCCTTTATTTCTTTCCTCTTTTCGAGTGGTATCTTTTCTAATCCTTATCATTTGCATTTCTCTTGTCTTATCTCATTAAGCTCACTATATATTGCATTAGTTTCAACTTATCTTATCTTATCTTATATCATATCATCTTATCTGATCCTTGCATATGCTATCTTATCCTATCTTATCCCATCCTATCTTTTCTTATCTTAATTAATCTTATCTCTTATGTTATCTTAACTTATCCCTTCTTTACTATTTTATTCTTTTCTATACCCCATCATATCACATCTTATCGTATATTTTCTTATATCTTTACTTAACTTATCTTATCAAAACTTACCAACGTCTTATCTCCTGCACCATCAGACAGGGCTCTCGCGCTTTCCATCTTGCGAACATCCATGCTGATGAGGATGTCGTTGATTAGACGTACCTCTTCGTCGGGACCCCTCAAACAAGTTGTAATTGATATGCTGCTTTTTCAGGTTGTAATGCTCATTCATATATTTTCATAAACGGGTCAATATTGCGAACTGGTATTACGTCATCATTAATCAATGAGTGTTTGCACACCATATAATCATGGCGCCTAGTTCGACACATTTTAAGGTCCCAGCTGGCATAAAAATATTCAACTAAATTAAGGTTGTATAATATACACAATGTCTCACCAGATCACCCTCATTTCAATATATAGGTGGGGCGACGCTAAAGTGGGATGAGGGTGTGAAGTGCCCCCCCCCCCACATGTGAGATAATTTTTATGTAGATGTTAATATCTCATTGCCCATTGTAAGAGTATGATACAGTTGCACATGACATACACCATGCATGTATATATATTATACAATTTTATATATGTTACATTGTCCCGTATATTACTCTCTATCTTCTTTACTTTCCTTTTTCACATTTTTTCGTTTGCAGCAGCCCTCCCTCCCCCCACCCCCCCCCCAACACACACACAAACACACACGCACACATATATACCCAGGACGCCGGTACGTTGGTGTTTGAGTCTTGGCGATGGCATTTTTCTGCATAATCATGTTCTTACTTGGGTGGCCTGGTTCCGCATGGTTCTCATTTCTTTCTCTCGAATCTTCCTGTCATCCCTCTTAATTTATTCTTTCTCCATCCTATCGCTTTCTCTTTTCTCCAGTTTATTTTTGATTACCATTTCCGTTATCGTTCTTCTAATCCTTTTCTTGTAATCTTTTATCTCTCTCGTCTCATGTCCATCATCATTCCCTTCCACTTTCTCTCCTCTCTCTCTCTCTCTTATATCTCTATTTCTTCTTCTTCAACTCCTTTTTCTCCTTCCCTCTTTTTTCACCGACAGAGGCCGGTGGCGTATTTGCCGACAGAAATTAGGAGGGGCGTTACCCCCCCCCCCCCCCCGAGGCGCCAGCTGAGAAGTATGGTTTACGTAAAATTTTGCAGTGCACGAGAAATAATAAGCAAATCACAACATATTACATTAGAGATTAGGTCTTTAATCTATTTAAAAAAAAACAATCTTGAATTTTATTGCATTTCATGACACAAAGAACATCAGGGTAAACCCTTGTCTTTCTTTAAATTTATTAATCTTTTCATAAAAGCAATATTTCAATTTACCAACGTGAATTAGATCATGAATATTGCAAATATTATTATTTCAATTCATCGCATTTCTAATTTGTATAATAATTCATTAATACAATAAATCAACGTTTCATATAAACATAGAAATTGACAATTTCAAATTAAAGTATCTTTGAATGTGAAGAAAATCTTTCGCAAATATGTTACGGTCTAATTTCGAAGACATGACTTATTATTTCTTTTTTAAGAACATACAAACCACTTTACATTTACTAGAACTTATCTGAATTGTGCTAAGAATGCGAAAATAATATTAAAAAATACAAATTTAGTCAAGTCCATATTTTTAAACTGACAAAGAACACCCACAAGAAGAATAGAACTAATGAATGCTCGGAGGGTAATTATTCTGATTTCAAAAAAAAAAATAAGAGCTAGGTTTTATCAATAGTCCATAGGTCGTTAAGCCTCGTTTCCTTCAGTATAATAGCGACAGAGCTAACAATTCATTTGCACAGAATAAACCTATACCAGTTACCCATTTTCTATACCTGGGTCTATAGCGGCAATTTTTTCAGAAAGCCTCCCTCCGTCGTGATACCGTGTTGGGGCTCTGGAGGATGTTCACAAAGAGTTGGTATCAATAGCCACTTTTGTGCGATTGATATCAATCGCAACTATGTACATAATAGACAGGAGAATGCAAAGCTGCGATTGATTGGATGACTTGCAAATGATTTGGATCAATCATAACTCCTTATGAGATGAGGCCCTGATCTACTTTGTTCCGCCCGCCACAATGGGTTTTAAGCTGCGATTCTTGCGATGCCTTGTCATAACATAATCAAAAATAGTATAACGCGGGACCAATACGTCACCTCAGAGATTGACTAAGTGCTTAAAATCAATTTCATACGTAACGATATACTTACACATCAATGCCCTTTTTATTAACTAAAGCACCAACCCATTTTTCCCCGACCAAGGTCTAAATCTTTATTTTATGGCAGATATTTCTTTATACAAGTGTGTACAAAAACAAGGATACCATGGAGAAAAGTAACAAAAGCATTCAGGAACAATAATAACTTTCGCTAATGAACAAAACAGCATATTGGCGCTAATTGTCCGAACACTGCCGAAAGGAGGCGCATTACCTGATCGAATATTTTTGGCAATAATATCGCTAGATCAGCCAAATAGCATTGAATTATCCTGTGAAATGGAAGACATTAACAATAAGTTTTTGATATAATACTTACTAACTAGTACCCATTGACACAAAATGATACCATTTGGCGTGCACACCCCCTGTCGGCTAGAAGCGGCCAATTGCGAATAAACCATGTTTAATGTTTTTGACAATATAGGAAAGTACATATCAATCCTTGTTAATTAAACATAAACATGAATATTCCTTTTACAAATCGAATTCAATATAAACAGCAGCTATAGATATAAAATATAAAATCTATGATAAAATGGAAACAGTCGTCACACTTTTCCATTCATCTCTTCTTTTTTTGACGCATTATTCTCCATCGTCGGGTTATCGATACCGCTATCATTGTTCGCTGCTTCCTCATCCACATTCAGCGTTAAGGAGTTACTGGATTTGCAACAGTATGCTTTCTCTTGCCATCGCTCCGGCATCAGCATAATAAGAAATCCGAAAACGATGAGAACTGTGCCGCCGATTTTCCAAGGACCAAATCCTCTCCCGCGAAAAATAAGATCGACAACTGCGGGAAAAAGAAGAAAAATTTGGTTATTAGAGAAAACATAATAATCAATTTTGCTGAAATGATTCCCATTTATAGACAGATCCGGGGAAATGACAGCAGCTTCCATCCCACTCGCATGTTTAAAAAAAAAAAAAAAATCTATAGTTATTTTTTGGAACGTGAATCCCGTTTCGAAATTGGAAAAATCCTTGTTGAAGGTAATATACTTTGGAAAATATTCCGTTACAATTAGTCGGGAGTGTGAATTTGAACCTTTACTTTTCTTCGCGTGTATCAGCATTACATTAGTTTCACTCGGTCCAAATTAAGATCTCTACGACAAAAAACAACATGTTTTTCTATTTGCCACCAAAGTTTATCTTAGAGTAAAGGCATCGTCATTTGTTCCAAAGTAGGGCTACTACATCAGTCACACTGCTAAACCGACACTTCACCAAATCCAAACCGACCGATTCTGAACTCTTCGAGTTAATGTAATAGTGTGTTCTGTTCGGTGTCGGTCTGGTGTTGGTCTGGTGTTGGTCTCATTGGTGCGACTATGGTAATTTGGGTTTCGTCTATAGAGTCGGTCTGGTGTTGGTCTTGTTTCTGTCTGGTGTCGGTCTTGTATCTTGTAAGTGTGACTTTAGGGATCATGTATTTTTTTTATTTTTTTTATTATTATTATTATTATTTTTTTATCGGTGTGGCTGGGTCGTGTGTCTGTATTTGTAATGGATGGTGCGTTCACATACCTGCATTGAGTGGGATACCGACCACGGTACCAAGAGCAATGAACAATGGGAACGTGACTGCGATCCCGAAGTTGATCAGGAAGTTGAAAACTGCCATTTACGAAATAAAAAATGAAGGAAAAAATTGTTGTAAAGTCTGTCAAGTTACTTCAGAATATTTCACGAGATGCAATACAAAACTATCATTAGAAAGTAAGGGGGAAATGAGTTTCTGACCTTTCCTGTATGGTTAAATAGAATGTCTTTTACTTTAGTTATTATTTGCATGGACTGACTTTCATTTTTTTTTAAACAATGACAAATTTCATCGGGTAACAAAGCATGCATCATACCCACAGCACATTTAAAAACACTGAATATGAAGCAAAAAAATAAAATTGTCGGTTTCATTATAGAGATGTGAAAAATAATAAACGGAAGTGAACGTAAATAGAGATGGTTAACGATACGCCAAAACAAATGCATTCAAGATCCCTCTCTTTCTCTATCTCCCCCTCTATCTCCCCCTCTATTTATTACATGGTTGATAGATTGATTAATTAATTGATTGATTGATGATCGATTGATTGACTGATTGGTTGGTTGATTGATCGGTTCGGTTATTTATTTTTTCTTCATTTATTCATTCATTGACTGATTTATTGATCTGTCTATTGATGTATTTATCTATTCATTTATCAATCTATCAATTATTGACTGATTTGTTTATGTATCAATTTAATTCATCCATTCATACATTGATCCATCCATCTAATTCATTGTCCTTTTATCCTCACCTACGGACAATGCTGAGCTGCCACAAAGATAATTCCAGGGCATATTCGTCCAGTCCCACTGCTCAAAACCAGTGTAATACACGGTTAGTAGCACAGGCCACAAAAAGACTAAATCAAAGAGCGCCAACAGCGACAAGAACAAGCAAACCTGTCCGGACGTCGCATTACCGATGTACCGTTTGAATAGAACCTGATGCGATAATAAATTAAACAAAAGATTATAAAGATTAGATTGATAGTTCTAGCGAACTTTGATACGTGACTAAGCAGTTATACCACTGTAAATATCATGCTATATTATGCAGCATAAGCTAACTCCAGGATTTTGTTTCAGAATCTGAGGTAATGTTACCGAAACACTTGAAGGAAAGGAATTCACTTTGTTTGTGTGCATGTTAATTGTTATCGAAGATATATTCCTCAGTTTCAGTTGCTAACTTAAGTTCATTGAAGAAGAAAAAATATCACTGGTAATGCAAATATATAATCAAACAATAAAGATCATTATCATTTGAAGGTAACATACATTTTCTTATCAAGCATGTTGTTATATTCGGCAACTAATTTACCATCGACTATCGATCGTATTGTTCGGTAAGGTATAATCATATTTCTCCTTCTTTCAGGAAGAGGGGATATTGCTTTCAACTATTTATACCGATAGCCCCTTTCTGTTTGAACCTTATTTACTTCTTCAGTAACTTAATATGTGTTCCTATAATATTGCTACGTATCTTGAATCTTTCTTGACCCCAAAAGTCAAGTTGACTAGGTAAGAACCCTTTGACATTAAGAAATAATTATTTGCCTCCACCTGAATTCCTTTTTCTATTCCTTAGTTTTTTAAAGTTAATTTGTCTATATATATTTCTTGCGCTCTCTTTGTTAACATGATTCTCAAACAAGATTACTTGCAAAACTTTACCTTATAGATGGCTGATCCGATAGCTGCCCCGATGGAGAGTGCGATACCGACAGCAGTGGTTCCTAGAAAACCGTCTGCGTACGATATGAGGACGATACCACCGATAGACAGAAGAACGGACATACCCTGGTGGACAAATAATGTTGATCAAAAGAAGAAAAAAACACTGATTTTATTCAAAGATTTGTATGGCCAAGGGCCACGGCAGCATTTAACTAACAAACCCGGGGGTGTTTCACAAAGATCCTAAGTTGAACTTACTCAAGTTGGACTTAACAATTACGGAAAGCCGTTAGCATAATCTATAAAATAGTTATTTTAAAAGGCAAAAAATGTTGATTCAAATCATTCATATTTTCTATCATCAAGGAAATGTTATGTTCTTGATGTGGAATTAATGAAAAGTCTTAAATACTTGAATTTTCGCTTTTGAATATATTTCGTTTTAAGACTACAAATGACTCTCCATAATATTTAAGTCCAACTTAGAGTTAAGTTCGACTTAGGATCTTTATGAATTAACCCCCAGAAGTGTTTTTTTTTAATGGGGTGGGGGTATACGACAAAACAATAACGGTGTGCAGAACAGTTTACATTACAATGCACGTTCTTCACTCCCTACGGAGTAATCCAGCTAGTCACCTTTTGACGGGCGCGCACATGCTACACTTTTATTTCCACGGAGTCAAATTTCACTCTAAATGGCGTCAGCTGGGAGTCAACTCTATTCCTAGTTAAAGTGACATGGATTCCGAATCAATTTGACTCGGATTGTGTGGCATCAGCTGAGAATTGACTCAATTCAGAGTCAAGATGACTCCTTTTCCGTGTCACTTTAACTAGGAATAGAGTTGACTCCCAGCTGACGCCATTCAGAGTGAAATTTGACTCCGCGGAAATAAGAGTGTATAATCCACCGCTCACATTGACCTTCGAGTCCACCCAGGTACTCATTTAGCACCTGGGTGGAAAGGAGCGATATAGATAAAATGCTTTGCTCAAGGACATTACAGTATTAGTATTAATAGCTTTGTATAATAGCTTTGTCTGAAACCATGATTTAACATTCCTTTTACTCAACTGCCGGCTTCTGCTGCACCCGCACCTGCAATTGCACTACACCCACTTGATCACTAGGTTTTACCAAGAAACTTTTGTTGCTAAATCCCCTTTTTTGCACGAGGCCGCCATCCATTTCCAGCCTAACCGCACATGATGGCGGTCTCCTGCGTTCTGAAATTATCTCTTTAGTTCAATGAAAAATATATGCAAATGTCCGTTATACTTGTTTATATGCTTTGTATTATGGTTATTGTATAATATTATTAGACATGATTTGCTATGTATGTAATACTTATATGTAGAAATGTATAACCTTGTATTTGTTATTTGAACGCAGAATAAAATCAATCAAACGAACATTGCCTTGCGGGGGAAGAGCAGAAGTACACAAAAAATACCTTTCACTTTTTTTCTTCAATTACTTACCCTGGCCGGAAGAAGCACGAGTCGCTCGTGAAGCCAGATCCACGAGAAGATGTAAATGAAGGCGGTGTTACTGGAGAAAAGAGCTGTGACGTCAGCAGCGGCGATCTTCCCCAGCGCGTACACGTACATGTAATTGGTCACCATCCAGCAAAGCGCGAAGGGAGCGACCAATCGGAAGTAGTTTTTGACGGTGAGTCCCTTGCTCCCGAATACTCGTTCAGAATGTCTGAAAAAGAATGAAATCGTAAGCATGTAATAATATTATCGCCTCAAGAGAGCCAGAAAACCTTAAAGCAATGTTTATCCCCTTCTGGCTAAATTCTTCTAAACATACGAAGATTTTGATATATTATTAAGGACTTTTTAATTTTGTTCCTTGTGATGCGAAATGACAATTAAAGTCGCATATTTACATAAATATTCCTTGAAAGAATGATCATTCTCAGGATCAGGCATATCAAACATAATCATTGATATACGAAGAGAAAAAAAAACAAGAAAGATCATGACTTCGGTACCTAGATTTAGAAGGACAGAAGTAGATTTCATAGGCAACAACATAAATGTTTTCAAAGTACAGTTATACCATGGACCTACTACGGTTATATAGAGAGCGCCGACTTCTGGGTAGCGTGTAGATGAAATCGGTACTTTTTTCAAAGGCTGAACAACAAATAATAACATCATTATATGTTATTCCTAACTAAAGGATTCCGTCAACCCCCTCCCCCACCCCCCCCCCCCGTTATTTCGCAAACGTAATTAAAAGCTAAACCAAACTGGAAGTGGCTTACTACAGTCATTGTTATTGACGTTGAGTTGGTAATGTTACAGTAGCGCCCGTTGAACAAGATGCGTCATTAATTTGCCTGACGTAGGGTTGCGTCACTAATGCCTTTTTTTTTTCTTTTCTTTTCTTTTTTTGACGCGCCATGTGACAGTGGCATTAAAATGAATGTCATTGCAACATGAATAGTGCAAACATATCGTTAAATTAGACTGTTGTACGGACTTATTCGATTCACAGGCTTAATTGACGCCGCTTGTTACGCAATCTTAAGGACGCCTCGTGTGCGACGGACATGCATGTTTGTACTAAACTGTTGTGAAATAGCGGAACATTTCACATATAGACTGTACCTGTATAAGTCGACGGTTCCCGAATAGCTCCGACTTTCCTTCTTGAATATCCACGAACCGAGCACGTAAAACGGATAACAGATGAACATCCACAATGTCCCAAACCACACGTTGAAGTACGGTGCGTTGAAAGTATCCGAATAGGTACTTTGTGAAAACTGAGTCGAACCGACCCACGAAACCGCGATACCCGTCACTATCACAAACCCAAAGAGCGTCTTTCGGACATTTTCGAAATTGTTCGTGATCTGTCGGGAGCCATCTTCGGATGTTTCCGGTGACGTTTCTCCATTGGGTACTATAGAGTTGTAGTTCGGAGGCTCTTCGTTGTCGTTGATTAGAATTGGTTCACTGTCATCGGTTTTCTCCATCGTCTTCACTGCAGAAAGAAGAAAACAAAGGCGTTCTAATTATCAAGGATGAATCTAACAAAAAATATTCTCCTTTCTTTCTTTCTTTCAAGGTGTCGATTTTCTACTCTAGATGTTTAATGCGAGAAAACACAACATTCTAGAGTTGTACATGTATCGCTTCCGAGTGGAGTTGGTGTTACCGTGTTGATAATAGTCGGGAGAACGAAGACTATTCCCTGCGCGAAAAGGAAAAAAGGACGTAGTCTCCTTCATGAAGACTCAATACCACAAATTGCATTGAAAGCAGACAACTGCAAAACGTACACTTCTAGAGAAAGTAATCATATATCATTATAGGACAATTCACACAACGAAGGCTTTTGAGAAATCAACTCCCGGGAAATTCCAATACCCTATTCAAAGAAATCATGTTCGGGCTACCTAATAGGTCAATGTTGTAATGGCATTGAGCATTGAAAAATTGACTCAGCTTGAATTTTTTATTCTTTCCAATTGTGTTAGTTTCACTTTAAAGACAGTGAAACAAAATTGAAAAACAAATACATAAATAAAACGTCCGGTGTATATACGTACCTGATTAAAGTGTGTACATAATAACAATATTATTGGAGCTCGAGTTAACGTGATCAAGTTACAATGTCAAGAAATTGTTAGTCTATTATAATATTAGCAGTACATTTTGATTTCATATCACAATTATGTTTCAAGTCGGTCATTGGACTCTTGGGTGATCACATGCTCAATAGCAGAGAATACAGGAAACTGTTCGTCTATCATAATATTAGCAGTAAATTTTGAGTTCATATTCAATATTTTCAAGTCGGTCATTGGGCTTTTGCGGGATTGCATGCATGCTCAATTATAGCAGAGGGCACACGGGAGGGGTTTTTTTCGTTCATGTTCTGCTGCGACAGACCCCTAACCCCAAACGAAATGCGAGCGACGCCCCTGAATATAGGCAAATAATGTCATAATGGAGTCAATAAATTCGATGACGTTCTATTTACATTGCACAATGCACATGATATATTGACATGATAATGATCGTGATCTTATCTTTAATGAGTCCATTACAAAGTAGGGAATTAGCTTTGAACCACAGTCATGTTCCCCTCTTAGAACGTACGTTGATCACCCAAAAAGCTAAATTTAATAGGCATATAGGTATCATTTCTAGCTCTTTATTTCTTCTTCTTTCTAATTTCTTTCTCTCTTTCTTCTTTATAATCTTTTTTTCTTTTCTTTCTTGTTTCTATATCTCTTTCTTTCTTTTTTCTGATCTCTTTTTCCTTTCTTTCTTTCTTTTTTCTAATCTCTTTTTCCTTTCTTTCTTGACTGTTTTCTTTCTCCTACTTTTTCTTGTTTTATTTCGTCGTCGTCTTCTTCTTCTCTTTCTTCTTCCTCTTCCTCTTTGTCTTCTTCTAATCGTTCTTCTTCCTCTTTTTCTTCTTTTTCTTCTTCTCCCGATCTTCTTCTTCTTCTCCTTCTTCTTTAGCACTCATGTATGGTGGCCCTGAAGGGACATCGCGAATAGACTAAATCGTGAAAAATATGCGATAAAATTCACGATATCGTCAATTTTATCGCATATTTTTCACGAAGAAATTCACGAAATTGACGATATCGTGAACTTTATCGTGAACTTTTCACGATGAAATTGACGATATCGTGAATTTTATCGTGAAAAGTTCACGATATAAAGTTCACGATATCGTCAATTTTATCGTGTACTCTATCGTGTACTCTATCGTGTACTCTCCTGACGGGCGCTTCGTAAACAAAACCAGCCCTAGCTGGGGGAGACAGAGAGAAGGAAAAAAGGGAAAGGGAAAAAGAAGATAAAAGGAAAGAAAGAATAATAAGAAGAAAAGAGGGAAACGGGGGGGGGGCGAAGGGCTCTTGCCTCCTCCTCACTCCCCCCCCCCCCCCCCGCCAAAAAATAAATAAGGAGAGAGAGAAGGGAAAGGGAAAGGGAAAGAAAATATAAAAGGAAAGAAAGAAGAGGAAGAAGGAAAGAGGGAAACGGGGGAAGGGCGAAAGGCTCTTACCTCCTCCTCCCCCCTCCCGCCATAAAGAGAAAGAGAAGGGAGAGGGAAAGAAAATATAAAAGGAAAGAAAGAAGAGGAAAAAGAATAAGAAAAGAGGGAAACAGGGGCGAAGGGCTCTTGCCTCCTTTCTTTTCTTTCTTTTCCTTTCTTTCCTATTCTCCCTCTTTTTCGTTTTTCTCTTTCTTTCTTCTCTTTCCCTTTCCTTCTCTCTCTCTCTCTTATTTATTTTTGGCGGGGGGCAGGGGGACGAGGCAAAAGCCCTTTGCCCCCGTTTCCCTCTTTTCTTCTTCTTCCTCTTCTTTCTTTCCTTTTATCTTCTCTTTCCCTTTCCCTTTCCCTTCTCTCTCTCTCTCTGATTTATTTTTTGGCGGGGGGGGGGGGCAAGAGTCCTTCGCCCTTCCCCCGTTTTCCTCTTTTCTTCTTCTTCCTCTTCTTTCTTTCCTTTTATCTTCTCTTTCCCTTTCCCTTTTTTCCTTCTCTCTGTCTCCCCCAGCTAGGGCTGGTTTTGTTTACGAAGCGCCCGTCAGGAGAGTACACGATAGAGTACACGATAGAGTACACGATAAAATTGACGATATCGTGAACTTTATATCGTGAACTTTTCACGATAAAATTCACGATATCGTCAATTTCATCGTGAAAAGTTCACGATAAAGTTCACGATATCGTCAATTTCGTGAATTTCTTCGTGAAAAATATGCGATAAAATTGACGATATCGTGAATTTTATCGCATATTTTTCACGATTTAGTCTATTCGCGATGTCCCTTCAGGGCCACCATACTCATGTCGTGTCTGAACGATGCACACTTTTTACTGGCTATCACTCTGTCGAGTTTTGATTAAGGAACATATTATTTTACTAAATGGTGAATATTCTATATCAACCCCCTGGAGTTTTTAGCATCACGTGATAATTCAAAAGGTCAAAGGTCGGGTATCTAAAGGTACATAAGTTCATCTATTTGTTCTAATTGACTAAATCCATTTTAAAATCTGATATTCATTCCATGCCGCTATAATAATGCATTGTTTAAAGGCCCACTGCACTACTGGTAGCTACTTGCGCCCTCTATATAACAAACAATGCCTAATCGGTGACCATTGGTCCCCCATGATCCTCTTGTTCTTATGTTAGCTGAGAGCTGAGTTGATGAGATAACCACCTGTCCAGTGACCTTGCAGAGCGGTCTAATCCCTCCTGTAAACTACGGCAGATAAGCTTTAAAGGGTGTCAAGAAGGGTTTGCACCATACCCGGCCGTGTTTTAAGAGGGAACAACAAAATGGGCCTACCTTTTCCACTAAAAAGTACAGAACATATCTGAAAGTTTATATTGATGACATAAAAAAATACTTTCAGAGGGAACAAATGTATGTGTGTAACAAAACAAAAAAATCATGTTGAGTCTCGCTCTTGCCAGGGGTAGCTCACTGAAAACGTTCTCTCCCTAATTAACCACTCCCCCCCCCCCCCCCCCTTCCTCTGAGTAATAAACAAATTACAGGGTGTATTTTTCTTAATACTCATGTATACTTCGCCTAACTGTAACATTTCCGCTGAATCCATTGCCTATGCATCTCCACTATGAATGTCCACCCCCCCCCCCCCCTCCCTATAAAATAAGCCACTTTTAAATGCTGCTTGTCCCGAGCTTTTAATGGAAACGTCCCACCAAATTTGAATTAACACTTCGCGTTCCATACTTTGACAGTCTATTATTCGGATTCGACGAAACGCACAATTAATCGAAAGCAAAAAAACCCGTCAAAATATCTGCACCAAGTTGCAACGTTATTCATAATATCACTTACGTTTGCCTCATGCATGCCCGTCATATTTCTGTACACGACCTTTTGATGCCCTGCTTAATATGATTTGGTTGCTCAGTTTGAAACGATCGATAGCTATAGTAGTATATTCTCCGCTTCCAATAGCGTACAGTGGATCGACGTGTATTATCTCACTTTCCTGCAATGTACAGTGTGTAGCGAGTGTTCGTTTTTTACCCTCGCTCTTGATCTCGTGCCGTTCTGGTTCAGTGGTTATCATATGAAACGCGATAGCGCGGGCAGAATATAAATAATATTCGGGCCGGGGGGGGGGTTAAGTGCATTAAAGTTCACGTATTATAATGGATGTTATATTCCCAAAAGAGGCAAGTGGTCTACGTTAAATTTTGCTATTCCGTTAATTGTGATTTTGACCTTGATTTGCACTCATTATCTTTGTAGACTGTATTTCTGGCACAATAATTGTGGTTTTTGTTAATCTTCGTTAAAATAGAAATAAAAATTATGCTACATATTTCGATATTCATAAATAAATTATATTTTCAATTTCAATTTTAATTCGAACGTCTTTTACATTGATTAATGTCGGCATGGGAGGAAAAAAAACAATTAATTTCACTAACAAAATGAGCGGCGGAGGTTAGCTTGTAAAAATATTTAAAAGTTTTCGTAGAAATAAAAATCTAGAGTGCATGGGGTAAAAGCAAATTCTGCCTGCCAAAGTCATCAACAGCCAAAACAACACAAGGCACATCCGAAACATCCGCCATTAATTTTAAAGGCATTTGAAAAGCATTAAACCGACTATATCCTTTATCCTAAAGCCCAACCATGTACTGTACTATAGGAATACCTATTCTATTAGATGTGGAATATAAGGTGTATAAAGTGTAAAAGGTTTTTCACATTTTTAATTTAAATTTGAAGAAGATGCAAAAATGGGTTTTTAATAGAATTACAAATTGCTGTATAATAGTTTCAATACGTAAAGAAATTATGAAGAGAAGCTCCGTTCTTTAAATCTAAGAATTTGTATTAGCTTCATTATACTTTCAATACGTTTATACATAAATTCGTTCCTATTATATTATATTACATTTTCTAATCAATTATTTTGGGTACTTATATTTATCAATTGTCAAAATAACATATTTTTAGGACCCCTCTCCCCCCCCCCACCCCTTCTAGACAAGTCAAGCTATCTATCTATTTCATTGAACCTCCTGTCAATTATTTTTTTTTTTTACAATTTTAAAACTGGGGAGCAGAAAGATAATAAAAAGATTTATTGAAGATATGTCTAACTCCAAGATAAAACACGGGGAAATTGTGTTAGAATGATAATTGATATTTTATTGATTTCTCAAGATATGAGCTGTTCTTTTGACAATTTGAGTCATTACGTTTTCTTATTCCCGCGTATCTTCATGCAAATTATGAATGCTGATGAAGAAATCAAAGTTATATGCAATAAAACCGATTTCAGAACAACAATAAAAGAGAGAAAGACCAATTAAAAGACTCAATACATGTTAGCCTGTCCTATAACTTCACGAGCCCAAAATCTATCTCTCGGAGATCGGCTGATCAATCCTTTGTTACGTCACCCAATATTGACCCTTATAATGGTAGCTGTATAAGATAGATAAAGGTTGGTGAAGATTATCATGTGATTAATGGAGTAAGTGTGATAAAAAGTCTGAAGGTCGTATCAAAGGTACCGGTACTTCGCTACAAATATTTCAAATTGGTATAACATGTGCATGACTACCTGTATATTGTCTTGGAATTTTTTTGAAGAAAGCACGGGCGGAAATTGTGCTCCGGAATTATAAAAATATAAAGAGTCACGATCATGGTTATATATCTCAGTGTTATAGTCATGGTAGTAAAACCTAGACATGACATTGGGAATACTAAGTTATCATAGATATGTAGCTTATTTTGTGCATTTGAATTGAACACCGTCTGACAATATCGTAGTTTGTATTGAAAAGTAGCACAGTCTTGAGATATTCAGGATAGCTAACAATTTCACACTTGAACAATTAATATGAATTAAAATATATAACAAAATACACTGAAGTGCTCAAAAAATAGATGGAACATATTATAAAATCACGACCGCAATTAAGGCCTTTGCAAAATCGGCCAACATTATAATGATATACATTCGAACGTGATTTCTACGGAATATTCAAAGGGTATCAAAATTGCCTAGAGTGGATAGACCTTTAAATTTTGTTGCGATCTGTGTTTGAATTTAATTAGATCTACTGAACACATGCTAAAATATCGAATGATTTCTCTAAAGTCTTTGCGATCAGGTTTAATCAAATCACTGAATTATTGAAAGAAATACAATCATTTGAGGAATATATAAAAGTTTCCTCTTTTGGCAGTTTTTATACCGGTTGAAATTACACCCATGTTATGCATCAGAAAATAACTGTATTATAAAACGGCAATTGGTGAGATTAACCTGAAAGGGGGATATATAAATCATAAAACCATTCAGTATCAGTTTAAGAATGGACCGGTCTAGTGATTTAAAACACTGAGTTCTATATTCAGGTTTTGGAAATACGTACCTTCTTTCAATTCTACCGAGGAGTCTAGCTTACTGATGTCCTTTTCATCACCAACCGAGGTGCCCCCATTTAGATGGGCTACGCCATTAGGCTTCTCACTGATGCCTCCTTCCATCTATATAGATACACTCACTTCCAAGACAAGAGATGCAAGGGTCTTCTTCTCCGAGTTTGTACCAGTGATGCTGAGTTCTAAAGACTATTTAATGTTCCTTTTCACGGGTAAAACGGTGCCGTTATATGAAGGAAATAAATTCACTTAAAGTAATCTATTTTCACAAAGGAAAAATAAATGATGTACGACCCGACGACGATATTGGCAGGATTTTAATTGCTCCTGTTGTTGCGTAGATCATCCAAGAATTCTTCCCTCCTCAAATTAAATCGTCTTGTTAAATACAGGTGTTACAGAACAAGAACAGTTGTTTCAAAGTGCAGCATTTCATTCATGTGATCCCGATTGCGAATTTGCAAATGTCTCGAAAAAGATCTTAAAGCTGGGTGTCTATACTAGACGGTGCACAACTGAAGACTAATATGCCAGCAGTTTCATTCGCTTTGTTCTAGACACTTTTCCAGGTAGTGGAGATCACTTTCACGAAATACAATTCTAGTGAGGGGAATGTTTCCCGACTTCCTGGCGAGCAAGTTCAAGAGCAATGAGTCCCCTACTGACAATATCAGCGGGTATACCTGCAGAGTACTTAATCTTTATTGCGCCGGTTAAACGATCGGAAGATACTGAACTGCATGAACACGATCAGCTGCTATTTTACTACATGGCCCAGGCACGAACTATACAGCCCTTCTATTTGTTTTACCAACACGTGTGCGGAATTAAATGAGGTATCGAAGAGACTATACTCAAGGGCTTGCATGATACGCCGAAACAATTAAAGCCTATATATAATATACGGGAGGGGGTCACCCCTTGAACTAAGTGAATTTGGCGGAGCACTTGCTTCGATCATACCAATGTGTCAGCCATGTTCAAGGTTAAATTCAGAGTCATGAATGATTTGCGGTGTATCCAGGGACGCATGCAGAAGGCACAACAACCATTCATTACAGTGGCGTATCTAGGGCCCCCTGGCAAAAAAGTATTAACAAATAATGGTATAACGACAATTGTACCTTTAAAAAAAACGGGCCCCCACCCTGGCACACACACACAAAAATGGGCCCCCTCCCTCACGTCGGCTTGATCCGCCCCTGATTCATTATTCTACTTGGGCAAATAACGCAATACTACACATTTTCCTAGAAATTCGATATCAGTGTAGGAAGATGGTTGGGCGATAATACTCCGTCGACCAAACCCAGCCTCTTTCAAATTCCCTGATGGGACGCAGATCCACACACTGTAGACGAGACTTAGTAGTTGGAGGCCCAGTCTAATTCACTAATTATAGTCATGTTGTTAACTTGTCATATTGAAAACCAGGGGATGATCCAGGATTTTTTTAAGGGGGGGGGGAGGTGCAATTCCCGAAAATTAAAGGGCATTTTTGTCTGTGACTGAAGTTATGTCAATCGGGTTTCAATGGGAACAGGCAAGAGCACGCTGCCCCCCATCCCATCCACTACTTGATACAGTATTATGTAATTAACTCTGTTGATTGAAGTAATTTCAAATTCAAACCGACTATTTTTTAAATTCAAAATTGATCCCTCAGAAATACAACCTCGAGTATATGTATATAACAAAGTGAAGCAATTACCCCCTCCCAGTCTCCCACCAATCTGTACAATAGTCATGCTAGTGTATAGTTCAGTTAATTAAACATAGATTCACGAACTTACCTATGTTTGATGATGAGGTCATATCTTCTGATGATATGCTAGCTTCCAAAGAATATTAAATAGAATCATGTGGCACTATACAGCGAAATATAAAATCAGATCTTTATCATTAATTGAAGATTGTGCCAACTGTTCTTCATTTTCAGAGACTTGAATTGGAAAAAATTAATGACATAAAATTATGATGATTATATTCTGTGTCAATATACAGGTACTATATGAGAGACCTTTGGACTAAACTTTGACATACATTCCAATCCGATTATAGACATACGTGATACTTTTACGTAACTATCAAATTTTGTCCTTTCCCGATTTGGTGCGAACAGAAAATTTAAATCTTTTAGATTATACATAATACGAGAACCAGCCGATTTGAGAAAATAAATAATAATTGCTCTCTGCTGGGAAGGGGGTGGGGGTAGGGCTTCTGTCCCAAGCAGGGGCGTCGCCAAAGGGGGGGTGTGGGGGTGCGACACCCCCCCCCCCACCTGTCAGGATATTGTCGGTAAAATTGCGCTGCCGTCGGGAAAAAGAGAAAAGGGGGAGGGAAAAAAAGAGAGGGGAAGGGAAAGAAAAGAAAAAAAGAAAAGGGAAAGAAAAGAAAGAAAGGAAAAGAAAGGAAAGAAAGGAAAAGAAAGGAAAGAAAAGAGAAGAAAGAAAGAGAAAAAAGAAAAAGAGGGGGGAGAGGAAAGAAAGGAAAAGAAAGAAAAGAAAGAAAAGGGAAAAAGAAGAAAAAAGAGTGAAAGGGAAACAAAAGAAACGGGGGATGAAAGAGAGGAGAGAGAGGAGAGGTAAGAGTCTGAGAGAGGAGGAGTGCGAGTAAAAGAGAAAAGGGGGTTGTTGGGTGGAGTCGTCTCGTCGAGGGAGCAAGAAAGACACGGGTAAATATGTTGCTGTGTCGGGTCAGCTGTGTCGGTATTCTTGCTCGATCCTCATCAATGCATAAGTTTGAAGTCGGTGAGATGTATATTGTCGGTCGGCCGACAAGTTTTTTTTCCCTACGAACTGCGACTTCTTATCCGCTGTGACGACTTCGAGAGTGACAACAACTACAATACTTGTATTTTCTCGAAGTTTCACTTTCCTATAATATCAGCTTAAGAAATCAGAGGTTTAAAATTTTCGGGGAAACTAAATTCAAACAAGGTTAAAGAGTCAACAACGGTACGACGAATCATTTTCCTTTCTGAATTCAGATGAATAGGGCTTAATAATAATAAGATTCTAAAACGGTATGAGGAATCGTCTTCCTTTCTCTATATTGTGATGAAACCCCGGAAGGGGAAAACTTCATTTAGACGAGTCGAGAACAGTACGACGAATCGTCTTCTTTCTCTAATAATTTAAGGAAACGCCAAAGCTTCCGCGCTTCGCGCGAGAGGGGGAAACTGAATTCAGACAAAATTAATAGGGCTCATTTAGAGTCGAAAACGGTACAACGCATCGTCTTCTTTCTCTAATAATTTGAGGAAACATCAAAGCTTTCGCGCTTCGCGCGAGAGGGGTAAACTGAATTCAGATGAATAGGGCTTACTAAAAGTCGAAAACGTTACAACGAATCGTGTTCTTTCTCTAATAATTTAAGGAAACGTCAAAGCTTTCGCGCTTCGCGCGAGAGGGGGAAACTGAATTCAGATGAATAGGGCTTAATAATAATAAGATTCTAAAACGGTATGAGGAATCGTCTTCCTTTCTCTATATTGTGATGAAACCCCGGAAGGGGAAAACTTCATTTAGACGAGTCGAGAACAGTACGACGAATCGTCTTCTTTCTCTAATAATTTAAGGAAACGTCAAAGCTTCCGCGCTTCGCCCGAGAGGGGGAAACTGAATTCAGACAAAATTAATAGGGCTCATTTAGAGTCGAAAACGGTACAACGAATCGTGTTCTTTTTCTAATAATTTGAGGAAACATCAAAGCTTTCGCGCTTCGCGCGAGAGGGGTAAACTGAATTCAGATGAATAGGGCTTACTAAAAGTCGAAAACGTTACAACGAATCGTGTTCTTTCTCTAATAATTTAAGGAAACGTCAAAGCTTTCGCGCTTCGCGCAAGAGGGGGAAACTGAATTCAGATGAATAGGGCTTAATAATAATAAGATTCGAAAACAGTATGAGGAATCGTTTTCCTATCTCTACATTGTGATGAAACCCCGGAAGGGGAAAACTTCATTTAGACGAGTCGAGAACAGTACGACGAATCGTCTTCTTTCTCTAATAACTTAAGGAAACGTCAAAGCTTCCGCGCTTCGCGCGAGAGGGGGAAACTGAATTCAGACAAAATTAATAGGGCTTATTTAGAGTCGAAAACGGTACAACGAATCGTGTTCTTTCTCTAATAATTTAAGGAAACGTCAGAGCTTCCGCGCTTCGCGCGAGAGGGGGAAACTGAATTCAGACAAAATTAATGGGGTTTATTAAAAGTCGAAAACTGTACAACGAATCGTGTTCATTCTCTAATGATATGAGGATACGTAAAAGCTTGGGGGAAACTGAATTCAGATGAATAGGGCTTATTAAGAGTCGAAAACGATACGACGAATCGTCTTCTTTCTGTAATAATTAAATAAAACCAAAACTTCCGCCTTTCGCGCGGGTGGGGGAAGCTTCATTCAGATTAGGATTAAGAGTCGAGAACAGTACACCGAATCGTCTGCTTTTTCCCATAATGTAAGGAAAAGTCAAAGCTTCCGCGCTTCGCGCGAGAGGGGGAAACTGAATTCAGACAAAATTAATAGGGCTTATTTAAAGTCGAAAACGGTACAACGAATCGTGTTCTTTCTCTAATGATATGAGGAAACGTCAAAGCTTTCGCGCTTCGCGCGAGAGGGGGAAACTGAATTCAGATGAGTAGGGCTTATTAAGAGTCGAAAACGGTACGACGAATCGTCTTCTTTCTCTAATAATTTAATGAAACGTCAAAACGTCCGCGCTTCGCGCGGGAGGGGGAAGCTTCATTCAGATTAGGATTAAGAGTCGAGAACAGTACACCGAATCGTCTGCTTTTTCTCATAATTTAATGAAACGTCAAAGCTTCCGCGCTTTGCGCGGGGGGAATACTGAATTCAGAAAAGGATAAACAGTCGAGAATGGTACAGCAAATCGTCTTCTTTTTTTATATTAATTTAATGAAACGTCAAAGCTTTCGCGCTTCGCGCGGGAGGGGGGGGGGAAACTTCTTTCAGCCTAGGATTACCAGTCGAAAACGGTACAATTAATCGTCTTCTTTTCCTAATAATTTAAGGAAACGTCTAAGCTTTCGCGCTTCGCGCGGGAGGCTCATCACCCACGAGCGCTTTTAAGTAATTCTCTTGCTCACTACCGCCCCTCCCTAAAATAAGATCCTAGCTCCGCGCCTGCATTAAAATATATAGCTATGATGCTGACTAAATTTAAGAAATAATTCGTATATTAATGTCGTCGAGGAAAATGACCATTTTGCGCATATGCAAGTACTATAGATAGTCCATAGGAAAAACAATTTAGCCTTCGGCCCCAGGTTTATAGGGTTGACTTTGTAGATATTGGAAATTTAATTTTGTCGGTAATTGGTGGCTACTTTTGTCGGTAATCGTTGGCCTCTACACCCCCCCCCCCCCCCCCCCCCCCCCCCCCCACTGAAAAAGGTCTAGCGACGCCCTGGTAACACGATATTGCATTACATCGCTCAGTCGAAATGTGTCCTCACATTTCTGAGCAAGAGAGATTACCTCTGTCATGGCCTTAATGTTCTCCATTGCATCAGTCTTTGTAACCCGAGATGTTCCTTTAACATTATTGGTGGCTTGGTGAAACTGCAGCGTGAATTCCTGTGCATCGTGTCATCAAAGTTCTTCTCATCGGAAAACATCCTCTCTTTGAAAAATGATTGAACAAGCACTTCACCATCTTTGTGCGCATTCT